ATAAAAGGTCAGCACTTTTATCGGTCTTCTTAATGGAGTCGACAAAAAGCATTGTTACAACATTGATTAATGGTAATTGGTCGTGATAGAATTTTCACACTTGTTTGACAGACATGTGATGAACATCATTTTCACTAAGACAATAAGTTTTTCCGACCTTCGATGATCTATGGAACTGATAAATTCATGGTTTATAAGTAGGCAGCATATTAAGTATTAGATTAGTTTCGAAGTAAACTGTCAGGAAGCTTCGATCCAATATATTGATTGAAAAATTTGTTCACAGATTCAAATATCCTGTACATTTAATGAAAGTGTGCATACTGTTTAGTGTTGATCAGTTCAGCTGTGTCAGTGTGACAACTTTGTTGTATATCTGTCTAAACAGTATCAGTTCTAACATGTACTTTTGAATGTCTGCAGTCGTGATTCGAAGGAATTTTATGAAATTATGCTTCATGCTTTTAATCTTCAATTTATGTTTATTACTATATGTTGAAGCGTTACTATTTTTTATTAAATAATGTAAAATTACTCGAGTTAGTTAACGCCCAATGTACATTTAGTATAATGATAGAATGTATTCATTCATCGTCATAGTTTACTAAAATATCACAATAAATTTTTACCTTAATTAATCCAGGTATGCATTTGTACTTTTTATTCAAACAAAACACAGTCATTTACTTCCGTTCGTATTTCAATGATTTTTTATTTTTAATAACTCAGTTTGTCTTGTTGAAAAAAGGAAGATCGTTGTTATTTTACAAACTCAATTAAATGTACACCAGGAAAAATAAACAAATGAACAATTCAACTGGATGATGATAATTTTCTGATGCATTTTACATAAAACAGTTTAAGCTTTTGAATACAGTGAAGATTTAATTTGCCTCTTCGTATAATAATTCATGCTATACTTTCTCTAACTATTTTCAAAATAAAAAAGCTTATTTAGTTAGAAAACTTTTAGAAACTAGTAGGATATGTTTTCCTATGAGAATAACCCTAAAGTGTGAGTGAGTCTGTCATTTCTTAGTTATTTATACATAATACATAATAATGATTACCAGTTCGGAACCCATACACTGATTGTTAAATAAACTAAGTTGACGAATTGATAAAAATCAATGTGATATTTCTAAGCTATCATTGATTAGAGAAAAAATAAATGAAAATTGTTCAAGAATAGAACAGCTTAAGTCAATGACATCTTTGTGAAAAAGTTCTCTTACATAAGAAATAAATTATTTTTGTTAGCAAATGAATGAGTCTACCTTCTTTGATGAATGACAATTATATTTCAATGTCAACCAAAAGTTTAGATTGGTGTCGTTTTGAATCATTGCCGTAACGCTTGTAATACATAATACTTGTGTTTACGGATTTCCACCTAAATATTCGCTGTATACTATTAACAAATACTACTTTGTGTAGGTCCCTTTAACATACTTTAGGCAGCACACTATCACAAGTAATGCGTTCAGTTTTATATGCGTTTTAAATGAAAATTCTCGCCTACTGTTAATCGATTGGTTTCCTGTTACTTTATAGGTGTAAAGTAGATCTTTTAGCATTAGAATATTAGATGAGAATATTAGAGTAAAGAACTTTAATAACCTAGAAATTTGATATGAGTACCAAATACCCCCACTCACCATATCTGTCATCTGGATATCATCGTGGTTTACTTGGCTGTAAACTTTATTAAAGTAAACAGTTAACAAACGAAAACATTTCGATTTTAAATTCTGTTCTTTTTTGCATACAGTGACCTCTGTATCTTGGTTATCTACCAGGTAAACATGAATTTGGATGATAAGTTTAGTATTACATTCGATTTTAGTGAAGCAAATGTACATGCTTTTAAATTGCTTAATATACAATAATCATATTATTCTATTAAGGTTTCCATGGCATTTTTTTCTCTTCTAATAAATGTTTTTCATTTCATTGTGATGTGATTCATTAGACTGTCTCTATTGTACTTATCGCAGGATTTGTAGCTCCCAGATTAAACCAGTATAAAATTTCGTAAGCATGCTACTTTAGTATCTTAGTAGTCGTTATTTTTTAATGGTTCTTTGGAGCATATCGCTTCTTATTCAAAACTAGGTGTTAGTACCAACTATTAGTAAATACTATATTATTTGTCTGACTTATTTAGTGCACCTTTTGTAAATGTAGACAGTCAAACTGTACGCACCTGTTAGATGATGAAGTCAGTGATAGCGTTAATAATAACATTATACTTTTAGTACAATATTGGAATTTCCGGCATAGAATATTTTAACAAGTTTCTTATAAAATGCGTATTCCCAGACAACGCAATGTCTCGGATTGTACTTTCTAGTATTTTATGAAGCTGTAAATTATTAATTGCATGCCCGAATAGATTGTGAAACTAGTAGACTTGTTTGACGTGGTAAAACAAAAGAGGTAATTAGTTGAAATATTTTAATGTTAAGAAATAGTTAATCGATATATCAAAGTAGGCAGCTAACAGTATCATGAAAAAAACAGGTTACCGTGTATTATTTTTTCTCATAACAATTTCATTTGTGTTTTGTTACAGAACTAGAGAATTCCATGTCATACATACTTTTAGATACACAGATTTTTCTGATTTAAGGGTCGGGGTAAAAACGTTAGTTAATTTCAGACGTGAATACTTACAATGAAACCAATAATTGTGCGTTATTACAGTGAATATAAGTTAGTACGCTAATACATGAATTTGACAAGTAATTTTACCTAAAGCATTTTCTTTCTCATTGTGGTGAGATAATGCAACATGTGTTATCGTGATAGTAAAAAATGTTATGTTCGTCTTCAGATTAAGATTTATGAACTTTTCTGGTGTTGTTTAGTATTCATAAAGGCTTTGTTCGATTATATTCGTGATCACACATAGATTTAATCCTAATAAAACTGGTCTTTTCAATTTTATTCATCATTATTTCAAAATCAGTCCCATTATTAAATGTCTTCGTTTAGCCGCCTAAAGCTTCTTTTTAATCTATTCCCATAGCAGTTACCATTTACCGTTTGGATAAGTAATTAGTTAGTGATGCATAATGTATTTCCCGATCAACCAAGTCGATTGACTTCACTTTTGTAACATAAACATGCAATATATTTCTATTCATATATTAAATGACTATGTCAACTACATTGCTGACCTGAAAGACATATCATTCTCTTTTAAAACAATAAATAAATAGACTGAAGATTTTATAGATAATTTTAATAAATATGAGTATTTTATCACCCTATAGAACAACTGTATGTGAAAATTTGTACTAAAAGTAGAGTTTTGTCTGATTATTGATATTTTCCTCAGCACACATGTATAAATACCTTTAATTTCCTTAAGAATGGACATAAATTCTGCTCTAAGTCGTATTGTTTTACACCTTTGGAATTATTCTTATGTCTGTAATACAAAATGATATTTAGTTATTTTTTATGATTATGAAAATATTCTACTAGTTTGAATTGTTGATATTTACGAATTCAGTTCAGACAAGGCTTTAGATCACTGCATCATATTTAACTATCCAAACACTGTACTCGTGCTGAACATTGGTGCAATTTTTTCTTTATATACCTAAGGCTTTTTTGAATTAGAAATTTTAATTAATGCTTCTTAAAACGTAAACAGTCAGCACATAAAGTTGAATAAAACTATGTTTAAAATACTTGTAACATTCCGATTTCTTTCCAAATAAAAATAATTCTGATGTTCCTCAGACTGTAATTGAAGCATTTGGAAACCATTTACCAGGTCAGAACTTATGGAGGACTCGTGTGAATTGACTAAGTAGAGATGAGCCTGTAAATGCTGTCTAGTTTGATTGTTTTAACACAACTTCACTATAGACATGATCCTAAAAATATAAATGGCAAGATCTAAAACTCTCCAGATCCCTTAAATAATAGATTAAGAATGATCGGGATACGGTCCGTGTCCTGTAGATGCTAAAGGTCGTTTCAAGATTACTGTTCTCCGATGAATAGACTTACTACAGGGAATGACCTCAACAAACAAACTGGCCACTGAAAAATATTTTTCTCATCTTCTGCTAATCTTTCACTAACAAAACACTGATATGAATACATATTATCCTTTGTATACTGTAAATGCTATGTGATATGCTGGGCAATAACTTAACCAATTGTAGTGCGAATAACGAATAATTTTAGGTCCCTAATTATTAACATAGTTAATATTTCTTCATTTGAACTATTATTGTTAAATACAACTTAGTTCAGTATCTATAAATTTGACTGTTAATCTAAATATTAATAGAACATATGAAGTGGTGAATTCGCAGAATAATTTTGATGTATTTTGGGAGTCAAATAAGTCTTTATCAACAGTCTTTGGAATGGTACTTCACATCCATTCTCTGTGTTCAAGCTTGCGAGTACATGTGACCATGAGTTATTAGAAGCGACTTAAAAACCAGATCTAGCGTTTATTTAGCAGACTCATCACAATATTAGCCAAATTCTTTTGTGATGTAGATTATCAATATCATTTAACTATTCAGATACGATTCTGTTTTTGCTAAGTACTAAATGATTTATTACTGACTGTGACTATTTCCTCTCGTTATATCAAGAATTGTGAACATGTCAGTGTTTGCTCTCCAGTATAATACTCACAAAGTCATGTTTCGTTACTCAGTTTCAATGTGCTAGTACAAAACAATGTAGCAACGTTGTTGCTATTATTACCTACTATCAAAATTCAAGACAAATAATCTTATTATATATCTTGGTGTATCAGGATTTGAACTCAGTCGCATTCTAACTGGTCAAATACATTAGTAGATTGACTAATTATCATGAAGTACTTAAGTTTTATCAGAATAAAATTCCTTTACATGAAAGCATCAATAGTGCTTTAAATTTTTTGTTTCGATATTCTACTGAGTACATTTTAATTTATAATATAAATTAATTATATTTTTATTCATATTTTTTCTTACTAGAAAGTGCATCGAATCTTATCAATCTAAATAAAATAAGTTCACGAATACTTGAAGATGCCGCATTGAAATTATGGTCAAATTTAAATCTGGATAGAATAAATTTTAATCATGAATTGTTAAAATTAACTGCAAAGTTACAAGAAAATATTGCTGTTAACTTCAATAATCAACAACAATATCATCATGAATATTGTAATGATGGTAACAATAATGATTATACTAATTATAGGTTAGCACAGATTTTCTCTCTGTCTAACTTCAAAGTAAATCCATCATCATCATCATCATCATCATGTTCACAGTCAACATTGTCATCGCCTTCTATAATACATGACAACATAAACAATTATAACAATACTAATGTTACTAAAATGAATTCCAAAAATGACATTGCATTATCACTAACTAATTATTCAACTGTATCACAAATTGCTCAATTAGCATCAGTTGCTAACCTTTCAAATTCTACTGGATTAGATCTACATTGTCCAGCTAACTTTTATGCACTAGAAAATGATAAACTGATCACTTCTAATTATACAAATGAGGCTCATACAAATATTACCGAAACTTTAATTCCTAATAATTCAGCTAACATTACCACTTCCATTGCAAACACCTTATTATCTGGTCATAATACTTCATCTTTTACAAATAACACATCTGTTCATTATACCGATGTTTCTTTTCAAAATCTAGCTGAAAATTCTAATGTGACGACTGAAAATGAGATTTCACATGATGTTTTACAGCAACAACTTAAAAATCTGTCTGATTATCATTGTCATCGACAACAAATCACAAAGTCAAAATTATCTGAACTACAAACTGAAGATACAAACAGTTCGATAGAAATAAAACAATCAAAGCCGTCAATAGAATTAATCAAAACTAAACAGACATTATATTGTTGCGCTATATGCCGACAAAGATTTCATTCAAATACTGGTCTAAGACGTCATAATCTAGCTTTACATGCAACTGAAGCTATGAAATGTGACCAATGTGTGAAAGTTTTCAGGTAAATTTATTAGAATGCATACAATTTTTTATTGTTGTTGATTGATTTATCGATTTCAAAGGTTTATAATATCAGTCTATTGAATATAGACAGATGTCGGATTGTTGTGAAAAATGACAAGTGACATCTTTTCGATCACAAACTGACAGTGTCAAGAAATTCAATTAGAGTGATGACATTGCAAAATATTTGTCTAGCAAAGCGTCAAACAACTCAGCATTTAGTCATTATTTTAATTAATACAAAACTGTTATTTGAAACTTCCATGAAATTTCTTAAAATAAATATTTCATTTGAAATGATAACGTAAACTCTTTTTCTAAATCAGCTGATAAATTTAGCGCCTAAAAATTGGATGCATTATGACTTTTAGTTTTATCATTATTTAGTTTCAATTACTGAGATCTTAGTTACTGGGTTGAATATCAAAAGATAGTCATATTACTCATCTGCGATATTCAAATGCTCGAATTTTTTATTACTGTACAATTCTTTGATTCTCAACTTATCTACTAAACTATGAATGTTTGATGCCATTACGGAAATTAGTATCTGAAGATTTGTTGAATAGAACTCAACTCCTCTAGTTTTGTAAATAATTTTTATTCTGGTGTGTAAGGAAGAATGAGGTACTCTTTCCCTAACTTATATTTCACCGTTAACCTATTTTGTGAGCTGACTTGATGTTTTGCTTCTAGTTTGCTAGTTTTGTTTTCTGTTTCTTAAGATCGTTTATTGTTGGAGCATATATGCGGTATATCTAGTTTGCCTAGATTCTGTTTCATTTTACCGAAATCTCCCAATCGTTCATTAGTTAGTATTTATTTAAGTTATTTCAGAATATAAAGAAACTTTTTACTTCATCATTTGTCATTATTCAATTCGAAGTTAACATGTTGTATGTGAATGACACTTCTTTCTTCCTATTTCTCGTTCATCACTTAATCGGTTATTAAATATCAACACGCATTTATTGATTACCTTAGTAGTACGTTTACATAATATGTTATTCTTTTTTCACTTGTACTCAATAGCTTTTGAGTATTAAACTAATAATCTCTATATTGTCATCTTTGATCACTGATACTCAACTGTCCTAGGATATCATTGAACACTTACGCGTTTAAATCAAATTATAAAAAATTAATCGATTTCATCAACTGATCATTTGACCACCAAATCGCTTTTCATAAAAGATTATTTTTTTGTTGCGTGTTTTGTGTTTTTGAGTCATCGTTTTTCATTACGTAAAAAAAACGACAAGACGAATAATTAGAAAATTTGAACTAGTTATCAGCGTTTGGTATTTACACTCCTAACTGTTCTTCATTTATTATGAAAGTAAAATATTAATATGAAATATTCATAATTATAAAACAACCCTATTTTTTTCACATTTGTAAATTGCAAACACAAGCAAACACGTTTACATTGTACAATAAAATACACATTCATTTACATACAAAACAATTGTAGATTATTGAATCAAGATACTAAAAGAGTAACAGTAATTATGTAAAGAATGAATAAACACATTTTGAAAATGTATTGATTCATCTAATGAATGAATGAATGAATGAATGATTTATTTGAAATATGTAACATGTATGTGTATTTGGTTACAATGATTTGAGATTTATACGAGATATTGTCTACATTTTCATGTTTAGATTATCAATATTTATTTATTTACCATTATATAGGATAGAATAAATTAATGTATAATGAAGTATCGAAATATAATTAGTAATTGTAAATAATTAAACAATTGTTCTGTTATCTCTAATAATCCAGTAAGTATGACGTAAATAAAAAATGAAAAGTATTCAAAATGATACATTATTTATAAAAATTATTATATATGTTCATTTCATTAAACAAAAGTGCGGAACATTATTAAGTACATTGCAAATGAATTAACCTAACTAAATAAGGTGAAATACTTATCCTTTATATACATTATGCTTTGTTTAGAATATAACTAATTGTCGAGTAATCTGTTCGCATTTTTTCTTGTGTTTGGATTACAATCTTATAATAAATGAAATAATAATAATAATAATAATAATAATAATAATAATAAACGAAATAATACTTCAACATGAAGCTAGATTATTATTTAAAGTTTAAAAAACATTGAATAACTGCTCCGTCTAGAATGTGGAAGTAGATATAAATGAAGTGTGAAACAATTTTCTCAGGTGACAATTGATGGCGATCATGTGCTATCGATAATTGATCTCTATTAGAAAATGTAAACTATTAATTAAAAGCTCTATGATCTAAAATATAGCGCGCTTACCACAAAACCTACTAGTTTTGTTCAATCAAAAAAAAAACATGCTGGTCAGAATTGTTATGACTCGTCAAATGATATTCTTGAAACTGTTAAGAGTTCACCTTAGTCAGTAAATGAGAGCGAAAACAAATGATCCAGTGACACGATAGGCTACTCTAATCCGAGCGTCCCGAATCCCTGCTATCAGTATCGAAAGTCTTGATATGGAGTAGAAAGGGTATTCTACAAGCACCCAGAAAGTATGAGGTTCACAAGCACACAAATGAAGTTTACTTATACAACATAAAAACGTCCTTGGGAGAGCCACCAAAATAGCGTACTAAAATAATGCATCGACCAATGACAGCCAGGGATTTACCTGTTAGGAAAGGTAATCTCATGGCCAACTGATCAGCCCATGGAAAAAATCAAAGTTAGGACGTTTATCAATTGAGTTCTGAGGATATAACATCGCCAACAAGAATTACTTTCCTAAGATGAAACAATTCTTCAGTATATTCTGGTCTATATTATTTATTTGACTAAAATTGTTCGATGATATACAACTATGAAATAAACAATTTCCATAAGCTAGCCTGTACTAACATCGATTTTTTGAGAGCATTAAATCGATTCAACATTAAGTGTTCAAGAAATATCAACAGTTCATGTCTGATTATAGATATTCATTTTTGACGAATCGCAAACTGTAACAATAAAAGTTACTCTCAAAAGTACATTAATTTTTCGTAAGCTTTACCTTCAAGATAACTGCTCTGTTTGCACTTTTCTTAGTGAAAATGTTATTTAGATAGAAACAGTTGTAGTAAAACTTCATCAACTAGAATTAAAAAGTAGTGTTCTAGTTACCTATTAATCATTGGATTCATAAATAATTATAATACATGTAATAGTCTCACAGTTAAAACCAATTATTAATAAGTAACTAATGGCGTAGTTTATACAGTCATTAATACTGAATGGATTTTATTAAAAAAAAATTATGCATTTAGATTAGTCAATTAAATGACTTTATTTGAAGTAATATAATCAAATGGAATATTCTTCATTTCGCCTTTTATTTTATCTAATTAACATTGTAAACAAACATAAAAAGGAATGTAATCTAAATTTTGTTAATTAAGTGTTATAAAATAAATAATTGTTAAAAATTATATTTTAAGCTCATGTTTCAAATGTCTATTAACAATTATCACAAAATGTTTTTTTTTCAGTCATGTACTATTCATAACGTTTATGCTCATAATTTTCAAATATTTTTAGTATACTTTCTCATTCTCAACATTAATTTTGATCATTTCATACAGTATAATATTCATTTAACTTTGAGCATTCAAGTATAATAAAAAATTAAATTCTCTTTAGTTACTTTCTTTTCAAGACGGATTAATATTCAGGTATAAAATTGAGAGAGACAGAGAGAAAGATAGTAGTAGCAACCACACTGACGAGAAGTTTTCTTCAGTATGTGACACCAGTTATTGAATAAATGAATTATCATTAAGTTTAAAGTTGTCCATTTTCGTAAATGAGTGTCATCAAACATTTCAACATTCGCGAAATAATTTATTATTCTGTCTCCTGTTAATGTTAAATGACAAAAGGATGGATTCGTTACAGAGCTCACTATGAGATGTGAATGTCCTAGGTTCGACTACTGATGTGATCGTTGGGGTGGATTTTTTATGATTCCTGCACTAAAACAATACGATTATTCAGTGTTGCCAAATGATTAACCAGACCTTAAGTTATATCAGTGTGCGAAGGATTTTTGCATCAATAACAAAAACATTCAGTGAATGTGAGAAGGTTTAGTCGTGGGGACATGTTTTACGTATGCTCACCCTCAGATTGCCTCGAGGAGTGATGTTTTCTGGTGTCGAAGTAGGTTGGCAGAAAGCTAGGGGCGGCCAAACCGAAACATGACACAAATCCATGAAGTCACTGACAAGTGGGCTGAGTCATGTCGCTAGGTGTCGATCACGTGGTTGGGGTCTGCGAGATGATAATAGTCGATTGTTAGAGACCCTGAATGGTTCAAAACCGTTTGCAATGGCACAGATGCATTCACTCTTTGTGTTCTCTCAAACTCTAACCTTCTGAATTCCGCATCATCTATATCTTTCTCCTTCTAAATTTATCTCACTGAATTATACTTCTTGAATAATTTCTTCAAGTCCTAATCTTTCCAATTACTGATAATCTTTATACTATCTCTACCACTACTGGATTTGAATTGACAGTTGCATCTCTGTTCTAATGCAGTATAGCAACCTGAACTGATGTACGTACGTACGAAGTTCTACGTTGTAACTGACCGACTTATAATATTACTAAAAGGTGGTTAAAAATTTGAACTATCAAACGAGGTTTTACAATTTTGCAAAGGTAATAAGAATAGAAATATCAAACAGAAGAGAATAGTGGAGGATAATTGTCAACATTGAGGAATATAATGAAGAAAAGGAAGAAATGAATGGTTGTTAAAATAATTTACGAAATAAGAAAGCGACTGGACAGACGGCTTCTGTAGGCAAAGATCACTCTTGGGTTGATGAGTTACCAAAGCTTTCTACAACTTCCTTTAGAACCCGTTCGTCTGACTTTATAAATAAACTTAATTGATAATTCTGGTAGAGATCATTAACCCGATGTTTAACAAAAAACATATTATGCCACCATTAGAAACCTGGAAGCACTGGACGGCCGTTTCGTCCTGGTGTGGATGCAGGCCCAGTGGTCCAATGGTTAGGCGCTCGCGCATAGTCCAGAAGGTCCCGGGTTCGAACCCTGCAAGGTGCAGGATTCGTGGATGCGCACTGCTGATGAGTCCCATACCAGGACGAATCGGCCGTCCAGTGCTTCCAGGTTCCTAATGGTGGTCTAACAATGATTGATTGATGATTTCAAATGTGTAAAAACACTAATCTCCATAACTCTAATTGAAATAATCATATTGATTAGTTTGAATTCACCTTGAGATAACCGTACTAGGTCCTGTTCGTTAACGCGTTCGCAAAGTGCGTGCTTTATATAGGCAGTTATAAATGATATTTTCAGTGTGTGCTTGTTTGAAATTATTTAGCAGTAAATATTATTAATATATAAGTTGAATGGTGATCTTTAATCCTTACAAATGTCTATGAATAATGGTTGTGTCTTTTATATCCAGTAAATCATTTTAGCAAATATTTCGATTCATATCCATGATCAAAAATCAAATTAGATTTTTTCAGGGTTTAATCTAACACCAAAATCGTTGAAGTATCATGATCATTACTTATTTATTGTTCAGCAGATTTGTGGACCATTTGTACAGCTTCAATGTAATATTTACCAAAATTTAATAGTAGTTGAGAAACTACTAAAAACTAGGGAACAGTAGAGAGGTATTTTATTTCGGATTGAAATCTCCATAAAACCCTAAAACAAGTGACTAAATAAGAAATTAAGCCTATAAACTTCAAGTCTTTAGAATAATATGGTGACTTTAGAGATGAAAAAAGTATATTAGTTAATGAACAACCTAAAGATCGATTGCAAACCCATGATCTCTGTAGTCAACCAAATCGGGAGTAAGGCGGTAAGGTAAAGATTTCGACATTTCTGGTGTTGGAAATTCAAACCGTTCGATTAGTTCAATGGTCAGTTGCTATCATACCTAATGTGGACCGTGAGGGTCAAGGTTTCACTTATATGCGAAATAACAAGTTGAAACTTTTAAAGAATCACAAACTGGGGTGACACGCTTATCCATTAGTTTCTGAATCTCAGTGGTTCGCTGGCCGATTTCAACTTACGCTTAAAGACACTTTCAAAATATAAGTAATTTGTTGTACTTAGTGTATAACTGCTTGATTTCCCTTAGATGGGGCATCGAACAGCAATAAAAATAGCTATTCCCATTTCAACTTGTGGTATGAATGTACGGATATGAATTTAGTGGCCATATCTATCACCTTTATAGGTTGTACAAACTCAGCACTTTTTCAATTTTTTTCATTCTTCAAACCTTCAAATGATAGTCAAAATCTACTTGGGATTGTCACTGACAATAAACGAGAGATGGCAGCAATAATAACAGTAAATATATTTGAATTCGTATCACCTCTTACGCTGGGTACATCTGATTGAAAATGCAATGAAAAATCTATATCTATGTTTGTTGAATCCTCAGTCTCAAAAAACATTCAGGTACTTTCACATTAGACGTAGACCGGTAAAGTACTTTACTCATTAGTTTTTCTGGACTGACTTGATGAAACAGATAACTTATTATGAAGTAATAGACAATTTTCTTCACTAAATTATCTGGAAGCGTCTTCGAACTTAAAGTATGGACGAGAAGTGTAATATGTCATTATATGAAGTTGTTGCATAGTTTCAATTAAGATATTAATGTTTTAATTTTTACTGCCTGTAAGTCTCACGCAATAATAATGTTTTATATTTTAGCGAGAGCAGGGCTTGAAGACAGGCTGTGTTTTCTATTATATCAATACTTTTTCCACTAATTTGAGTTAGAATTTTTGTTTGCTTTTTATAAATAATGATTATTTAGACATCAAGCAGCTTTATCTGATCATAAAAAACGTGTTCATGGTCCACGTGAATATATTTGTGGTATATGCTCTGCGGATTTCGCTACAGAAACTTATCTACGTTCCCATGTACGAATTCATGATGAGAAAAGATTCATTTGTTTAGAATGCAAACATGGTTTTTCAAATCCATCAGATTTAAAAAATCATATGCGAATACATAATGATGAAAAACCATTTGAATGTGAAGTAAGCATATTATTATTATTATTATTATGATCATTATCATTATTATTATTACTGTTATTATGATCATTATTGAGTTTCAGACTGTGTGTAGCAACTTTAGATATATGGGAAAAAATGCCCAATGGATTTGAATTCCAACAATATTTATATACAACAATCTCTTATTTACAACTGTAAATATACACATCATCCAGTGTAAAGAAAATCAGTTTTGATTTTACTATGAATAAAAAATTCGTACTTTCTGATTGAAAATAAATTTTTTTCATCGAAATCCCAAACTAGTCAAAGTTGGACTTTCAGTAGAAAAGCTGGAAACACTGGACGGACTACTGAGCAGTACATACTTTGTGTCCACTAGCTTCAAGATGAAGTTTCCAGAGTTCTAATGAGAAACCGTGACTAGTGGAGTTAAGCCATGTCGCGTGTGATGAAGATATCTACCGGAGAAAATGAACTGATTGAAGTTAAACTTTCATACCAGTAGATCTGGGTTCAATGGTCTAGAGGTTGGTCGTCTGCGTATGAGACCGAAAATCTTGAGTTTGTTTCTCAACAGTAGAATCGTGAATTTATGACAATAAACAGTCCCGCACTAAGGTTTCTAACGGTTGCCAAACTTCGGTCAGTTTGTCATTTTACTGAAATTCAATAGTCTCCATAATCCTACATTGATGATATTTTTGTTAACCTAATCGACTTCTTGATCTGTTGATGTTCATGACAAATTGGGTCAATGTCGATGTTTATATCGATTGTAGATTGACCTGAGTGCCTAACTTCTAAAAATTCTTCGTGCTCTTCCTATCCAATCTTTCAACATTGTTTCAATCGAACGTATGTCCATAATTGTCAGTATGTATATATAAACGAATGTATGACATGAGCGAAGACGTCTGACCCACCTACTCCTTAGCATTTATATATAAATTCTGAGAGTTATAACTCGAACAACTCGATAATTTTGCAGTCCATTTATTATAGTCAATGCCATTAAAAGATAGAAATAACCCATACATTTTTGTAATTTTTTGATTCAAACCTGTAAGTGTCATCTTACTGAACAAAACCACGTTCCAAAATCTAGCTAACTAGTCACTAAGCAGCATAAATTGCACATCAGAATATTGATTTCTATTTTTTGTTCACCTTTTCACTTCTCTTTTTAAGTTAGATTTTATATAATTATCTATCTAAAACAAGACGTTTGAGCATCTCATGTTTTCTTATTTTAAAAGGTGTGTGGCAAAGCATTCCGTCATGTTAGCGGGTTTTATGCTCACATACGAATTCATACAGGTGAAACACCATATCAGTGTGAACTGTGCGCAAAGAAATTTAGTAATGCAAGCAATTTCCGTATGCATAGAAGGGTACATACGAAAGAAATGCAGTTTCGGTAAGTTTTTCCCTTTTGAAACTATTCAACTGATATAAATACATAAATCATTTACTCAAAAAAGTTGATACTGTAAGCACTGTCTCATAATGAGAAAAAATTAAATGCAGCAGTTCGAATTATCATGGTTTAAATCGTGCGACGTTCTCAGTTGAGTCCAGTTTGTTCTGTGAGTGACTAGGTTTTCAAAGAAAGCTCTAATGGCTTAACTTTTCGATTGGACGATTGGACGACCATATCTTTACACTCGTAGGATTCACACTCGTTTAACGTGTTGTCAAAGGGTACAATCCCCCCCATTGAAGCAATTTATTCTCCATGGGTCTCTCATCAGACATTGATTGAGTAATAATCAGTGCCGTATTTGTCTAGTTCATAACAATAACCGAATTTTATTGAATAAGTTGTAGTTTATCTCTATGTTGTACTCTATTTTATAGTCTGTCATTACCTCATTACATCTATGTAATTCGTATGAAATGATAAATTTAATTAAATCCAAAACATTTTAGTTATTGTATCGTTTCTATTTCACATCACATCATAGATCGTCTTATTCAAATGATGATATAAGTTTCTTTCTAGAATCCCTCTTATTTAATGACCAGATAATAAATCTTAATAATACTTAAAGACTTGAACATGAGTAAGTCACTTTTTACACTTACTAATATGCCATTTGTTTTACTTGAACTTCTAAACATAACAATCGTTAATATGAAGAATAAATATCATTCAAAGGACGTATGAAGTCAACATTTATGATAATAAGTATTCAATCTAATTCATAGCTTGATGATACTTTACTTAACTCATTGAACAATCTACATTGTAATGTATGTTAAGTGTTTCTTACATTTTTGAATGAATAGTTTTATTACTGCACTTCTAAACAGGCACAACATATTTAAACCACAGATTCAAACTGCAATTTTTCACTCCCTCAACTTCAGTCAGTTTTTTTTATCCTATTTTCCTAATTCAAGATCTTCGTTTGAATAAGATTTTTTCATAATTTACAGCTTTTCATCAGAACTCTGACCATTCCAATATAACTGCTGTACTATGAAATTGAAATCCAACTCACTAGCAATAAATTGGTGTGCTCACTGAGATCTGAGTGTCCCCAAGATCTGTATCTTGTTGGGTTCTGAGTAAGCACTGTTTAGAATTCTTGGACTGTAATGAAACGGCTACTTAGTGTAATGTGGTTCTCAGTAGATAAATAACATCAAAAACAAAATAATTTCCAAAGACAAATATTATTATTCCTGTCTGATTATAGTAGTGTTTGGCTGATCAATTAAGAATATCAGCCAGTTAGGATAAATAGCGTCCTTATACTATTATGTGACAGCTGTTTATCAGTGTAGCAATTTGTGCTTCAGAGAACATCTCTTCATAATGCTACCTTATTTAACATCAGTTTCAGCAAAGTTATGATGTTATTACTGAATTGTATTTATGGCATATTTTCTTGATAACATTATGTTCTTGATTTTAATTTCTCACTAACAACTATTTTTTTTTAATATAGCTGTCAAACATGTGGTAAAGAATTTATCCAACCAAGTAATTATAGCCGACATCTACGCATACATACAAAAGAAAGACCTTATTCATGTAATTTATGCTCCGCGGAATTTCTCTATTCTACTTCTCTAAAACGACATCAACAACGTCATCACGGTTTAGAATTATTAAGATGTCAGTTATGCCAGAAAACTTTTCTCAATGAATCATGCCTTATTCGACATCGTACTGGTTGTGAATTACGTGCTTGTGTTAAAACGGCAGATGAAGAATTATACACCCATTTATTATGAGACTGATAATATGAGTAAAAACTGTTTACATTCAACATTCTGACTTCTCTTTCACAACAACAGAAAAATAATAATGATATTAAAATATCAACTTATTTTCTGTTTAATAAATAATAAGTAGATTGCAAATCTTGTTTCATCTAACCTTCTTTATTACCTGAAATAAGTTCTCTCCTATTTTTTTACACACACATAAAAATACAAACACAGATTTACAATAACATAAAAATATAGACATTTTTTATCATCATACTTATTAAAAACATTTTGATGACAAACATTTAATATCATGTTTTTTTATACAAACCACTTTTTATTGGTTTATTTTTTCAGTTTTTTAAATGAACTAGTTTTCACCATACTTTTACGATTATTCTGTCCGATAATATTTGTAACAATGATGAATAAATTGACAGATTTTCTATTTTTCACAAACCATGACCAGTTTTTTTTAAAACCACGATTCGACATTGAATTTTAAAAGCATTAATGAGCCTGTGTACTTATCTGATAGATAGATTTTGAGATCTAATGAAATGTAAAAACAAAATGTCGTTTTACTAACTGTCAACAGTTTGATGTCTGTGATTAAACAGAAAAGAAATACAATTAAATTCTATATTTTACAGGAATGGCTGAATTCGGTAATAAGAATGTAAGGTTTTTGTTTGATTTAATTTTTCCCTTTACTATAATAAAGAGGGATTAAAGTACTGAGAATCATTGAATTAGGTTGAAGAGTCAATCAAACCCTCAAAAAACCATATGAAGCACAAATAATAAACGAATACATCAAAAAAAATTATGTCGTTTTTTTATAAAAATTAACAACTGCTCCTGAGTAATTCGAATAATTTCAAGTACAATAATAGGACACTTTGGTTTCTTTTTAGATGTTAATTACCTGTAAGTGTAGATATTGTCCTTCTCTGTAAATTCATACCGTGCCACGTAATTACTAAAAGCAACGTGTGGCGACATTTATTTTTCTCCATTCTTAGCTCTTGAATGGCTGATTGTCTTTTCTCAGTGATGTTATATCGGGTAAAGGTTTCACTATTGGCTGGTTATTTTATGATTATTGGTTGAGCATTTTGATCTACTATTTTCACTGTTTTCATTAGACAGTCTCTATAAAAAAACTGTTGTTGAATAGTAGGATCACTTTGCTTGTCTTCAAGGACAAGTTGAGATTTTTTAATAAATCCATCGTAAATAATAGACACCCCAAAATGCGCTATAAAAATTCCAGTGGATTGACTTGCATAAATTCATATTTGGGTAACCATTTCGCTCGGTTAATGAAGAGATATTTTTACATCGAATCTACGTGAATCACACTCTGATTCTGTTCTAGTTGGTGTGACATTAAACTTTGCTCCTTCTATATGGAATATTTTTGTGTTTCACTGTCGTCTCACAGTTGATTGGTTTCTGATTTTGCCTTTATTCTTGAAATTTATCTACATTTTAAGTACGCCTGTATCGGTTTTATAAAACAGTGATTCTTTCGCACATTGTTGGGTCCATAATTCGAATTCGAAATGGCTTTGGCAGTTTTCAAAGTTTCCGCTCCAATTAGTAGAACAGTCCTGACATTTGTCCTGAAAATTCTGACTGGAATTGGTTGATTGTTGCTTTAGTTCCAGCTGTTCTTCAATTAACTCCGCCAGCAGAACCTTCGAGGTTACTGCCGATCCCAAGCCCAGATAAAGGAGAGGGGGTTAAACATGGGGTTGGCACCTCGATCCCAACCATAAACTAACTTGCCAGAAAAAATAAATCAAACCATTTTAACTCTGCCCTGAGAGTTGGAAGAAGAATTATGACGTTGCGTGATGAAAGCCGAGTCCCCTTGGAAGTCAATAGGCCGATGCCTCTTCTGACAACCAGAGCGACCATTCTTTTAGGTACATGGAACGTTCGTACATTGTGGGAGACTGGAAGACTATTTCAAGTTGCGGCTGAAATGAAAAGATACAACCTGGAGGTTCTCGCCGTCAGTGAAACGCGTTGGATACAGGTAGGACAACTGAGACTTGCTTCAGGGGAACTGCTGTTATACTCTGGTCATGAAGAGGAAAACGCTTCACATACACAAGGAGTTGCACTGATGCTGTCCAAACATGCACAAAAGGCACTGATAGGATGGGAATCTCATGGACCCTAGGATCATTAAAGCATCCTTCAAAACAAAGAAACAGGACATTACAATGAACGTCATCCAATGTTATGCACCTACCAATGACTACAATGACGACGTTAAAGATCAATTCTACGAAAGGCTGCAGTCAATCGTCGAGAAATGTTCACCAAAGGATTTGACGATTCTGATGGGAGACCTGAATGCCAAGGTTGGAATGGACAACACTGGATATGAAGACATCATGGGACAACATGGACTGGGAGAAAGAAACGAAAACAGTGAGAGATTCGCAAACCTATGTGACTTCAACAAACTGGTCATCGGTGGCACAATATTCCCGCACAAACGCATACACAAAGCCACATGGATTTCACCGGACCACATTACTCAAAACCAAATTGATCATATCTGTATCAACAAAACGTTCAGAAGGACTATGAAGGATGTGAGAACCAGGAGAGGAGCTGATATAGCCTCAGATCACCACTTGCTGATCGCCAAAATGAAACTGAAACTAAAGAAGCACTGGACAACAGGGCAGACAACATCACACAAGTTTAGAACGGCCTTTCTTCGGGATACCGTAAAACTCAACGGATTCAAGATAGCCCTCAGCAATAAGTTCCAGGCCTTTCAGGATCTACTCAATGGAGAAGAAACAACCTTGGAGAACAGTTCGAAAGAGATCAAAGCCGCAATCACTTCAACGTGACAGGAGGTAGTGTGTCACAAACAGCATCATCACAAGGAATGGATCCCTGTTGGTACTGATAAAAAATTGAAGAAAGGATGAACAAGAGGACAGCAATCAATGTCAGCCGAACAAGAGCAGAAAAAAATAAGGCACAAGCTGCATACACAGAAGCAAACAAAGAAGTGAAGAAGAGCATCAGAGCCGACATGCAAAAATATGTAGAGGATTTAGGAATGACTGCGGTAAAGGTTGAGATTGAAGGAAACATGACATATTTGTACGATAAGACAAATAAGCTCGCTCGAAACCATCGTAAAACGGACCGACTTGTAAAAGCAAGGAAGGCAAAGTAGTCAGCAACACTGAAGAACAGCGAAACAGGTGTGAGGGGCACCTTGAAAAACTCTTGTATTGACCAGTCCCACTGAACCCACCAAACTTCGAAGCAGCATCCACGAACATCCCAACCAATGTTGACCCATCAACAATTCAAGAGATCAGCATGGCCATCAGACAAATCACAGATGGCAAATCAGCAGAACCAGACAACATTCGAGCAGAGGTAATAAAAGCAGGCCTGGAAGAAACCGCAAAAATATTCTCTCCAAGAAGATTTGGGATGAGGAACAAGTACCATCAAAATATCAAGGAAAGGCGATTTCAGCAAGTGTGAGAACTACTCACTACTACTACTCACTCTTCTCTCAATACCAGGTAAAGTCTTCAACAGGGTATTGTTAAACAGAATAAAGGACTTTGTAGACGCCCGAATCCGAGAACAACAGACAGGATTTCGTAAGAATCGATCGTGTACCGACTGAATAGCAACATTAGGTATCATTGTGGATCAATCAATTGAATGGAATTCACCACTCTACATCAACTTCTTCGACTACGAAAAAGCATTCGATAGCGTGGACAGGAAAACACTACTGAGGCTTCTTCAACACTATGGCATGCGTAAGAAGATATTCAACATCATACGGAATTCCTACGATGGATTAAAATGCAAAATCGTGCATGGAGGACAGCTGACAGACTCGTTTGGTGTGAAGACCGGTGTCAGGCAGGATTGGTTACTCTCAACCTTTCTCTTCCTCCCGGTGATCGACTGGATTAGGAAGACGTCAACAGATGAAGGGAAACATGGTGTACATTGGACAACTAGGATGCAGCTGGACGGTCTAGACTTCGTGGATGATTTGGCACGCAACAACAAATGCAAGAGAAGGCAACCAGTATAGCAGCAGCAGACGCAGTTCTCAACATACATAGACGGAAAAGCAAGATTCTGCGATACAACACAACATGCGCCAACCAAATCATGCTTAATGGAGACGCCTTGGAGGACGTTGGCACCTTTACATATCTGGGCAGCATCATTTCCGATCGAGGTGGATCCGATGCAGATGTGTGGGCGCGAATCGGGAGAACAATGGCTGCATTTCTGCAATTGAAGGACAATTTTACTTACTTATTGACGTCTTTTGCCCCCGATGGAGCATAGGCCGCCCACCAGTTTTCTCTAACCAACTCTGTCCTAGGCTTCCCATTATAGTTCTTTCCAGTTTTTATTCATCCTTCTCATGTCTTTCTTCATTTCTCGCCGTAATGTGTCGTTTGGCCTTCTTATTTTCCTTTGACCTTGAGGCTTCCACGTGAGGGCTTGTCTTGTGACGCATTTGCGGGCTTCCTCAGTGTGTGTCCTATACGCCTCCACCGCTTCTTCCTGATTTCCTCCTCTACTAGAATCTTGTTTGTTCTCTGCTACAGTAAGTTGACGCTGATCGTCTCTGGCCAACGAATCCGAAGTATTTTGAGAAGAGAACTGTTCATAAATACTTGTATCTACTGGATGATGGCTTTGGTAATTCTCCAAGTTACCGCTCCATGCAACAGAATTGTCTCGACATTTGTATTGAAAATTCTGACTGGAATTGATTGATAGTTGTTTTAGTTCCAGCTGTTCTTCACTTGCAGAAATGCAGCCATTGTTCTCCCGATTCGCGCCCACACATCTGCATCGGATCCACCTCGATCGGAAATGATGCTGCCCAGATATGTAAAGGTGCCAACGTCCTCCAAGGCGTCTCCATTAAGCATGATTTGGTTGGCGCATGTTGTGTTGTATCGCAGAATCTTGCTTTTCCGTCTATGTATGTTGAGAACTGCGTCTGCTGCTGCTATACTGGTTGTCTTCTCTTGCCTCAGTAGTGTTTTCCTGTCCACGCTATCGAATGCTTTTTCGTAGTCGAAGAAGTTGATGTAGAGTGGTGAATTCCATTCAATTGATTGATCCACAATGATACGTAATGTTGCTATTCAGTCGGTACACGATTGATCCTTATGAACCTCAGCTTGTTGCGCTGTTGTCCTCTCTATGCTTCCAAGCATGAGAGATTTAGTTGTAGTCACGTTTCATGTAGTTCTCACACTTGCTGAGGTCGCCTTTCTTTAGTATTTTGATCAGGTACCCTTCTTTCCAGTTTGATGGTACTTGTTCTTCCTCCCAAATCCTTTTAAAGAGAATGTGGGTTATCTTTGTATTTGATGCCACATCTGCGTTCATCGCCTGTGCTCGAAAGTTGTCTGGTCCTGTTGCCTTGCCGCGTTTGATTTGTCTGATGGCCATACTGATCTCTTTGACCGTTGATGGGCCAGCATCGATCATGAGGCCTGTGGACGCTACTTCGATTTTGAGTCGGTTCAGTGCGGTTGGTTGGTTTGGGAGTTCCTTAAAGTGTACTACCCACCTGTTTCACTGTTTCACAATTATGCTTATAAGTTCGCCTATGTTTCTTTTCACTGGTCATTCAGCTTTACGATGGTTTCCAGCGAGCTTATTTGTTGTATCGTACAATTGTGTCATGTTCCCTTCTCCTGTAGCCTTTTCCGCAGTCATTGAGAGATCATCCACATATTTCCGTCTGTCATCTCTGATGCTTCTGTTCACTAGCCTGAGTACTTCTTTTTACTCAACCAGCCAAAGTGTCACGTCATGTACATTCTGCCCGACATGACGCAAACGATTTTCACCCTCAGTGCAAGTCCGTTCCCGAGCGCGATCTCAGTCTAATAACCACAGAAAGCTCGAACTATATAGCGAATGCAGCCAAGGCAAATGAGGCTCTCCACTTTATCTTAAAATAACTCGGTACTGTCACCTCACAATTATTCTTAACTTTATTTAAGACATACGCGCGCACATAATCGAAGGTTCACAACGTCATCGCACCTCCTCTGCTTAAAAGAGACACGCATCTCTTCGATCGAGTGCAGAGACGAGCAACCAAATGGGTGAAAGGGTTGAAGAACAAAGCTTATGAAGATAGACTCAAGCACTTGAGATTATTCTCCCTGAGTTACATGAGAATCATAGGTGATCTGATTATGGCGTACAACATATTAAGTATGCCAAACACCGCAACTTGAGCATCTTTCCGATGGATCGCCTTCATTCCTCTCGAGGAAGTCCTCGAAAGATTGCACGTCAAAGAGGGAATACTCAGGTTTGAGCACACTTTTTCTCATTGCGAGTCGTCGCAACTTGAAATGCTCTCCAAGCCGAGGTAACCACAGCCCCCTCAGTGGACAGCTTTAAGAAGAGACTTGATAATCACGTACTCACATAGTGATTATCATCCACCTCTTGGACAAGCTGTGACTGATGCATGTCTTGAGACCTGATAGTTTTTGTCATTGCCAGGTCACTAACTTAATCTATCTCTCCCGTTGTCTCTGCTTACTCGCCCTTGCTTATACTACGATCCTATATACATTCTGCACTACCAATCAATAAACCAAATTACACATTTATTTACTCACTTCTGAAGTCTTCTTATAAGCATTACAACTTTCCCCTTATTATTCTCCACATTGCAAATAAGTGGTCGTATGTCTGGTAATGTGACAGCTTCTGGTATACAGATTCCCTACACCCTTGAAACAAACGTATATACTCAAATCACTGGAAATAGAAACTCACAAACCACTGCCAACTGACAAGAATTAGACAGTCGAGTGGCTAGACTACAATTTATTGAACATTAATAAACACCTGGAACCGTACCGAAAGGACAAGAATCGAGCACAAAGAAATCAATTGGTTTATGCTAGCTCGTGAAAAAGATATTGGATATTAATTATACACCGCGTATTCCGACCGCTACGCAACGCCGAAAGGTTTAGTTAGGACCTTGGTATGGGAGTAAGCAAGTGAAGGTCAGTGAAATAGTACCTAGGTTTTTTGTATAATAAATAGTAAGGGAGACATATTGATACCCTTAAACTATATTTTGGCTAGCGAATTAACATCTTATATTACTCAGTTCTGAAATTTTATTCACATTATCATTTGAATTTTATCCTTATTATCCTTATTACTCTCCACATTTCAACTAACTAATCTCCGGTCTGGTAATGTGACGGCTGCTGGTATCCATAAACCTTACTGCCCTGAAACAAACGTTTTCATTCCAATCCTCAGACATACAAACTTACAACCAACTGACTAGAATCAGACAGTCGAGTGGCTAGACCTCCATTCATTGGACATTACCGAACACCTGGAACCGTACCGAAAGAACAAGAATCGAGCGCGAATCAATCAGTGGTTTACACTAGCTCGTGAAAAGATATTGGATCTTTTCGTTATGGAACGATATATTTGAAAAGATCCTACGATAATGAATTATAAACCATTTCAACGCGAGTAACAAAGTTATTTAAATACATCATTGAGGTTCTCATCGCTAACTAATACTAGGTGCAATGCGAGAATTAGTTTCGTGTTGAAGTCTGATAATTTCGACCATATAACGAACTGATCAGATCACTTTTTTAATTAACACCTCTCAGATACACTTATATAATGATGTCTTCGATCAATAATATTCTTGTTTACCGCTCACAATTTTAAAACTATTATGGGATTCGAATTGACAATTCGATCTCTGTGTGTTAATGTGGTATGGCAACTTGAAATAATGTACGTGCATGCAAAGTTTTAAGTTGTAGCTGACTGACTGAGTTTGTCCATGTTCTTTATTTCTGCCGAAATACCGCTTTGTATTACCGTCACTATTTCAAAATGATGATGGTCGGTTAATTTCCTCTACCACTGATTTAATTATTTTATTTGACCTGTCAGATACTTTCTTGTCTTTGAAGGTTGTACAAAACTTTAAAATCAACACCTTCAATTCTGACCCTAAGAGCTTCGTCTTAATAAATCTTTATCTAGTTGTAGTGAGTTTAACAAAATAAATGGTCAAACTGCTTCTTTCGATCATAAGTTTTGGTTAGAATTCCGCGTCTACAGTGTTATGGTTGACGTTTTAATATATTAAAGTTAGAGCGCCTACTGTCGATTTCGAAAATATTTTTATCCTTGCAAATTAATTTATCCTCGATAACTTCTATCGGCGCTTATTTGCTTGGCTAAGACGTCAAAGTTGCAAAGTCGTTTGACAGTATTCTCTAAATGCACCTTAAAGTTTATCACAATCAACGGCAAAATCTACTTGTGATTAACGGCTTTTCAATCAGACGTTAACGAACATTAACTGTTAATTTCAATTTTTCTGACTAAAATTTTCCAAGGGCAGTTTTATGACCAGTGTCATCGTGTATCCTCCTAGTTTCTTGCCGCCGCCCGTCTTGCTATATGCTGACAATATCAAGATATTTAAAGCAATATAAAATGTACGGACTAGTATAAAGCCTTAGTACTTAGCAGAATGTTCTAACTCTTGACGACTTCCCATAAAAGCCCTTAAGTAAATCTTGATGCATACTGAACACTAAAGCTTGAATAGATACACAAAAAATAACAATAAATCACTCATTCGGAAACAGTGATGTGCAGTGGTTATCACATTGGTTTCAGAATTATTTCATACTGCCTTGAAGTAGTCGTGAGACGCTTTAAAACCGGCTGGTAAGCTTTCAGCCACCAAGATGTTAAAATATTTATCATATTGCTTACAATCTTTATTTGAGCAGAAATCGATTGATCAATCAAACTCCTGATTCATACCTGGAAAAGCCTCAGCTGTAAGCAAAAGTTTGAAAGGATCACAACTAACCTTATACCTAAAATCTCAGGAATGCTGTATGACAAGAAATTAGTTATACTAAACCTATTCTGCTTAGGCTAAGCAATAAGTAACCAAATCGTAGTCTACATTGGGGGTAACAAGCGTAAGTAAGTAAGTAAGTAAATCGTAGTCTTCAAATTACTAGGGCAATCAATGAAAGGTCCCAAACTTAGGGCTAATTGCTTGTTATGTGGCTGCTGATATTTCTGTCGAGTCATCATTAAATGAAGCATTTTAACTTAACACGTCCCAGGCTTAGACGTAGCCGAGATTTGTAACTTATTCTTTACTAAGGATTTCTATGAGATCTTGCACTAATTACACTTAACCTGGATCATGCTAAATTTAATGTCATAATTGTGTCGACCAGCGTCCCCTCTAACAAGTTTTCTGATTGCTCTATCCTATTTCTTCAGATTCAGAATATTAAATTCCCATGAGATTCGGTAGCCGAAAACGTTTGACATTTATGTGACATTCGGGATACATTAAAGGGCCTTCTTGCTTCACTTGCAGTGGCTTCGGTATCTTTTACTTTCGAAGCCTCAACAATCAAAAATTTACTGTCCTTATATCTCATCTGATTCATTTTTCTCTGTGGATATGAGTATTCCTCTGAATTAGCGTATTCAGCTTTCTGCTCACTTCATTACCTGGATTATTGGTTTTTAATTTATTAGGAGGGTGGTAGCTGGAACTTATAGAGTCAGTAGTTAGCTTTCAAACTAGATGGACGTCTTATTCAAAACAAACTTGTGGACTTGAATCCTGATTTTCCTTACAGTTTGTCCTTACATCTCATATCTTGGTTTAAATTCGTGTACTATCTTCACCCAATTGGTCAAAGCTAGAACCTTGTACTGCATACACGTTAACGTTAAAATTACTGTGTATCATACTCGTCCCTTCCATAGTTGGTCTAGCTAAGTACACGGATATGTATGTATTCGTTAAATACTTAATCTACCCACATTTAACTTCTTTAAACCTCTACATACCCCTAAAGGTATTTCTATGCTTTGCTATCTCACCAACCCATTCATATTTTTATGTATATCGTTTCCTATTTTCGCGATAGCCGATGCTGTTTGCAATTAGATGGTTTGGTTATGTATTTATTGTCTTTTAGAGTTTATTACATTTGACATACAAAGGACAAATTACTCTACCAAGCTCTTTTATTTCAGAGAAGATAGTCACATCCATAATGGCAATTCCTGATGAAATATTTGACCTGGTTTCAAAAGTTTCGAATGGGAATGGAAATGCTGAAGATTATGAACGCATTTGTTTCATTCTGTCCAATCTGACAACTGCAGAACTTTGTTCTGTTTTTCAAAAATGTGATATTTTAAAAGCGTTGATGTCTGTTGATTTAAATGACAAGTTTGTTTTACCGACTGTCCAATAATATTTTGTTTATAGACAGTCCGCTCAAATTGCGATTAAATTAGCTTCTATTATATTCTCCCTTATACCGTTATTTGACTTTGTTCAATCTCACCAAGAAGAATTGTTGTTAATACTTGCATCCACAAAACTCGATCTGATTGAATTCATTTTAAAAAGGGTAATCCTATTCTTATTCTTCAATCATGCGTGAAGCTAAAAGCTGGTATAGTTGAACCTAGTTGTTCAGTAGACAATTTACCAGAATGTATTTTAGAGTCAATAGCTCGATTAGTTCTTCATGACAAACTTTCTTTATCTGCGGAAGCACAAAATTTCCTGATAACGTTGGGTAACATAACAAAAATATAATATTCTAATCACATTTTTCAGCTACAAAATGTCCAATGGGTTTAAAGAAAGTTCTAGGACCCAATGTAGTTGGTACATTTAATTCTCTGTGTTCTAAATCTGAGCATTTTATAAGAGTTTCTGAAGTAAGTTATAAAAATAACCCTTTATTTTTTGAATTAAGTTTGCTGTACATCTGGTTTCTGAAAAACCAGAAGCATTCAAAGTTGTTGAAAATTCTGGTTTATTTCAACCTATTTTGGATGGTTTGAATTCAAAAGATCCTCTAGTTCGTTTGAACTGGTTAGAAATAGCGAAATTGTTGACTGTTTCAGAGACAGGTTATCACTTTCTGAACGAACAGGGTGTGTTCTCCAGATTATTGGGCGATTTGCATTCTTCTGCTTCGGATCCATTAGGTGATTTGCTAGTTCCAGGTGAGTTTAAATACATGGTTTGGTATAAACCAGACTAATATTTATGATTAAGTGATATTCATAATAAAGTTGTTACTTTATTTTGTGTTTACGAAATCCTATGATCCAGTTTGAGACAAATGACAGGTGAGCAGAAACCTAGGCCTTCGTCAATTTACAAATGGGACTAAGCTTTATGAACCAACTTGACCAAGATTCTAGCCAGTCAGAATGCAGGTTGTGCAAACGAATAATCCAAAAAATTAGACAATAAATCTATTTTGAACATAATCAATACACTTATTGAAATGCTTAAAAGGTTTATTTCCATTAAAATCAATGTACTTGAGATACGAAATTTCGTCATTTTACATCTAAAGTTTTTGTAAGACCAAAGATAGTTGTTTAGTCGTGACCACGTTGCCTAAACATTATTTGCGCGGTTATAACCTACCTAATCCGCCTATATAAATTATGGCCAAAAGAATACTGTTGAAGACGATACTAAAAGACCAAACAGACAACTATATGTATGTAAAACGGTAGCCGTATGGAAAATGTGTATCACTATGAGTTATCACACCTTATATAGAATATAGAGAATAAGTGTTACTGACTGCTTTACAATCATCTAAATAAAAGTCACTAACCGTAGATTGTGATAATCTCATAAAGCCCAATCGAAACCTAAATCTCCTGATGAGGTCTAAATTATCATTCAAAGACTCCAATCATCAATGTATTGGCTTGTTTTGGAAACCGCTAACCTTTTTCCTACTTATTTCGTCCCGTGAATATTAGCACCTTCCGTTTTTCTTGTGTTGCGGCACACAGATAAAATTTCAAAACCTCACCGACTAATTTATGAAGAGTAAATTTTATATAGATATAGTGACAAGAACGTGTTTGACTAATTTCACCATGTATATAAAGTATGAAAACCATCGGTATATTTAGGGCTTAAAGAGAACTGTCACCAGAACTGTAACTTCGGGTGGTGTTTGATAGGGTAATCTACAATCAACACTTTTATTTAACTGAACAAATTTGGAAATAACACCACCTAGCTTTCTATGGATTGGTTCCCTATCAGAAGATTTACTTACTGACATAGAGTACGTATATGACACAATCCTACTTTGTAAAGAAACTGATAAATTTTAGTCTTCTGATTGGTCTGGTCAATAATGCAAACACGTTCGTGATGAGTATTCAAAGTTACTTCAGGACCGGTTTCTCTCATCGAGATTGATCATAGTGAATTAAATCATTTGTTTGTTTCTATGATTCTCCTGATTACGCTTAGGCTTCACTTTTCGATCATAATTTCTTCATCTATCTCTGTAATGAATGTTCAAGTCCTTAACAATAACTTTACTCTTAATTCCATTAGTCGAAACACAGTTTTATACTTTTATCTAATATGCATCACTATTACTATGTTTAGCAAAAATTTAGTTATCGCTATGATTGTAATTATCACCATGTGAAAAAAGTAAAAGTTTTCAGTTGTACAGCTTTATGAATGAATTCGTTGAAAAAACTCTTCGATGAGGCAATCTTCCTCATCTTATGTCTCAATGGTTATTTAATTAATTTATTATCATTATCATCAATAATGTTATTACTATACAAGTTTTACCACTCCTGTCAAGTTAGTGTCTGAGGAAGATTCAGAAAGCTAGCTTAGCCTTTGACAATGTGCCGCTTGTGGCGTTGGCAAAATATCCGTCTTCCAACCAAGGGGCGAGTATACTATGCAGAAGTTTGGTCTGTTTTTTTTTGCAGATGTGAGATGTGGTCTTTACAAAATATCATCTAGAAAACAAGGCCCAGATTTGGGCCTATATTATGTAAGACAAATCCTCTAGACGAGTCCTTGTCATCGCCTTTTGCGCAACGTTTACTTTATATTATCGTTTTCGGCCGTATGTGATGTATTCGAATATTCACTTTTTGAAACAGACAGTCTATCAATTTCTTTTTTTCCGAAAAGGATACATTGGCATATTCGCTAGTCTTGCTAAACGAGACCCTGATCGTTGGTTAGGCTCAAACAGCGATGGAAGGTTTAAGAATGTGTTATCAAATGCAGTAGATAGTAATGCTATTAGTATTTCTATGGTGGCATTTGAATCTATTGGCTGTATAGCAACTACACCAGCAGGTCGGATTACTTTAGATAAGTTATTTGGTGAGTATGGTAAAGTTCTTTTGTCTCATTTGTACCATTGGTTTTCATTCCACTTATTCCATGTAATAGATATAGTCTAAAATGGTAATTGTTCTATTCATTATAGTAAAGAAATCCTTGTGATAAATACCTATTTTTAATGCATTTAAATTACAAACATCTTTAACCATCCGAACTAAATCCAGCCAAAACATTTTCACTCTGATATGTAAAGCAATAGATGCAGGGTTCTTGTCCCATTAATAGTGCCATCACTCACTGGATTCACTCTCCAACTTGGATAATTCTTTCCATTCCCAGTCATCATCACATATAACTACTTCTGTTATTAAACAATCGTAAGCAATAGTCAAAGACCACTTTTGCGCCAGTTGTCTAGGTATCTAAACTTTAGAAATCAATAGACGATTTGGTGACTCGTTTCCAGGCTAACCCAGTCAAGGCATTTGAGCTGTAAACGTCTTTTTCTTTAGACTCAGTATTTACTACCATAGTTCTCGTCTACGAAAAAGCTTAAAGCTTTCTTACACTATATCATACTTACCTACGCTCGCTACATACGTTAAGCGTGATTTGACCATTAGTATGTAAAGTAGCGATGTGACAAGAAGTTAGCTGTTTTTAAACACACTGTATGTACTATTCTTGTTTGTTTCCACTCAATTTTGATTTCAGCTAAAAATTGCTCATTGGATGGTGTTTTAAATAAGCTTTTTGTATTGGTTTCCAATTCACCAACTGATATATGCACTCGAGCTGTTGAATGCTTTAGTTTACTTCTACGTCGACCAGATGGTATAGATTCAGAGGGCTTATTTACCGATGCTGTACTTTCTCTCAATTGGGCAGTTATTTCTTGTCAAAAAAGCATTGATATAACAACCATTAATTCAATCGAAGATAAAGAGTCGTTGATTGCTCCACTACTAAAACGTCTTTATTGTCTTGCAACTCAACCATTTTTTGAGGTGCGTGTAGCAGTATTCAAAACTATAGACGCGATTGTCACGCAAGTAAGTTTTAAAATTCATTGTTTCTGAGTTTTCGTTTCTAGGTGTTCATTTAACTTAAAGTGATCACGTACACGTTTGTGCATTCATTTGTGAACTACCAAAGTAGGTGAAGTGAAATTGAAATCTGTTGCTCACAACTTCAGCCACTATCACTATTGCAGATCAGTCCTATGCACACCAATGATTAACGTCGTCTAATAAAAATAATGAAGTTTTAAACCTGAAGTTGGAAGAGTATATAAAGCCTAGATTCATGGAACTGTCCTGTTTACGACTAGTAAAAATAATAAAGACAAGGTAGTAAATGTGTTTGTCGCGGCTACTTTTCTCGGTACTCCTACACTTTGTACATCAATCGGCTGGAAAACCGTTATTGCTACAACTCTCAACAGTGTACAGTTTCCTGAGGCCAAAACGAAGTAATCAGAATAGTTTATTTCAAATGGAATATGCTCCGAACCTGTAGATACCCGTCTTTCTATCCTTTACATTTACATGCTTTTGCAGATACACGCAAATTGTTGTAAGAAATCGGGGATATATATTACGGGTATTTGTCTACCTTTGTTTATGTTTCTGAACACATTTTATGCAATGGGAACAATATCGCAATAGGAAATGTTCTTCAGAGCTATCTTTAACGTCGTAATGACAAATCGTTTCCATAATTAGTTATTTCTGCCGTACATTGGCTCGATGGTTATCTAAAAAACGAGAACCAATTCATATAGAGTTGGCTGTATACAGTTTAAGGGTCATGTTTAAATTTGTAGTAATCGACCAAGTAAATCTATCCAATAAACTTATGACTTCCTATGAAATACCTTTACAGCTTACCAATATCTCCCTGCGAAAATCGATTAATATTGTTAGCCAACACTCACATCCGTAAAGTAGATATGTCTAGTTACAATTTAATGGTAAATTATGCCTTCGAACAGATGGTTTGTCTACGGGAAGTCCTTCAGGACTAGTGGCCGATATATTCGTTATGAATTTATAAAGAGCAAAATTAGTGTCCTCTGTCACCGAGATCAGGTGAGGTTTGGTGTTGGTACTTTCGTGTTGTGCAACTACATGTATCATGGGAACCAGATACTTGGAACTATGCAGAAACTAAGTCCTTCCTAGCATCAAACTTACATTTAAACATAAAAAGGTGCTCCATTTCGCAGGTCTAAGTATCTCCAAAAAATGACGAAGCCTTCTAAAGATACGCATGTTGGAAAAAAAACATGAAGTGAACGATACTTGAACTTCTATAGCTTTTGCCCTTGGGTACAAATTTAAATTATTCATTTTGTACTGCCTTGTATGCCTATCACCTTTTTTTTATGTGAATAGCCCTGGGGAGTTCGACAGATAGCACGACAACCCGGATTCTTCGAGTATTTGCTGAATCGTCAAACGGAACTCGGCCTTTCAGATAAAATACAACTTATGCAAGCTAAATTAGACATTATGAACAGTATGCTAAAAACATATAAATTATGGATTTGTAGTGAGTGTAAATCATTTCAAAATTTGATTGACAGACAGCAATTGAAACCAATACAGCTTTATATAAAGGAAGGATTATGGGGTGTTGTAAAATCTGAGGCCGCAGTGGCTCTTGAACCTGGTTAAATTATTAATGATGTTCAAAATGTAAATGATATGAGTAGACATATTTCCTTTTTTGTGCTTGGTTACCAAGTTATTGTACCTTTTATATTTCAGTGATATTATTCATGTAATAATTCTTCAAAATAAGAATTATGAAAAACAATTGAATTAGTAAGCGTTTTTCTTGAATGGCTGTTAACTGTACTTTAAACAGTTGTTAAATGTGTAGGTTCAAAAGGAATCTTCAGACAAAGTAAAATCAAAATCAGTTTAACCTGCGCATAAATTATGCACAGAATGAAATCAGTACAATTATGTATCGTTGACAAGCACCACCTATTCGTAGTATAACAGAGTATGGTAAGCTTTCAAGAATCCGGCTTTACAAACCGTAGATCTCAAGCACACACGACGTACCGTACAAAATATCCAGACGTTTTAATTACATCGAATATACCAGTAGTCCTGTCTTACAATGAACCTCTGTAGCTGTTACTCAGTGCTTGAATGGTTGATAACAAAACATAATCAAGCACTATCTCTTAAGCAATTTTTTAGTCTCACTGAAGTTAAAACAAGTCTTAGTCACTAAACTTGTCTTCTGAAATCACTAGGCTAAACTTACTTACTCCTGCCAGCCCCAATCGAGCATAGGCCATCGACCAGTATTCTCCAAACTACTCCGTCCTGAGACTCCCTTTCCAGTTCTGTCCAGTTTTTGTTCATTCTTCCCACGTTTCTCCATTTCTCGGCGTACTGTGTTTCTTGACCTTCCCTTTTTCCTTGTCTTGTGACGCAGCTGGGTGCTTTCGCAACGTGTCCTTTCCACTTCCAGCGTTTATTCCTGATTTCATCCTCCGCTGCAATCTTGTTTGTTCTGATGGTGTCTGGCCAACGGATCCGCAGTATTTTGCGTAGATAATTGCTAATAAATACTTGTATCTTCTGGATGATGGGTTTCGTAGTTCTCCAAGTTTCCGCTCCAAATAGTAGAACTGTCCTGACATTTGTATTGGAAATTCTGACTGGAATCGGTTGATAGTTGTTTTAGTTCCAGCTGTTCTTCAATTGCAGAAATGCAGCCCCTATTGTCCCGGTCGGCGCCCTCACATCTGCATCGGATCCACCTTGATTGTAAATGATGCTGCGCAGATATGTAGAGGTTTTTACGTCCTCTAAGGCATCTCCATCAAGCATGATTTGGTTGACGCATGTTATGTTGTATCGTGTAACCTTACGTTTCCCTTTATTCATGTTGAGACCTACTGTTGCTGAGGCTGCCACACTGGTTGTCTTCGCTTGCATTTGTTGTTGCGTGCCAGATCATCTGCGAAGTCTAGATCGTCCAGCTGCGTCCTAGCTGTCCAGTGTATCCCATGTTTCCCTTCAGATGTCGACGTCTTCCTAATCCAGTCGATCACTAGGAGGAAGAGAAAGGGTGAAGGAACCTTGCCTGACACCGGTCTTCACACCGAACGAGTCTGTCAGCTGTCCTCCATGCACGATTTCGCAGTTTCCATCGTAGGAATTCCGTATGATGCTAACCATCTTCTTAGGCATGCCATAGTGTTGTCCTGTCCATGCTATCAAATACGAGAGATTTACTTGTAAAATTTCCCACGAATAAATTATCCCGAGACATCTGTTAGCCTTCAGACTCACTTCATTAGGGGCGATGATGACGAATGAATGGCTGCTAGTGACATACACATATCTTGTCTAAATTCGTACTTCTTTTGTCCACCAAGTACATTAATGCAAAGTTGTAATAGATAAAGGAACACAAACTGTAGTTAGAAAGCTGGTATTTCAGACATTTATGTGAGCAGGTAAGCTGAACAAGTATTTATGGAAAACGAATAGATGCAGACAGGAAAGACAGTAAGAGACTATTCGAAATATTCAATGCCGAATCGACAACTTACAGAATACAAATAATGGAGGCAGACATGCAACCACACAATCAATAGTTGGCAATGACAAGCAACAGATATATTAGTCACAAAATACATGATCAGCTTAGAATGATTGTCAGATTTTTCAGGGGTTGACCTTCTACCAGGAAAGTCGCTTACTGATCTAGAATATGCCGATGACATAGTTCTATTCGGTGAAGACGCTGACAAAATGCAGAATCTTCTGACTAGCATAAGCAACAATGCAAGCATGTTTGGGATGCGATTCTCACCCTCGAAATGCAAAATGTTGCTTCAAGATTGGGTTGCATCGGAACCTGAACTAGTGATAGGGAGTGAAGTAGTCGAGCGTGTTGATCACTTCACTTATCTGGGGAGTCTCATCAGCGCTGATAGCCTGGTGACTGACGAAATCTCAGCACGGATACAGAAGGCTCGATTGGCTTTTGCCAATTTGCGTCACTTATGGCGTAGGTGAGATATCCGTTTGCTGACTAAAGGACGGGTGTACTGCGCAGCAGTTCGTTCCGTTCTCTTATATGGCTGTGAAACATGGCCGTTAAGAGTAGATGTTCGTAGGTTACCATTATTCGATCATAGATGTTTGAGAAGCATTGCTCGTATATCTTGGGATAGCCGAGTAAGGAATGCTGTCGTTAGGAAACGAGTACTAGGTAAGGATGGCAGATCAATCGATGAAGTGGTGAAACTTCATCAGTTGAGGTGGTTGAGACATGTGTTACGTATGGCTAACCACCGACTGCCTCGATGAGCTATGTTCTTTGATGTAGGAGTAGGTTGGAAGAAAGGTAGGGGCGGCCAGACCAAAACATGGCAGAAATGCATGAAGTCACTGACAAGTGGACTGAGTCATGTTAATAGATGCAGACTACCTGGTTAGCGACCTTGAACGACATGGCTCAAAATCGTTTGCAATGACGCAAGTGCATCCATTCGTTGAGCTCTCTCAAATCCTAATCTTCTGGATTCGTCAGCACCTCTACCTTTGTCTTTCTAACCTTATCTCAATGAATTATACTTCTTGAATAATATCTTCAAACCCTAGTCTTCCTCATTACCATTAATATCTTTATCACTATGGGATTTGATTTGACATTTGCGTCTCTGTGCTAATGTGATATGTTATGTACATACGTACGAAGTTCTACGTTGCAACTGACTGACTTAGAATGATCAGTCTGTCCAAAAGTTAGGAGCATCATAAACTAAGACAAGTCACCCTAAACCGTCTAATCGATTCGATGGAAAACTCACAGATTATATATCCTAAGACTTTTCATAAACGAATGGTTTCGAACGGTCATGAAACTAGGATCATAAGAATTGTTACCCCAAATCTAGCATCGACAGCTAACATAGACACGCCAGTTAAAGGCATGTTTGATGGCCACAAATAATTGCCCTAATTATAGTTTTGTAAACTTATTCATACTAATGGGTACGTTGCTAAGTTTCGAATCTGTAAGCATAACACTTCCAAGTACATGACTTGATTGAAACCGTCTTCACTTAGTGATATCCATTCGCGATGTATATTTATATATATGTAATCGGAATATAGAAGCTACTTGGGTTCAAATATTAACCTGAATTTCAATTCTGAATACTAATTCACAAGTGCCTACAGTATGTTTTGCACCTTCAAGATCATGTTATAATTCACTCAGTGGTCTACTTTCCTAAATTATCACTTTAAGAAACAGTTTCGGTAATTGTCCGATTGATATCACAAGATAGACAGAAGTCTACGAAATGTTTATAAAAACATTTATGTCTATAGCTGTATATCTCTGTGATGATAATACATTTCAAATGGAAAATATCGAGGCACAAATCGAAAAAAATATGTATATACACATTCTTGTGAACTAACAATATTCAGTTATCAGCAACTTTTCGCTTTTTATTGTCATTTTTGTTAACTGCCTGACGTTTTCGTTTGAGAACACGCACTTTTTGGCTATTTTTTGGTGAAGGCACTGTTTTAATAGTTGGCTTAGGCTTGTTAGAATCATTCTTAAGAGATTTCGTTTTTGCTTTAACTTTATCAATTGTTTTGGATTTAGTTGCATTTTTCTCTATTTTCTGTTTCTTTAATGCTTTTTCTTTACGCTTCCGTTGACGTTCTTTTTTCCGTTCCATTTTAAGACGTAATTTTTCTTCTCGACTTTCAGTTTCACTAAACACGCTTCAATAAGAAATTAGAAAATAAAAATGATGAATGTAGTATAACTTTAGGATCCGGAAAATACGGCAAAAATATTGTTTGTACAGTGAATTTTTCGAAATATAAATACGATAGATAAATGCTAAACCACATTGTTAAGAATGATCTATGTAAGCCAGTTAGTCTAAGAGAGATTGCATAAGTCGTACATTAAAAATCACATAAAACTAGTATTAATCAATGATTGCATTAAGCAAATGAACAAAGTGTAGAGTCTATAGTCTAGTAGTTGCCAATTACTATTTAAAATGTATGGAATCACAAATAACTAGCTTATATCAAACCATAATAATCGATGCAGAATTATGCAACTTACCCCAATTTACGATTACCCTCTTTTAATAAGCTTAAAAAGCGTCGGGCTGCAGACCTGACAGGCTTTTGCGCTGATGGGAATTTTTCTAGAAGTTTAACAATATGATCTTGAAGAAACTAAACAAGGAATAACAAACGAAAGAAATTTTTTATTACTACACAGTTTTTCTGTTTTCGTTCTATCAAATGCATAATTATTACTGATAAATATAGGAGTCGAAAAAAAATGGCAGCTCAATATAAAACGATATCGCTGTGAAGCGATAGACTAATTATTAAATATTTTTTTGTTTTAACCTCAGAATTTGTACTGATGGTTTTTATACAAACAATTGAAATAAATCCGAAAAGTCAGAAATTTAGCCGTAACTTCTGTAGTTTTATTAAAACAAAAATTCCCATTTAGAAAAATATGGATATCAGCGAAGAAATGTTTCATTTCACTAATACTTACTTTACAATAAGATTGATACTAGTTAAATAGTTGTGGGTTAGACATTGGCAAAAGTTTCAAGAGTTTGTAAGAATGATAAATTAAAGATGATGTAGACAGAATAACATTCAAGGGCATTAATTAATAAAATATGAAGTTATAGGATCACAGAATTGATCGAGTTTTGATACGAGATAAACTACTGACGACGGCTAAAATAATGAAGTAAAAGATTAGTGATTCATGCGTAAACTAGTTTAGCACTCCTTATGTTGATGGTCAGGGTAGAGTTGTACAAAATGTTTCTAAGTACAAAAATCCAGTTTGTGTTCGAATCATGCATGGAATTCGGTTGGATTTGACGGATTATTCGAAAGATTATATTCAGATTTACATAATATTATCTATTGAGTAATTCAGGGAGCGTAGAGCTTTGATTGTACGTTGTTTAGCCAAGTAAAATGGTTTTTGGAGATTCGAAAAAGAAATGGCCTAGTGTACAACCAATGTACTTTTGTAATTATTGTCTTTGAGTTATGATTATTTTTAAGGAAAATGAACTTAAAGATGTTCACCAATCGAATGATAATAATTGTATAACTCACCTACCAAGTATACCTTTGGACACTAGGTTTTGGGATACTTTCTCAGTGTGAAGGATAGTAATGCTATCAAGCTGGAGGTATAGTGTAAGAAGGGGTTTACCTTTAGTATAAACAAAAAACATGAACGTATACCCTTCCAGTATGTGCAGATGCTAAGAAGCGTGTATTACATTAGGTCCCCAATTATAAGAACAGGTATAGAAACAGAATGTGTAAAAATTACTTACAGATGACAATAATCAACTACATCAGCTTACCATAGGCAAAGCATTCTCATCAAGTTTTACAATACATACAAGTAGTTCAAACAAGGCTAACGATAATTTGAGACGATTGTACCAGGCATTACTTTTCAATGAAAATTGACCAGCTTTTTCTGTTACTTGTAACACTTCAGCTAACTTGATACTGAGTTTTATTGACATTTTCTTGGCCTTCGACTGATCAGTAGTTGATTTTAACATATGCGTAACTATTTCGAACAATTTAACGAGATTACAATTTTCAAAATCATCAATTTTAACTTCGCGAATATCATCTAGACTGTTGATTATTCCTTCGCAAGCTTTAACAGTAGTTTCAACAAGTAATTTTGAGGCTTTGTGCGCAAATGTCTAGTAGATTTTAAAGTAAAACTGCATATTAAATGTATGTTAAATATTCAGTGAAATAATACGGTACATGAAAATAAACCTAAAAGACGATAAAATTTATAGTAATAAAATAATCACAACTTTTGGTAATATCTCAATGAGTAGAAGTCAGTATTTCCAACGCTTTGCGACTTAATGCACGTCACTTCTTCAAAATAAATAATTATAATACAACTCATGTCCATTCAATCTGTGGCTGTAAGGCCAATTAGATGACAATCAACATGTACAATAAAATGATAACATACCAACTAAATCACAATGAGGTTGATCTAATGTAATTTCATACAAGCGCAGTTCATAAGCATGGGATTTCAAATTTACTCCTACACTTCGAGATTATATTAATGTGTTAAAATTACCACTAAACAATAACTACATCTGAACATTTGACGAATCAAAAAATTTGGATAAGAAGATGAGAAGACGTAGGTTATCAGACATGTGACATATTTACGCAATACATTCTGGTTACACATTTACTTGTTTAGACGTTATATATGAAAAATATAAAAAGTCAACTAGACAAACTAAAATGTTAAGGAGACAAAGATAGCAATAAAGTACACAAGCTGGATAATAAATCATATATAAAGGGGTGCCCCTATGAACCTTAGTACTTGAATAATTTTGTATAATATTGCAAAAGCTGACCTGATATCAACCTTATGACCGGTTTCAACCAAATGTTTCGCAATGGAGGATGGTATTTGTCAGTCCGATGATTTTATTTGATCATTGGGAATCATTTGTTTCTTTAGTAATTTATTTATGTGTTTAGCCACCTTCGTAGATCATGATTACTCCTCCCTATGCATATGTCCGCATATATATTCAAAAAATGATTAACAAGTAAAAATCTGTTCTTAATTTTAAGTGAATTCTATTCGATAAATGTTCTTGGAGAGACCACATTATCATAAATCTACATTTTTCGGACATTCTGTAGCATCATTCGATCAAACAACCGACGGACAACGATAAAACTGATGTTTGATAAAGAAATAGATGTCCTGTATTGAAATATAAAAACACTTTCAAACAGAAAAACAATGAATATCCAACTCTGCAGAATGAATCCCAACGATTTAAAAATTTTGTTATATGCGAGAGTAACTCCCCATTAGATTGGGTTTATGTTGGGATATTCATCAAATATCCTAAGAGAATTATTTTTGTAAGTCTAATTCTATTGGTCGATTCCTACTGGTCAATATTGTGGTCGTTCTATCTATCAATGTCAATTCAAATGTTGTTGTAGTTCAAGCATATCAAATGACGTGTTTACGTGAGTGCGTAACAGTTTAAAGTTCGTATATTAAAAGTCATAATACTAAAGTGTGAATCGAATAATCAAGGGGACTCATAGTTCCGAAACATGCGTTTAGAATCAATTCTAAACACTATGAGTCAATTTCGGTTAAAAATGCCTGAAAAGATTTCGTTTAGATTATCCTAATGAAATTTGTGCCGCGAGCCAGTTGGTCATCAGACAAGTGTTTCTCATAAATTTATAATAAGCGAGTTACACTTTTACAACGTTAATGTTTCTGTCTCCATCTCCTTACAAACCGTTTTAATTTTTCTATCCATATACCTGTAAGAAATCCATAGAAGCATACGGGTATACATGTTCAACCTTGTTTATCTAAACAGAAAGTAGTCAGTATTGCGTTTACCGATTCAAGTTCATCTGACCATTTTGATTCGTCTACAAACAAAGGATGACAAGTACATGTATTCGCTTAATTACGATCATACAAAATGAAATCATCAACAATAAACGAAAACTATCACTCAATATCTACTCACTTGACAATGAACTAGAAGGTTCAGGAATAATGTAGATTGATGGTTAGTATTATTTAAGATTTCACGAAGTTGTTCGAATAAATAATCAGATAATGGTAATTCCAAATCGGGAAATTCGGCTTTCAACGGTTTCATACTTCGATACTGAACAGAAGTGATAAAAAAAAAGATAAATCTTAACAAATATTTATAAATTACATAGCACAGAGTTAACGTAACGAATGGGCTATTCTCTAAAAGTTATTGAGGCAACTCACAATAAATTCCACAATATTGGATAACAATTCTGTAAACAGTGGTGCATTCGCTGAAAAAGAGGGAAAAAAAATAAATAATGGTTAGAAAATTACATTTATATTTTCTACCTGCTTAGCACACAAATTTGGGCACCAAAGACTGTCGGCTATACAAAAAGAATATCAACTGTTATATTTGTGAAAATTGTTAAGTTACACGTTGAAATCATGAATCGATCAATGTTAGACCACCATTAGAAACCTGGAAGCATTAAACGACCGTTTCGTGGATGCGCATACCCATACCAGGACGAAACGACCGTCCAGTGCTGCCAGGTTTCTAATGGTGGTCTAATATTGTTCGATTCATGATATCAATATTTGTGTCTGGTACATTACAAAAGTACTGGAGCCTTCATATCAAGTTTTGTAAAGTACGTTTTGAAATAAAATGAATTTATTTTGATACTACACATGATCTTAGATCAGAGAGCCGAGAAGCGATCAATTTACTTACGCTTGTTACCCCTTGTGGAGCATAGACCACCAACCAAGATTTGTCAACCGATCCTGTCCTAGTCTATATATATATATATCCTTCAAGTATTTTAATTAATTTATGGGAGATACACTGAAAAAAATACCTACTTGTTTTAGCCCCATCTATAACAGAGTGCATAACTTTTTTCAAGTATGCATGTTTACCAAGATCCTTGAGAGATTCTATGAACTCAGATTGAGTTTTTTGTGATCTGAAACGCCATTTTTTTACAACATGTAAAATACTTGACAATGGAGGGATGTCGCCATATTTAGCAATAAAACTGGTCTTTACTTTTTTATGCTGGTTGACCTTTTTATCATTTGAGCTTAATTCATTTCGTGACTTTGCCGTTTCATATTCAATGGATTCTTTGCCAATATCAAGCACAAGATCAAGAGCAGACTGCAAAATGAAAGAAAGATTCCAGTTTTTCTTCATAAGAAATAGTTTCACGACATTTATACATTTATAGCGAAGGGAGAGAAATATGTGATTATAGGACAAGAATTTATTAGGTCAAGCAAAATATGATGCACACAAAAGCCAAGGGTGGCCAAACCAAAACATGACACCAGTCTATAGTTATTGACCAGGTTATGGTCAGTGTGCTAACAACAATCAATGGTTGATATGGCTTAGAATCGTCGACAACGGCGCACATACATTTGCTCTGTATCTTCTTCGATTGTTCATTCAAGTATACCTTCACAAATACCTTTACAAAGTCTTTTAAACCATATTTTTTAGGTTCCATCCTTATTTTTATCACTTACTGCTTTATTTCCATCAACTTCGTTGATTTCACTTCGACGTACTTATCAGATATCTAGGATTCGGTCGATACATATCTATATTGATGTCTATCTACGAAGGTGAAAATGAGAAATATCGGCTTTCGATGTCTCCAGTACAAATCAGGTTTGATCACTGGCTTTTTTCCGAAAGATTACATTTGGAAAAATCAATGAAGTAATGAAAAATTTAGTCATATCAAAAAAAGTTTAGAACCATAAACAATTAATTGATTGAGACCCACCAGGACGAGTTGAGGTTCAGAACTATACTGTAAAATACATTCAATCAAATCGAAACATCTAAAATACGCAAAAGGATATAATTAACAATAGATTATTTTAATTACTCATAAAAAGTAAATAATTTATGGAAGTATTTATTAACAACTGAAGCAAGCATTAAGCTCATTTGGTACTTCGGTTTTTAACGCAATTCATCTAACACATTGATTTGCATACTTTGATTTAAACATCATGTTTTCTGTGAGGACCAATGATACCATCCGGTTGTTATTACCTGATATAACGGGACGATAATAAACCCAGTTGGGAGTTAATTCCAATGAAGGGTAAATGATATAAAGTTCCTTTATCCCTTGATCAATTTTAATCATGCATATTTTTGAACTCAGTATTTTGTATACAAGTGTATTTTGTTAGAAAATTATTCTAAGCAGCAGAGATTTCGCTTTTATGGTACCAGTTTAATTGGGTGCTTAGGTCGATACTTCAGTCTCGCAAACATTCAACACCTGGCCACATTATATCACTGCATATTATCAATCGACCAGTATATTTCATTTAACAATTTAACAACTCGTGAACGCCTTTTCATTACAAATTATAGAAGACTGATTCAATAACAGCATCAAAGCAGATCGAGCGGGAATCAAAACCATTAACTAATAGCTTGAGTCAGAGTGACCTAAATGAAAATTGCGCGCTTAATGTTGCAGAGTTTAACGTACACAACACAACTACAAAACAAAGACCTAATGACTTGAAAGTAACAAAGTCATTTAGTTACTTCATTTTTAATTCACCAACAGAACGAGCTTGATCAGCAATTATTCGTTGAGGTTTACGCATATGAATGCGGAATGCAGCTGCCAACGCTTCATCACGTTGAAACATTTCAGCGTCTGTGAAATCCCGGCAATTGTTATCATCATTCTCACTATCCAATGCAGCTGGACCAAGTGCATCGCGGACACTGTTTTTAATTTGGTTAAGTTCATCTTCACTAATATCAATATCCTCTTCAATTGTATCAGAGTCTGATTCATCTGAACCTAAATATATTAACAATATAATAATCAAATAAAAAATGTAAATTACATAAACATGATAAAATAAATAGTTATATAATAGGAAAGGAATAAAATTAGATAAAATTCTTGAAAATGATTGAAATTTCAAAAATGTGATCGATAATCTTCACTAGTTCTTCTAGAACTTATCTTAAATAACTATTTTAATTGTGTTCATTTCTCATTGTACTCAGGTTTACTGCAAATTATTTTTACTGCAATGAAGTGCTCAAGTGCAAGAAACATAACGTAAACTGTAGTCATTTTAAATGGCAAGTTTTTTTACAATCACCTGGTTTTTATGTGATTCTTTATCTATAAAAAAATAACCAACTGATCTGTATACAGTTCATCTACTGTATTTTTGTAAAAGGTAAATGCCATTATCATGAAAATATATATAATCCACTCGTGATCTACACTGTCAATAGTCACAAACAGATCATTGGTATAATGGACACCGGTACTATGAAAAACATTCGAGTATATTTCATGGATCAGAGTGATATGAATTATTGAAAGTCAATTTTGTATTCTTCATCATTTTCCCCATTAGCGATAATACTTCTACTACCTCTACAATTGACAATCGTGTCTCTGTGCTAATGTGGTATGGCAACTTGAACTGATGTACGTACATACGAAATTCTACGTTACAGCTGACTCTGAATTTTGTATTCTCAGTTCTTTCTGTAATCTATAGAGAACGGGATTTATATCTAGTAATGCATTAATTAGCACATTTACAGAATATGAATATTGATCAATTTACTAGAAAAGTTATGTATAGTAATACAATCAATTTTTCAGTGCCTCTCATTTAAGATGTACATTAACATTAGCAAACGATAAATAAAACCGATAAACAATTTTAGGAGTGAATAAGTTTAAAAGGATTTACCATCAAAGAACGTAAAATTAGCTAATTATAAATAAAACAGAAATTGTCATTAAGGGGTTCTATTAGAAACCTAGTAACACTGGACGGTATGAGACTCATCAGCATTGCGCAACTGCATGTGGCAATCGAATCCAAGAAGTTTGGCCTCGCGTACAAACACATAACCTCCAGACCAGTGAACCGGTATCCAACGGCATTAATGTCTAACTTTAAACAATCCAAGATATTACGCCACCTCATACTATAATCATAAATATAATGTGCTCACTAGCGACTAACTTCGTAAGGAAATTCTCGGAGTTCTAGTGAGAAGCCATGGCCAGTGGAATTCAACCGTATCTAGCGTGAGGCAGTTATCTACTAAACACAATGGATGAGTTCGCGCAATATTGTGAATTAATTGGAGCTAAACACTAACACCATTGGATACCGGCTTAGTGGTCTAAAGGTTAAGTGTTTACGCGCGATGAAAAAGTCCGTAGTTTTCAAAACAAATAAGGTCAGTCAGTTATTACGTAGGACTTTGTGCGTATGTACATCAGTTCAAGTTGACATACCACATTAACATAGAGAGATCCAATTGTCGATTCAAATCATATAGTAGTGGAGGTTGTAGAAGTATTAACAGTAATCGGAGATATTAGGGTTCAACATTATTCAAGAAGTAGAAACTAGTGAAATAAACTTAAAAAGAAAAAGATCAAGGTTATGAGGAACTCCAAAGGTTAGGATTTGAGAGAACACAAAGAGTGGATGCACCTGCGCCATTGCAAACGGTTTTCAGCCATGTCATTCAAGGTCTCTAACCATCGATTATTATCATCTCGCGGACCCCAACCAGGTAGTCGACAATTACCGACATGACTCAGTCTACCTGTCAATGACTTCATGGATTTCTGCCATGTTTTGGTTTGGCCGCCCCTAGCTTTCTTCCAACCTACTCCTACATCACAAAACATAGCTGGACGAGGAAGTCGGTGGTTAGGCATACGCAACAAACAAACAAGGTAGTCCGATGTATAGTAAATCATAAACGTACAGCATTTACCCATGATACCTTTAATTAAATCAATATAACTTACTAAGCAAAAACGTTAGCTTATAGACAAAAAAGCCACATAAACAAATCTAAAATAAAATAACTACTCATCAAATCGGCGTACTACCCAAGTGTGTTTGAGTTCAAAACTGTTATGAATAACTTAATTTGGAAGAACATAATGAAACTTTAAGAATAAATAGGCTATTAATAGAAATATTAATGACCGAAATTCAAAAGGCAAATAATATAAAACTGACTGTCGTCTAAGTGTCCTTCTTCATCAGTAATATTCTCTTTATCACTAACTGAAATGGTTCTGTCCTCGAAATCATCATTCGGCACAGATAACTCCTTTGAGTGTACTAATTTTGTTGAGTTGAACATAGAAAAAGTAACTAAATCTTCTGTCTCTGAGTCGTCAACTTCTTCTTTATCATGCTTTGCGTTACCAGTGTTTTTTGTCGACCGCGTTTTAAGTATATCACCAATTAGTTTTAAGCAGGAAGGATATTCTTCACTTGATTTAACTGTACTCGAAAATGCCTTTTCCAAAACCATTTTCTTAAATGTCAAACGGGTGACAGAGCGTAACATGTGGACGGGAAAAGAAAGAGCACTTAGAATCACATCAGTAAGCACTTCCGACCAATGAGGACCTTCTAATATGGTACTGGCTAAACGCCTTTTTCTGCATTCAATCAAATCATTCAATAGTCCAGACATGTCTATGTACAAAAAAGGAAACAAAGAAATGAAAACAAACCAGAGAATTTTATCATATCTTTAGTGTGTAACAGCTACGGGAAAGTGATGACTCGTTTTTACAGACTACATTATGAGATATTTATACACTATTAAGTTCGTTTTGTACTTAAAACAACCCTCAAAGTGTAGTTTAATAATACAATCTGAACATTTCTAGTGTATTGAAAGTACGCTTCTTCCACAATAATTGATTATATTTTCGAGAAAGTCCTAGAACATTTTTAAACCATACACTTGAACCGAATGCATCTTAAAATATCCAAGAAATATTCAGAAGTTGGTAATTGATGATCCCTGATGAAAAAAATCAATAGGAATCATCATGCATCATTAAAATGAAAAAGAAATTTTGAAAGTAAGGCTTATATGGCCATACTATATATGCAGCATGGAATTTGTAGTCGCTGTAAATTAACCTAATCGTGTACATTCATGGAACTGTAGGATAGCATTAAGTTTGTTCCACTAAACCTGGCATGTACCGGAAAACATAATTGATTGTAAGGTAAACTAAACATCTTTAAAAGCCAAAATATCGCAAATAGTATTGAAACTTTGAATATCGATATAAGAGATGAGTAGACTTACAAATGTTAGAGAATTCTATTATATTATGAAACCCGTTTTAATAATTACAGATAAGAATTAAGAAGTAATATCGTTGATGTTTCAATAGCAAAACTAAAACTTCGTTCCTCTAAAGGACAGATTGAATAATAATTCAACTTGTGTGGAGTTTAATAAATTTCCAATAAACGCATATGCTTTGTTTAGGTCTTGTTGGGGATATGCAATCGCCAAGCACAACTTAAGAGAAGAATAATCAATATAGATTTGGATGAGTTTCCATTATACTAAATTATTCGGTATGAGCTTCATTCATGGACTTTCATTTCATTTTTACCATGATTTGTGTTTAGTGACATATACTTAGTTCAAAGATCCTAATAGGTATACAATCGGTTAACTTGATGATATTTTCAACAATTGGTATATTGGGTTATCATTAAAACCTGTTCCTTACTACACTGATCGTTTGATTACATTTAGAAGAACGAAGAAGTAGAAGATGAAATTAGTTTCATCCACTGTATTCGAGTCAGAGTTGCGAAATCTTATCACAGCGCGCGAGCGTATCAGTTCTCATTAAATGTTATGTGACTTATTAGCTGACCAAATTTCTTAAACTATTTGTTTTAAAGAGACTAATCATTGCATACATCAATATTAAAATAACAAATTTTACGACGGTATATCTCACCATCAATTGGCATGGATAGAGAAAAGACAGAAAAAACTCCACACATTAATAACAAGTACTGATCTAACTGATCCTCAAAATCTGCTTTCTGGAGTAGTTTAAGACATTGTTTCGAAGAATTCAGACAAAGAGCAATCTGTGTGTCAGAGGAATGTACGGGCATAGCCCTAGTATATTGTGAAACTCCATTTTTAAGAAGACATACACAATGTTTAATTATGTCCACAATTGTGATGTTCGTGACCGTTTCCTGACCAGGGCGTTTGTTGCTGCTAGCTGCTTGCAACAACATACAATCTAACATCCCAAATAAAGCTCCCCAGCAAGATTTGGCAACATTAGCTGAGATGGATGTCTTTAAAGTGGTGTTATCAACCTTCAATGAATAAGTTAAACCAATAGTTAGTAAAAACTCCAGAATCTGATTGATCAATTCAGTTCCTTCCATGTATCTGAATTTAAGAATTGTGTTTACAACCAACTGCAAGTGTTTAGTTACAAAGCATCTAATAGTATCTTGATTTATGTCAATTGACTGCATTTGACTTGGATTTTTTAAACCACATTTGTTGCTCACGTTCTTGTGGGGATATTGAACTTCAGAATTAATGAAAGCACTTGTTAATTGTTTAACGTATAATTGAAGAGTATCTAACGATAGTGACGATGGTGCAGAATCAAAAATAATCTGCAAATTGAAAAACATTACCGTGTCATGCAAAGTTAAACATAATTGTAATTTAACCTAAAAATTGGGATTTTGGATTTGGGAAAACAAACCATATGTAGCGTTGATGGTGAACTCATGTATATCATTCATTGTACCGCTTTCTTATAGAAAATACTCGAAGCAAAACAAACTACATCTGAATCGGTGCAATAATTAATACAATACATGAATGCATGATGAAATCACGGACTATTTAACTTTATAGCCATTTCCAATTCGCTAATTTTAATGTCAACAAATTATTCTTCAAGGTTGTTATTTCAATACATGTGGCTAAAGAAATAAATAGCTGAGTAACTACTCGTTGAAAGGCATTATGTTCTATTAAATATGTACCAGCTAACCGAACAGCTTACACACGACAGGATTAGTAGCTGCATAGTTTTTGTAGATATTTAAAGAAAAATGTTGAAATTGTGTTTTATCGATAGACCCTACGAATACAGAATATCGACGATCCTAGTTTGTTAGATTAAAATATACAGATCAACTTCACCGTTCAATTTATAACACTAACACTTCGGGGAATGAACTCGTTATTATATTCGCATCACCATTTCTTTATTTATAGCAGCTTATAGATAACACCCAAAAAATTTAACTATATCCTTAAGCACAAACTATAAATAGACACATTACATGATGCATAGTTCACTTGCTGATTATATTTCTTACAAACGTTTTGCGATATTAAGCAGCTTATCTCCAGTCATTTTAACTTTATGAATCAATATCATAATTTTTATTCATATTTATTCATGAAAGTTAGCCATTAGTATTTTCATATTCCTATAGCTTTGTACAGTTTGAAAATCGGCTGATGGAACGGAGATAACTGCTTTGCGTTTAGTGTTCTTAAAGTTTAAATGAGCTGCAAATTGACTGGGGATGTGTTTTTAGTTAAATTTATACAAGTTTAAGGACTAGTCACACCTGACTAAAGGATCAGAGTAGTTATAACAAGTTGTGCACGTACAAAATGGGACAATACATAACATGTTGTTATTAAATAAAATTCACTCGTCTAGTTATCTTTTTTGAAAGATTCAGAAATCAGAAATATGAAGAAACGATTAGTGTATTTGTGAGGTTGGTTATAGAAACTAAAAATGTCTATCTGATCAATATCCGTAAAGTATAAACTGAACCCTACAATACAAAGCAAACAGGCAATGCAAAACTTGCTAACCTGACATGGTTTAGGGGAGGTAGCGTCGCAAAAAAGGTCAAAGAGTGGATAATTTACAGCAATCAATTTTAATAGCCCATCTGGGGATATGGTAACTGCAGATTCCCGAAGATTCTCGTCGACATTCGTAGGACTAATAATCTTGTTCATCATCACTTTTAATAAGTGGGAAACTTGAGCAAAGTAACTGTATTTGTTATCTGATAACTGCTTGCTGAAACACTCGAAGACTTCACTAGATAAAACGCAATCACATTTTCCATCACCGTTACAAATAATGTGAACGACAATTTGCAGAAATCGAAGAGTATTTTTTACTCTATTGGTCTTAGAACGTAAGGCTGCTATAATAAAAAAACAATTAAGGGTCAGAAAATCAATAAAATGACAACAGAATATAACAGGTTTGTTTCTCTCTGAAAGACCGCTTTTACCTGCACTTAAAATAATGTAAGTAATGGAACAAATTAGAGCACTGCAAAAACACCAATCGAAACTTTTTAATCAAACAAAATCAGAGGGCCTTTTAACTGCTGATTGAAAACAACGAACACTTTATATTAAGCAATTAATGACAATCATCACAATCAGAAATTGTCATAAATTAGCTCATAACATGTAGATCTTACAGTTTTGTAGTATACTATAAATCTATGTTGCCAAAAAAGGATTAGTAAAGGTCGACACTAAAAATGTCACACCTCATCCCACCTCACAGATTTCCGTAAGGGCTGCCCACCACGAGCTTTAAAAAGAGCAGAGTTAATACTCAAAAAACCTTTCGTAAAAAGGCCGTGCGTGACCGGCCTCAAACAGTTGTCCTTTGGGCTCTGAGGCCACGCTCCTAGGTCGTTGAGACCAACACTAATCTACCTTCCTTTTCAGGTTACTCAAAAACACCCTCCCACGGCGTGGGCAGCCGGAAAGTGATAACCGCCCTCATACTCGTAACAGCACGCGAGACCAAATCTATCACAAACAAATCCTTCCTTCACCCCCTAACATCTTTCTTATCTCCACGACTAACTCTTCCCACATTCCTTTATCACCCCGTAACGTTAATGCAAAAGATGCGAGTTCACGAAAAGTTATTCCTGGTCTCCTGAGACTCCGTTCTAGACTGCATGTTGGAGCTTTTAATGTACGGACATTGTGTCAAATAAGGCAACAGGCTTGCTTAGTGAGACTTGACAATCTCGCTCAATCGATGTATGCTGCGTCTCGGAAACGCGCATACAAGGTCCGAGTAAAATCATCAATTTGATCTAAATTAGTGCAGATAGAGACACAACAAGGTTTACGCTCCGTGTCACTGGAAGCCCTGATGCTACTTCCAGGGGTCTCGCTGGTGCAGATATAGCATTTGGTCTAAACTAGGCTAAACTAGATCTCCTGGACTGGATTCCAGCAGATAGTCGTTTGTGTGCTGTCCGACTAAGAGGGACAGAAAGGACTCGGAAAGATAGGGACACTCGCCATTTCCTCCTCGTCGTATCTGCCTACGCCCCCACTGACTGCAGTTCAAACGACAGGAAAGATAGGTTTAAAAGAAACCTCTCTAAACTCCTCCAAAATGTTAAGCGCTCTGATATAGCAATAATGGCTGGTGACTTTAATGCCCAAGTAAGTAGACTCAGCGATAAGGGAAGATACCTGGATGGATCTTAAGGTGTCACGGCTAATAGAACGGATAATGGCGACCATCTCCTGCAGCTATGCTCAGATAACCGCCTATTCTCATCAAACACTAACTTTAGGCGTAATGAAAGACATCTGTTGACCTGGCGATTTCCAAAGTCGCCCCAACATTGGACCCAACTAGATCACATTGCCATCAGCCACCGATGGAGAGGTTCGATAGAGGACTGTCGCTCATTCTGTGGCACATGTCTAGATTCAGATCGTGCTCTAGTGCGAGTGCGTATTTATTTGAGGTTTACTGGATGTAGGAAAGACACCTCAAGGAAACCTGTTAGGGTTCTACCTAATGATAGCAGAGCTAAGAATATATTTCAGGAGGAACTAGAAAAACAGGCGACAATTTAAGTGATCTCCATCCGCAGGCAGGTTGGAATAATATCAAAAAGGCTGTGGAAACAGCAATGAAATCTGCTAGTAGAGTAAAGCATAAGTCTAGGAAGAAGCCGTGGATCTCAGTAACATCTACCGAACTGATGGATGCCCGAAAACTCAGCCCCCTGGCTCTGAACATGACGAAGAGTGGCGTCAGCTCAATTGAAGGCTGGTGAAGAGCCTACGTAACGACCGCGAACAGTGGTGGGTGGCGAAAGCAAAAGCGATGGAAAAGGCAGCGGCGATAGGCAACACTAGACAACTTTTCCGCCTTATCAAAGAAACCGGTATTAGCAACTCGAATGTGAGTGAAACTACCTCGGTAAAGGATGGTCTTAAAATCCATTCTCAATCCAGGAGATTGGATCGATGGGAAGAACGCTTGAGTCAGTCAGTCAGATGCGACGTAGAACTTCGCACATAATTACTTCAGTTCATGTCGGCATACCACATCAGCACAGATATGTAATTGTCAATTCAAATCCAAGTCAAATCCAAATTCACCTCAACTGATGAAGTGTCACTACTGCGTCTATTGATCTGCCATTCTTACCTAGCACCCGATTCCTAATAACAGCGTTGCTCACTCGGGTGTCCCACGATATACGAGCAATGCTTCGAAGACACGTATGATCGAAAACCAGTAACCTACGAATATCTACTCTCACTGACCATGTTTCACAGCCATAAAGTAAGACGGAGCGAACTGCTGCGCAGCACACTCGTCCTTTAGTCAGCAAACGGATATCTCACCTACGCCATAAGTGACGCAAATTGGCAAAAGCCAATCGAGCCTTCTGTATCCGTGCTGAGATTTCGTCACAAACCAGGCCATCGGCACTGATGAGACTCCCAAGATAAGTGAAGCGGTCTACACGTTCGACTACTTCACTCCCTATCACTAGTTCAGGTTCCGATGCAACCCAATCTTGAAGCAACATTTTGCATTTCGAGGGTGAGAACCGCATCCCAAACATGCTTGCATTGTTGCTTATGGTTGTCAGAAGACTCTGCATTTTGTCAGCGTCTTCGCCGAATAGAACTATGTCATCGGCATATTCTAAGTGAATAAGCGAGCCACCTGGTAGAAGGTCTACTCCTGAAGAGTCAGACGAGAATAAGGTTAACTATAGAAGCATATCTACGACAAAGTTAAACAAGAATGGAGAGAGTGGACATCCCTGATGGACACAACTTGAAGTGAAGAATTCCGTTGACACTTCAGTCAGTCAGTCAGTTGCAACGTAGAACTTCGTACGTATGTACATAAGTCCATGTTGCCATACCACATTATTAGCACAGAGACGCAAATATCAAATCAAATCCCATGGTGATAAAGATGGTAGAGGTATTAATGTTATAATAAAGAAGACTAGGGTTTAAGATATTATTCAAAAAATATAATTCAGTGAGATAAGGTTAGAAAGACAAAGGTAGAGGTGCTGGCTAATCCAGAAGATTAGGATTTGAGAGAGCTCAAAGAGTGGATGCACCTGCGCCATTGCAAACGATTTTGAGCCATGTCGTTCAAGGTCTCTAACCATTGATGACTTTCGTCTCGCGGACCCCAACCAGGTAGTCTACATCTACCCACATGACTCAGTCCACTTGTCAGTGACTTCATGCATTTCTGCCATGTTTTGGTCTGGCCGCCCCTAGCTTTCTTCCAACCTACTCCTACACCACAAAACATAGCTCGTCGAGGCAGCCGGTGGTTAGGCATACGTAACACATGTCTCAACCACCTCAACTGATGAAGTTTCACCACTTCATCGATTGATCTGCCATCCTTACCTAGTACTCGTTTCCTAACGACAGCATTGCTTACTCGGCTGTCCCACGATATACGAGCAACGCTTCTTAAGCATCTATGATCGAATACTAGTAACCTACGAACATCTTCTACTCTTAACGGCCATGTTTCACAGCCATATAAGAGAACGGAACGAACTGCTGCGCAGTACACCCGCCCTTTGGTTAGCGAACGGATATCACGCCTACGCCATAAGTGACGCAAATTGGCAAAAGCCAATCGAGCTTTCTGTATCCGAGCTGAGATTTCGTCACAAACCAGGCCATCGGCACTGATGAGACTCCCCAGATAAGTGAAGTGATCTACACGCTCGACTACTTCACTCCCTATCACTAGTTCAGGTGCCGAAGCAACCCAGTCTTGAAGCAACATTTTGCATTTCGAGGGTGAGAACCGCATCCCAAACATGCTCGCATTGTTGCTTATGGTAGTCAGAAGACTCTGCATTTTGTCAGCGTCTTCGCCGAATAGAACTATGTCATCGGCATATTTTAGATCAGTAAGCGACTTTCCTGGTAGAAGGTCAACCCCTGAAAAATCTGACGAGCTTAATGTTAACTCTAAGAGGATGTCTACGACAAAGTTGAACAAGAATGGAGAGAGTGGGCAGCCCTGACGGACACCACTTGATGTCGAGAATTCAGATGACAGTTCGCCATGTGCTCTCACCCGACCAGTGGTGTTCGAGTAGAGTGCTTGTATAAGGTTAATGTACTTCTTTGGTACACCTTTCAATGACAGACACTGCCACAGAACCTCACGATCCACTGAGTCGAATGCCGCCTTAAGGTCCAGGAACACGACTATTGTCGGACGTCTAAATGTGTGTCTGTGTTCCAGGACCTGTCGTAGTGTGAAGATGTGGTCTATACAACCACGTCCAGGTCGAAAACCAGACTGGTTTTCTCGAGTCTGCTCTTCGCGAGCTCTAGTTAGACGTCTAAGTATAATCGAGGCGAACAATTTAGAAACTATATTAGTTAAACTTATTCCCCTGTGATTGTCACAAGACGACTTCTGTCCTTTCTTGTAGATTGGGACAATTAGCGACTGAGACCAGTCAGATGGGATTACGTCCATTTCCCAGATTCTACCTAGGATTTCGGTCAGTTTAACCGTTAAAACTGGACCACCATCCTTAAACATCTCAGGGGTAAGCCTATCGGGACCTGCCGCTCTACCTCTCCTTAGATTTCCTATAGCTTTCTCAACTTCATGTAAACTGGGAGGACTTAAATCGATTTGCCATTCAGGATGACTGGAGATCGTGGGCAACCGAAGAGTGGCTGAAGGCCAGTTGAACTGATCCCTAAAGTGTTCTGCCCATCGGTCCAGCCTCCTAGATTGAGAATGGATAATAAGACCATCCTTTTCCGAGATAGTCTCACTTACATTCGGGTTCCTAATACCGGTTTCTTTGATAAGGCGGAAAAGTTGTCTAGTGTTGCCTATCGCCGCTGCCTCTTCCATCGCTTTTGCTTTCGCCACCCACCACTGTTCACGGTCGTTACGTAGGCTTTTTATAAGTCTGCGCCCAAGTTGAGTACGCTCTTCATCATGTTCAGAGTCAGGTGGGATGCGTTTTCGTGCATCCATCAGTTCGGTGGATGCGACTGAAATCCACGGCTTCATCCTAGCCTTATGGTTTACCTTGCTAGCAGATATCACTGCTGTTTCCACAGCCTTCTTTATATCATTCCAACCTGACTCCGGATGGGAATCACTTGCATGATCGCCCAACTGTTTTTCTAGTTCCTCCTGAAATATTTTCTTAGCTTGATTATCATCAAGTAAAGCCCTAAGAGGCTTCCTTACGGTGTCTTTCCTACGTCCAGTAAGCCTCAAACAAATACGTGCTCGCACTAGGGCATGATCTGAATCTAAACATGTGCCCCAGAACGAGCGACAGTCCTCTATCGAACCCCTCCATCGGTGGCTGATGGCGATATGATCTAGTTGTGTCCAACGTTGAGACGACTTCGGGGGTCGCCAGGTCAAAAGGTGTTTTTCTTTATGCTTAAAATTAGTGTTTGCTAGAAATAGTTGGTTATCTGAGCACAGTTGCAACAGACGGTCGCCATTGTCTGTTCTTTGAGCCGCGAGACCGTAACATCCACCTAGGTGTCTTTCATTTTCACTTAGTCTACCTACTTGTGCATTGAAGTCACCAGCCATTATAACTATATCAGAGCGCTTAACTTTGTGGAGGAGGTCCGAAAGCTTTCTGTAAAACTCATCTTTTACATCATCTGGGCTGCAGTCAGTGGGGGCGTAGGCTGATATGACGAAGAGGCAACGGCGAGTGTCCCTATATTTCCGAGTCCTTACTGTCCCGTTGAGTCGGACGGCGCACAAGCGACTATCTACAGGGATCCAGTCAAGGAGAGATTGTTCTGCCCTACGACTCAATGCTATACCTACACCGGCGAGGCCCCTAGAAGCAGCATCAGGGCTACCGGATACACGAAGGGTAAATCGAGCTGCTTCTTTATCTTGACATGGTGAGGTCAAATGAGTGATGCTACTCGGATCCTGTATGCGCGTTTCCGAGACGCAGCATACATCGATGGCACGAGATTCTAAAGTCCTAGCTAATGACGCCTGTTGCCCTATTTGACACAATGTCCGTACATTAAATGCTCCAACATGTAGTTTGGAACGGGGTTTAAGGAGACCAGGAACGACGTTTCGCAAACTCGCATCGTTTGCATTAGCTGTGCACTGTAATAAATTAATGTGAGAAGAGTTAGTCGTGGAGATAAGAGAGGTATTAGGGAATGTAGGAAGGATTTGATTTTGAACAATTTTGTCTCGTGTGCTGTTGCGGGTATGAGGGCGGTTATCACTTCCCGGCTGCCCACAGCGTGGAAGGTTGTTTCTTGACGAACCTGAAAAGGAAGATGGATTAGTGTTGGTGCGTGACCGCAGAGTCCAAGGGACAACTGCTTCAGGCCGGTCACGCACGGCCTTTTTATGAGAGGTATTTAGAGGATTAGCTCCGTTCTTAAAGGCCCTTAGTGGGCACCCTTACCCAAGGAGACGGAAATCCGTGAGGTAGGGGAGGTGTGACATTTTTAGGGCCGACCTTTTCTAACCCTTCCTTCCTTGTGAGAAGGCAGCATCGCTGCAGATGCTGGTTGTCCGAGGGAAACACCTTACTGCTGTCACACCCCTCTGCAGTCAGCAGTACGACTTCGCCCTCAGACCTTGGGTAGCTGCTTTTAGTCTCATCGTTCTCCAATCGACCTGCCTGGCATGGTAGGACCTGCAGGAACATGTGTTCCAGCCAGTATAGCTCGGTTGTGTCATCACGATAGGCAAGCCCGACCACCACGTCAAGGTAGCAGCTTCGGTCGGGCCGTTGACACTTCGCCATAAGCTCTCACTCGACCAGTGGTGTTCGAGTAGAGAGCTTGTATAAGCTTAATGTACTTCTTTGGTACACCTTTCAATGACAGACACTGCCACAGAACCTCACGATCTACCGAGTCTAATGCCGCTTTTACGTCCAGGAAAACAACTATTGTCGGACGCCTAAATGTGTGTCTGTGTTCCAGGACCTGTCGTAGTGTGAAGATGTGGTCTATACAGCCACGTCCAGGTCGAAAACCAGACTGGTTTTCTCGAGTTTGCTCTTCACGAGGTTTCGTTAAGCGTCGAAGTATTATTGAGGCCAATATTTTAGATACTATATTAGTTAGACTTATTCCCCTGTGATTGTCACAAGAGGACTTTTGTCCTTTCTTATAAATTGGGACAATCAGTGATTGGGACCAGTCGGATGGGATTACGTCCAATTCCCAGATTCTACCTAAGATCTCAGTCAATCTAACTGTTAAAGCTGGACAACCATCCTTAAACATCTCAGGCGTCTGTCTATCAGGACCTGCTGCTCTAACTCCCTTTAGATTTCCTATAGCATTCTCAACTTCATGTAGACTAGGAGGAATTAAGTCGACTCGCAATTCAGGATGACTGATGATCGTTGGCAACCGAAGTGTGGCTGAAGGCCAGTTGAACTGATCCCTGAAGTGTTCTGCCCATTGATCCAATCTCCTGGATTGAGAATGGATAATAAGACCATCCTTTTCCGAGATAGTTTCACTCACATTCGGGTTCCTAATACCGGTCTCTTTGATAAGGCGGAAAAGTTGTCTAGTGTTGCCTATCGCCGCTGCCTTTTCCATCGCTTTTGCTTTCGCCACCCACCACTGTTCGCGGTCGTTACGTAGGCTCTTCATCAGCCTTCAATTGAGCTGACGCCACTCTTCGTCATGTTCAGAGCCAGGGGGCTGAGTTTTCGGGCATCCATCAGTTCGGTAGATGTTACTGAGATCCACGGCTTCTTCCTAGACTTATGCTTTACTCTACTAGCAGATTTCATTGCTGTTTCCACAGCCTTTTTGATATTATTCCAACCTGCCTGCGGATGGAGATCACTTAAATTGTCGCCTGTTTTTCTAGTTCCTCCTGAAATAGCTTGATTAGCTTGATTATCATTAAGTAAAGCCCTAATAAGCTTCCTCACGGTGTCTTTCCTATGTCCAAATCCTCTCTATTGCCATTAATACTCCTACTATCTCTACCACTATGGGATTTGAATTGACAGTTGCGTCTTCGTGCTAATGTGGTATGGCAACATGAACTGATGTACCTACGTACGAAGTTTTACGTTGTAACCGACTGAGTGATACAGGTGACTGGAATATTCAGTAGCGCAGCACTGAATCTTGATTATTATCCGTACATTTTACTGTTTATGATAATAGCCATTACTAGAAATTCTTTAATGTCAGAGACATTTTACTCTGGCCAACTAAATATTACTTCTGCTTCATACACATATATCGACAGCTCTGTTGTCCAAGGAATCGAGATGAATCGGGGTGGTTTTATAAGTCTAAGAGATTCAATCAATGCACACCATTGTTGAATTTAATGCCAACGTTCCTCATAAACAAGGATAACTGTCTGTTAGACTCAAATGACTACCCATCAAATCTTAATGTCAACGTAACAGCCCTGAATTTAAGTAGAAAATAACCAACCACCTGATGTAAACACTGCTATTCAGGAGACCAACTCCACCAACAATAAATATACAAAGAAAACAAGGCTTATGTGAACAGATTTTAGGGTAATTCCCCTAGGTCAGCTGATATAAGTCCAGAAAAAATCATTAAACCCAGGTGCTCACCTTTAATCGAATCCCAAACAGTAGGCAGGACGTTGTTCTTTAATACTTCATCGATTAACCGCATTACAATGTCATCGTGAGAATGCTTGCTAAATAAGATTAATCTGAAATATTCTTACAAGAATTCCATATAAAAGCTTTCTACGATATTGTTTTTCAGATAGACTGAAGGCTGGAATATCTAGTTTTTGGAGATATTTCTGCAAGTAATAGATCATGTATTTGAATTTACTACCTGGAAACGATGTTGGAAGGATGAAATGACTAGCAAGAGTTCACCAGTGATATCCGAGTTTGAAGACATTAGATCACACCACGTTTCCTTTAGAAAATCACTCAAGTTAGTAATAAAATGTCTGGGTGCCTAATCAAAGTGTACTGCATAACGAATTAAATATGTTACTTGAAGACTCATTTCCGATATTGCCGAATATGCGGCAGCTCTATGATGAACGGATTTCGTCAACAGGATGATAGGTTGGAGCATTACTTTGGCGAACTCGTCATCAATCTGTACCTTTAGTAGAATTGAACATAACCTACCTCCTTTATTCTCCCAGTTACACATAGCACTCTCGCGCATGCTAAGTACGCTAGTTTTACAGATGAACGTTCCTGGATTACTTATTAACAAAGTAGTCATTACATACATTTTGAGTGGATGGCTCTGAACCAAAAATATGAACACTCATGGATTCAGTAAGCTCTTTGGTTGAAGTTTCTGTTGGAAAATCTTTGAGGAAATGTAGAAGACAATGCTCATAGCTTGACCTCGAAGACTGCTCGAACGATTTAAGACCTTTGACAAGCCGCTGCCTCGTATAAGTGAAGTATGTGGATTTCACCTAAAGCATCGTATTTCACTAAATTAACCTACCTCATCGGATTTACTACTTAAAAAATCTATGAGATTTTTGGATGCTTTCTTTCGCTGATTTTCATATCGAGATGATAATCCCCAAAACAGATCCAAGAATGTACGGTCGATATGCATAACGTGATACTCCTAGCCGTGACTTTGAAAACAAATTGTCACCAAATTTCTGAAGGTCGCCAGAGGGTCAAACTTTCCAAACTTGTTTACAAGATACATTAACCGATTAAACCCTTTAATCTTTATCTTGATTGTAGGAAATGGCTTTTTATGTTAGATTATGGTATTTTTTACTTATCCTTCGAGTAGTAAGAGCCACTTGCAGTAATGCCATTAGTGACTGCGAACTTATTAAAAGTTTTCATTTTACGGGCTTCCATATCTAGTAACAATGAGTCACAAATGACCAGTGGCTCGTAAACAAATCTGATAAGGGTCCTACTAATTCACCGTGGGTGTATTCGAAAAGAAGTTGTGTTCGCAGCGAGTCGATTTTTCCGCTGCTTATCTCACCAATATTCAGGGTTTAACGTACCCTCTCTTCATAAAAACGTTATGATCGGGGATTGGAAGTAGTGTTTTGGAAAAATCTTTGATATTTAGTTGGCACGTTGATAACTGTATAGTCTGTTTTGGCTAGATATTATGACGGGTGCGTAGCGCGGCGTACCAATGGGTGACTGAGCGTCCCCAGCCAGAGTATGTCTAGCAAGTCTAACGACGGTAGTATGTCTGTCAAAGATCTACCGAAGTGCTCACTTTGGTAACTTTCTTACCACCATATATTACTTTCATTTCATCAGCCGAACTTCCAGTTGCAAGACCTGCCTACTTGCGACATGCAGAACGTCTATCTATGAGGGAAATACGACAGGCTTACTTGAATTAATGGGTCTCTTTCCACTCACATCATACTAAGAGGTAACGGTTACAGGTTTTCACTAAAGTCAAGAGAGTTTGGTCTGGACGTTTGATTTCACTAATCCTGATTAATAAGAGTCGTATCGATAGGTATAACTAGGCGCTACGTATATACAATAATCCTAAAATAATGGACCTGCTGAAACTATCACTTTGCCGTTTGATCGGGGTCAGTTTTATTTACAGCCTTAACCGCAGCTCGGTAATCAGATAGACAAAGCACAGTAGAGAGAAGACATAAATAGGGATTAATGGAAGAAGAAATAAATATTTCGAAGAATAATCAATCTAATGATGGAGACACTTGGTGAGACATGTAATACACGATGTTTGTGTTGGTCGATAACTTCTTATAAACTTAGTAAGTCGCTTGATGATGTGAGGGTATCAGTGACGATTCCCTTAAGCCTGATGATTAATGAAATAATATTTTATATTCTGTTCAACCTACGAATATGAAGGATTGCACAGATGAACCTGAGTCCGGACATTTTGAGGTGAAATGCTACGAACCGTAATCTGTTTCTTGGTAGTCTTTCAAATGTTTCATTCTTGGGAGACACTACTTTTATTTTGATTTCTGAGGGACTTAATAAGATGAAAAACTAGTAAGTAATAAAAACGGCAAGTGAGAAGAGCTTTTCTCAGTACCCTTGCAAATGCAGTAAATCCTATCTTATCAATGAGTTATCATAAAGTATCACTATGTCACCCGGAATTGAAAGCCACAGTTACCGGATTCTAATCGAGAATAACGCTTGATGATTTTTACAAATTTGTCACATGTCTAACTTATAAATGACGACCGATTAATTTCAACCAAATCATCAAATATATTTAGTCAAAATGTCAACAAAGTTGACCGCCTTTTATATCTACTAGAAGCCAAGAGCATATTTCTAGTGTGTATTTATTGAAGTTATGTTCTATAACAAAGAGAAGCAGGGATATTATGATTAAGGCAAACAAACTTTGATCATTCAAAATGAGATATTATAAAATATAACGCCTACATAAAGTAATAAAGTAAATTCCAATATAAGACTCAATGTTTTAATCTTAACGTAATGTATTCCACTGATTCATAAGTTCATAAAGTAGGCTGTTAAAGCGGTTCCCTTCCCTTGCATTTGAATGTCGATTCGATCCAATAAGAGAGCAAAAGTATGCTAGTTTGATGCTTTAGTGACTGACTTGATAAACACGTATTCACATACGGATCATTATCTCCCTCTTGAACAAACTGTACCTGATGAATGCTTTGAGATTTGCTAGTCTCTATTTCTGCTATCTCCTCAGATCACTAACTTAATCTACCTCACCTATTTTCTCTGTTTCCTCTCCTTTGCTTACACTTCGGTCCTCTCGTACACTCTTCACTACCAATTAATAAACTGATTTATCCATTTGTTTACTTAGTTCTGAAATTTTATTCTTATTCAGCAACTAACTGAACTTCGGTTTGGTAACGTGTTAGCTGCTGGTATCCAGAAGTCCTACCTTCCCTGAAACAAATGTATTCATTCAATTCACGGTACACATCTGAAAACTGACTAGGATTAGTGCGGCCGAGTGGAAAGATCCCCATCCATTTGACACAAACAAATATCTGGAATCGTACCGAAAGAACCCGAATCTAGCGTAAAGTAATCAATATGTTTATACTCCCTTGTCATAAAGATATTGGATATTCGATGTATGCGATCTCGTAATGATTATCCTGAGAGCCTGATTACCGCGATTTTGAAATCTTTTGCATCGGTGACTAACGTTTATGGATAGAGAAGTATGTATTCAAAGGTAAGCGATGTTAAGGGAATGAAATTGGTATTGCTTCAACAGATAGAGTGCAACAAATAAAGTTGGCCTTTAGGCGCTTTCTCACAAAATACCGAGGAAATATTTTGTGATACATCGAATATCTGGACTAATATAGACCCCAATAACATTCATGCGAGTACTACCGAATGCTAGATGTATGATTTCGTTTCAGTGAGATATTTTAGATAAATGTACAACCCGAAATAAAGAAGCTTATTCTTCCCGGTTTGTTTGTAACATGGAGCAAGTAGAGAAAATGTATTCCGACAAAGTGTGCAAAAAATAAACCAAAGACTAGAACATCATTTAAAAAATACAAACAACATAACAGAGCGTAACAGCATGGAAGGTCAAGCGGTGGTGCACCTGACCGACACTGATGATGGTAGAGGTGTAACGTCAATCCACAACCGTCTTTGTGGTAGAAAATATTCTTTACTTATTCTCCTTACTATATAGCAGGATGTAACTTATCAATGATATCGATGTTATTTCTCCATATTCGACCATGTCTACGACTCATGTTTGAATTATTTTCACTTCCTACGAAGGAAACGATTACAAGCTGATATGGGTGATCACGGTGGAAAGAAGTTCAATCCTGACTTCTTCAGAAGCAGTGGTAGAAAACAACAATTTCAATATCTGTAGAGCATCAAATCACTGTGTACTTTTTATTATGTTCTGTAGATCTACATGAATTCTAAAACTTTGGCTCGTTTGAATCTCTCATATTCATACAACCACTTGCTCAACCCGCTAGCGGATTGTCTCCATCAACCTACATAAAAGCAAAGGTGCAATAAGTGTTCCAATACAGAAAAAGAAAGATCTGAGTAACGGTTGCTTTGTTTTATACAAAAGTATTATTTGCTGAATCTTGGCTCAGCTGTAAACAAGATTATTTTCCACCCTGCTCCTCGCCTACTTCTCTTTATTTATTCTCTTCAGCTCCTTATCATACTCCTTAAATATGAGTCTGAGTAATTACCGAAGATCTGGTTACGTAACTTGAGAGCCTGTAAATGTACTATCTGATGAGTCTCAATGAGAACTTCTTTTATACAGACCTGGATTTAACTTGCATAGATTCTCAGCAAGCAGTGGTTCGTCGCAACGCAAACGTCGCTCCAACTATTGTACTGCAAATTCCAGAGTGTGAAACATCATTTACATTTCTGTGTGAAAAATATTAGCCCTGTATTAAAATCAAGTGAATCGTGTGGGATATTTATCTAACTGAACTCCATGTCATGGTAAATATGTTAGCACTTGCAACAATTTGATCTTGACTGTAAAATGGAACGTCTCGTGTAACACTTTATTTGCGAAATAATTATTTTTACTCCTCTCAGTCGTTTGCAGGGAATTTAACTGATACTTTCTTTACCAATTTTACAACAGTAAGCATAATCTATATGGGTGTTGAACAAGTACGAGAATAAAATGTATTCGTAGAACTATAGTGCCTCCACATATATTTGAATTCGCTTACATTTAATTTGGTAAAGCATTTCGACTAACTTAATTAACCAAGCCATTTGTATAACAATAAATTAAATGTACCACTGGTTTTTATAATTGTCTGGTTTGTATGAACTGATATGACTGAACATTGTTTACGCCTACGCGCATATTCATCCTACTCACTTTATTATTGATCTCTTAAATATTACGATGACTCAGACATTTTCCTTTGTGTATATACGAGCATTTGAATCTTGTTAATTCATTCGCCCATTCGCACGTTCGCTCGCTAGTGTGCTTGCCCGGTCTGGTGGTAGTTTGCTGATCTATTTGTCGTGTGCCAAAAATAAGCGTATTCACCACCTCGAGCACACCTTCTGATTTATAAACCGTCAGACGCTATTTAGTAACGATTGTCTGTACGAGCTAATTACGAAGATTAAGAACACGTTGAAATCAGCCACCACAGAGCATTGTAAGGCGGTTTCGTCCTATTGCAATGAACAACAGTTCACTCATGCGCCATTTTATCCATCATGATCCTGACGCTCACGTGCACCACAGGTTTTGAGCCAGGGTTAACCAAATTCCCTTGGTGAATCCTCTTTACCAACAAACTCAGTTAATAACTCGGATATTCGCTCTTTGTCCTCTCAAATTCGTGAGCAGTACCTCGTCACGCGAAGAACAGTAGAGACAGCTAGGACATCAGTTGCATACGCGGAAGCAAACAAGCAGTTGAAAAGGGGTATTAAAGCGTCTAAACCTGAATATGTGGATGATCTAGTATTGATAACAGAAAAAGCAATGAGAGAAATGATTGTTGGACAATATAGAGCACTATACACAGATTTATTCACTCATAAATACTGGACTTTTGAAATAGGTAATGGATCGACACGAAGTTGATTACTGGGACGGTCAAGGCTGCTGGTATGCGGAAACCGTACTTATTCAAATCACGGGATATACAAACTCACGAACGACTGCCAACTGAATAGAAATAGTGCAGTCAAGTAGCTAGACATCCATTCACTGGAAACTTCCGAACACCTGGAACCGTACCGAAAAAGAAAGAATCGAGCGCAAGGCCATCAATAGGTTTATCATAGCTAAGGCGGAAATATTGGATATTGGATAAAATCTGTAGGTCAAGGTCACGTTCGTGTGTCTGTACATCCGCTAAGTTTCAGGTAAGTGGGAATCATTTTTTATGGGTCTTGTATTTTCCATAAACCCTTAATTTGTTTTTGACGAATCATCCAGGATAACAGTTCTTGTTTGGTGATTGCATGTATTCTCGAAAAACTCTCTTAAAAATATGTATATAAAGGTTTTATTCTTGGATTAAAAATATTTGCTATAGAAACATAATGTTCATCTTTCAGAAATGAAATCCGTAAAGCTTTTTATTTATTCAGGGTATAACTTTATAAAATAACTCACTAACTGCGGCGAATGTTGCGTCATAGTTTCTAACGTTAGGGCGAACTTGATGTACCTGACTTTCCATAAAACCGAATATTTAGTGTCAATGCACACTACTGTGGGTCATATCGCACATGGACTGTGAAACAAGGAATAAATAAGTTTCTTTACATAGGGGCTTTTGTCCTCATCATTCTTGCTGCTAATATCCGACGGTTACCAGTCATAATTTTAGTTACTGCACTTAATTATGATCCATATTTTGTGGATGTCAGAAAATAAAAGCCCCTGTGCAAATTGAAATAAAAATCACTTGCTTTTTGCCGTAATTATCTGAGTTATTACATTATGTTATTTTAGGATTACTTCGAAATTCCTGTATATTTGTCAGTATTACGTCCGTCCTTACTTCTAGACTTTTATATTGTTTGCTGGATTGTAGATTTGATACTTCTCCAGTAATTTAGAAATAAACTTTCAATTAATAAAACTGGCTGTATGAAAATTAAAATGTTACTTTAGAACTGGTTAAATAGCAGCCAAAAATTATGGCTCAGTGGTTAAGTTGTTTGACTTTTAGACACAGTCGCAGGTTTGAATCTCACCTAACTAATTTTGGTTTGGGCCACTAATTCTTGTATCTGGAACGTAACTTTGGTATACAAATCTGGAAGCAATAGCAAATTAATGGTAGCAACAACAAACTGAAAAATGAGGTCTTTTAATTGCTAAGTAGACAGCTGTACAAAATATAATCTAGAACCCTCGTTTTATCGTTCTTGGTTTTCCCCCTTAGATTCTCACCTTTCTGCCCGATATATCGTCTAGTTCTATTTGGTATTTGTTAGTTGTGAATCTTAGTTATTTCTTTTCATTGTAGAAAATTGCATTTTAATCTTTTCAAAAAAATGAACGAGTCTTTAGCCAACGGGATTGTTAAAACTATGTTGTGTGGTTTGTGCATGAAAACGTCTTCATACGTCTGTCCTCGTTGTGGTATTAATTACTGTTCATTAGCTTGTTATCGAAATGAAAAACACAAAGACTGCTCCGAATCGTTTTATCGAGATTGCTGTATTGAATCACTGCGCTGTACTTTTTCTAAACAGTCAGAAAGATCGCACATGACAAATGTACTAAAGCGTGAATCACATGCCTTATCTGATGACTTACAGCTGGTAAATATGAAATGCGAAGTAGACGATAATTATACAAATGATAAGGATGAGAATATTGAAGATGATTTACAAACTCGGTAGGTGTTTATGTTCTTTTTATCAACAGTATAGTTCCCTTTTGAATATGATGTGTTGCATAGATGTATTCGTGCATAAATAAATAACAGCTTTCATTACCATAATTATACTGAAATGATTTAATTTGACTACCTGTCATATAAATAGGTTTTTCTCAAGTTATCAGGCTCAAAAAACGGAACTCGACTAAAAGCATTATGGTATTTAGGTTAAACTGGTTTAGATAGCTGTACTACTTATCAAAATATAATAAAACATTACAGTGTAGAAGTTGTCCCGACCGTAGCTGCTACCTTGACGTGGTCAGTCAGTCAGATGCAACATAGAACTTCGTACGTAAGTACATCAGTTCATGCTGTCATACCACATTAGCACAGAGATGTTATTGTCAATTCAAATCCAATAGTAGTAGAGGTAGTAAAAGTATTAGCAGTTGTCGGAGAAGTTAGGATTAGAATATATTATTCAAGAAGTGGAATCTAGTGAAACAGACTTAAAAAGATAAAGTGATGAAGAATTAAAAAGTTTAGTTTTTGAGAGAACACAAAGAATGAATACACCGGCGCCATTGCAAACGGTTTTGAGCCATGTCATTCAGGGTGTCTAACCATCGATTACTAACATCTCGCGGACCCCAACTAGGTAGTCGACACCTACCGACATGACTCAGTCTACTCGTCAGTGACTTTATGGATTTGTGCCATGTTTTGATCTGGCCGCCGCTACCTTTCTTCCAACTTATCCCTACACCGCAAAATATAGCTCAACGAGGTAGTCGGTGGTTGGGCATACGCAACACATGTCCCAACCACCTCAACTGAAGCTTCAATATTTCATCTATTGATCTGCCATTCTTACCTAGCACCCGATTCCTAATAACAGCGTTGCTCACTCGGGTGTCCCACGATATACGAGCAATGCTTCGAAGACACGTATGATCGGAAACCAGTAACCTACGAATATCTACTCTCACTGACCATGTTTCACAGCCATAAAGTAAGACGGAGCGAACTGCTGCGCAGCACACTCGTCCTTTAGTCAGCAAACGGATATCTCACCTACGCCATAAGTGACGCAAATTGGCAAAAGCCAATCGAGCCTTCTGTATCCGTGCTGAGATTTCGTCACAAACCAGGCCATCGGCACTGATGAGACTCCCAAGATAAGTGAAGCGGTCTACACGTTCGACTACTTCACTCCCTATCACTAGTTCAGGTTCCGATGCAACCCAACCTTGAAGCAACATTTTGCATTTCGAGGGTGAGAACCGCATCCCAAACATGCTTGCATTGTTGCTTATGGTTGTCAGAAGACTCTGCATTTTGTCAGCGTCTTCGCCGAATAGAACTATGTCATCGGCATATTCTAAGTGAATAAGCGAGCCACCTGGTAGAAGGTCTACTCCTGAAGAGTCAGACGAGAATAAGGTTAACTATAGAAGCATATCTACGACAAAGTTAAACAAGAATGGAGAGAGTGGACATCCCTGATGGACACCACTTGAAGTGAAGAATTCCGTTGACACTTCGCCATAAGCTCTCACTCGACCAGTGGTGTTCGAGTAGAGAGCTTGTATAAGCTTAATGTACTTCTTTGGTACACCTTTCAATGACAGACACTGCCACAGAACCTCACGATCTACCGAGTCTAATGCCGCTTTTACGTCCAGGAAAACAACTATTGTCGGACGCCTAAATGTGTGTCTGTGTTCCAGGACCTGTCGTAGTGTGAAGATGTGGTCTATACAGCCACGTCCAGGTCGAAAACCAGACTGGTTTTCTCGAGTTTGCTCTTCACGAGGTTTCGTTAAGCGTCGAAGTATTATTGAGGCCAATATTTTAGATACTATATTAGTTAGACTTATTCCCCTGTGATTGTCACAAGGGGACTTTTGTCCTTTCTTATAAATTGGGACAATCAGTGATTGGGACCAGTCGGATGGGATTACGTCCAATTCCCAGATTCTACCTAAGATCTCAGTCAATCTAACTGTTAAAGCTGGACAACCATCCTTAAACATCTCAGGCGTCTGTCTATCAGGACCTGCAGCTCGTCCTCGCTTCAGATTTCCTAACGCTTTCTCAACATTATTAAGTCTTGGGGGACTTACGTCGACTTGACATTCAGGATGACTGGAGATCGTGGGTAACCGAAGAGTGGCTCGAGGCCAGTTGAACTGATCCCTAAAGTGTTCTGCCCATCGGTCCAGCCTCCTAGATTGAGAATGGATCATAAGACCATCCTTTTCCGAGATAGTCTCACTTACATTCGGGTTCCTAATACCGGTTTCTTTGATAAGGCGGAAAAGTTGTCTAGTGTTGCCTATCGCCGCTGCCTTTTCCATCGCTTTCGCTTTCGCCACCCACCACTGTTCACGGTCATTGCGTAGGCTTTTTATCAGCCTGCGCCTAATCTGGCTTCGCACCTCGTCACACTCGGAACGAGGTGGGATAAGTTTACGAGCATCCATCAGTTCGGTGGATGCGACTGAAATCCACTGCTTCATCCTAGCATTGTGGTTTACCTTGCTAGCAGATATCACTGCTGTTTCCACAGCCTTTTTGATATCATTCCAACCTGACTCCGGATGGTAATCGCTTAAATGGTCGCCTAACTGTCTTTCTAGTTCCTGCTGAAATATTTCCTTAGCTTGATTATCATTAAGTAAAACCCTAAGAGGCTTCCTTACTGTGTCTTTCCTACACCCAGTAAGCTTCAAACAAATACGCGCTCGCACTAGGGCATGATCTGAATCCAAACATGTGCCCCAGAACGAGCGACAGTCTTCTATCCAACCCCTCCATCGGTGGCTGATGGCAATGTGATCTAGTTGCGTCCAACGTTGAGACGACTTTGGAGGTTGCCAGGTCGCCAGATGCTTTTCCTTATGCCTAAAGTTAGTGTTTGCTAAGAATAGGCGGTTGTCTGAGCATACTTGCAACAGACGGTCACCATTATCTGTTCTCTGAGCCGCGACACCATAACATCCACCTAGGTGTCTTTCATTTTCACTTAGTCTACCTACTTGAGCATTAAAGTCACCAGCCATTATTACTACATCGGGAGCGCCTAGCCTTTTGGAGGAGGTCCGAAAGCTTTCTGTAAAACTCATCTATAACCTCGTCTGAATTGCAGTCAGCGGGGGCATAGGCAGATACGACGAAGAGGCAACGGCGAGTGTCCCTATATTTCCGAGTCCTTACTGTCCCGTTTAGTCGGACAGCGCACAATCGACTATCTACTGTGATCCAGTCAAGGAGAGAATGTTCAGCTCTACGACTCAATGCTATGCCTACGCCAGCAAGACACCTGGAAGCAGCATCAGGGCTTCCAGATACGCGAAGATTAAATTGAGCTGCTTCTTTATTTTGACAAGGTGAAATCAGATTAATAATTTTACTAGGATCCTGTATGCGCGTTTCCGAGACGCAGCATACATCGATGGCACGAGATTCTAAAGTCCTAGCTAATGATGCCTGTTGCCCTATTTGACACAATGTCCGTACATTAAATGCTCCAACACATAGTCTAGAACGAGGTTTCAAGAGACCAGGAATGACGTTTCGTGAACTCGCATCGTTTGGATTATCGGTGCAGTCAGATAAGGGAATGTGAGTAGAGTTAGTTGTGGAGAGAAGAGAGGTATGTGTGGGTGTAGGAAGGATTTGATTTTGACCAATTTGGTCTCTCGTACTGTTACGGGTATGAGGGCGGTTATCACTTCCCGGCTGCCCACACCGTTTCTTGAGGGACCTGAAAAGGAAGATAGATTAGTGGCTATCGTCTTGTATTTCTCTATCATATCCTTCATACCAGTGTGATGTACCCTCGTAACTGAAAGGTCTTTCTAAACTAGATTTCCTTATTTATTGATCATATTGGTCTTTGCTTTTTAACTCTCCACAATACTATAGCTTCATTTGTGTGATACGTCTTTTTCGGGCTCCGCTGAACCGCAGTTCATATGTGCTACAAATAAATAAAACCCGTTTGCTTTACAATACAGGTACAATAGTGATCTTATGGTCTCCTTACAAATCGCAGTAATGCTTTTAAAATACAGGACAAACACTATTCGATTCAAACATATTTCCCATAACATCATGGTCGTCGTTCAAGTGTTTTGTTAATAATAGATCGATTCGTATGTTTTTGAAAGTGAAATTGTTAATCGTAAGAATAACTTGGAGTATTTTTCAGTTTCAGTGATTTAAATTTGGAAAGTGAAGATGTTGATGTTATTTGGTCACGTTTGACCCTGAAAGAAAAACGAGATTTCAACCGATTTATTCAGTCGGATGCTTTAGTTCATTTCATACCGACATGGACTCCTTGGTGGTTAGAACAGAAACCAATCATTGTAGAAATAAATCAGCAGAATGATTCAGTGATAAAATCGTGTACCTCATCTACAGTCCAATCATTAAATCATTTTTTACCATCCGGAATATCACCTCATCCTTCAGTTGGGTATATTTTAGCAGATGTATTGTTGGGATATGCTTTTGTTATGAGGTGAGCCATATACATGTAGTAATTGAGTAAATAGTTTTACTTAATTTCAAGGTTCCACGCATATTTTCAGAATAATTGTGTATTTTTGTATTTGGGTGTATGTTTGCTAAGAATTTACTGAATAACCTCTAGACTTTGAATCATACTTATTCTACGAAGACTGACAATTATGCATTACTGGACAAATGATCACTGGAGCATTCATAAGTGTTTATAAAAATTGTATGAAATTTCAGCATTTATTGAGTCCGACAGAAAATTGGTTGTATTAGTGCTTTTTTAATTTGAAAAGTTACTATTTCCACATTTTTCTTCTGGACTAATTACAACTGTTGTAAAACATGGAATTTCCTTGCACCAAGTATTTACCACGTTTCAGGCATAACTCTAATTATTGTATTAGTGTATTTATACTTATGAGTAACAATAAGTTTACCAGCTGATAAAATTGAGTGGTCGTTTTGACTCATTCGCCAAGTGTATAAGGTGCAAGACATTAAAACAATGTATTTTGCTTTCGAGTCTCAATGTAGACGTTAACACTAGAACCTGAATATATCCAAAGTACAAATATAAAGGTAACATGCGCTTCGCTCGTGGTTAGCAAAAATACCATTAGTTTGTCAAAAAGTCGCTTTTTTGACAGAAATTTTGTTTTAGCTTAACTTATTTTTCTTAAACTTATTTGCTAAAGGTTCTACAATGGTGACTACATGGACTTAATCGATGACGCAGCAACTGTTCTGTGTAATATAGTTTTATCATTCACAAAATCTCAGACTACTCCTATTAAAAATAATAATCCATCATCAGATTATTTAAAGAAAACAAGAATAATTAAAGAACGTAGTGAAAAAGATTCTACTCATCAATATGAATGTATAAATGATATTCTTGCTGCAGTTCAATATAAACTTATGGAATTAAATTTACCTTGTGATTCCTCAATCATGATATTATTGCTTGAAGATCTTAGTCACCTAATAAATAACATGGGATTTTGTAAGAAAGCCCTGCAAGACATACATAGATTAATAATAAGGTTCAGGAAAGCTCTTCGTTCTGACAGTAACATGAATACAAATGAAAATTTACGAATAAAAGCAAAAGTTGCTCATCATAAATTGCTTTTTCTTCAAGCTTGCCTTGATGAGAATAATCAAGTGGCTAAACGTTGGCAAACAAACGTTTTACCCAAGTTATGGAATCAAATATCCAATGAATTAATTCAACGGATTCATGATCGTGAAAATTTATGCACTAATACACGCTGTGAAAAATCTGCCGGCCCAAAATGGCGTAATATTATTCGAGATGAGAATAATCACAAGAATTCTTATCATACGTTGGTTGAGTCGCTTGACGCTAAAAGCTAAACGTTTTACAATCTCTTCAGTGCATGTACATAATATAGATATTTTAATATTTTGCTTATGACAAAAAATTCCGTATTTTAAGTATGAGTTTGGTTGAAGAGTTCTACCACCGTAATTCAATGATTAAGGTTGCTTGTAACGTTGCATTTGACGTTTATTAAGAATAGCAGTTTTACCGTAACGTCCAAACATACCGGGTATATAGGTAATATAGAAAAAGGTCAATTCAAGGTCCTTTCGTCAGTCGTACTGATGACTTTATTAAGGTGTATGGTCACCAAGATATTATATGTTCATAGCCACCGTTAATAATCCCTTCTCACGGAGGAGGGGAGAAATAAAAAAAAGTGAACGTTTTTGGAATAACACGTTACTATTGTCCTATGGAGTCGCGAAGCTGGTGGAAGGTAACTTAACAATAAAAACCACTTCAAGAAAGAAATAAGGACTGTTTAGCAAGGGCTTACGCAGCTATACTTTAGAGTATGTGGTTATGCTCTCAGTGTTACAATTTTCGTCTGTCTTACCATGATAGTCGACAGCGTACACAAAATCACACTCGTTTTGCGTGTGATGGTGTTCAAAAGGAAACTGTACGTCTGGTCATATCGATTGTTAGCATCAATTTAACAAGGAGTGTCTGAACTCGGATATCTTAATAACACTACTGATAGCCCTAACTGTAAAGAATAAACATATATAAATTCCGGTTTTTGTTTTTAACGGCAACCAATCAAAAGAAAAAAGTTAAAACTACAAAGATCGATGAAATGAATAGCTATTGAATGTAAATAGTCTTACAATGTAGCTCGAAATAAAGCCAAAAAATATCGTTTTAACAAATTGACACAGCAATAACAGAGCGTTTTTGGAAGCATCGAACTGAAGGCCAAACGGTAGTAGATATAAAAAATTAATTCAACTGTCAAGAGCTGTTTCTGGTGACCTAACTATCCCACAATACACTCATTAATTTGTAAGTACTGTTCCCCCATTTCCGGTACGTAAGTTCTGAAACAACTTGAAGGAGTATAATCACCAAGAAAACACGAAAATCCCAGCTGCGATCACTAACGTAAGTGCGTATAAAATGTTTCCCTACCAACTGAGAAACTCAGTCTATTATTAACACATTATAGTAATAATAAACTGTTACGTTCCTAAGGTAGAATATTGGAAATGCATTTTCGCGCCAAAGACGCTCATTTTGACCTTCAACCTGCATTTCCCGCTCGGGAATCCTTGGCTGTCATTGGTTGATTGATCATTTCAGTACGCTATTTTGTGGCTCTCAGCAAGGGCGTTTTATCATTGTATAAATAAGCTGAAGTTGTGTGCTTTTTAACTTCATACTTTCTGGGCGCATGAGGAATATATTTCTGTAAGTCTTATCAAGACTTTTGCCTGTAGTTAGTGGGGCCTGGGAAGATCGGATTAGAATAGCCTATCGTGTCACTGCATCGTTGATCTTCGTTCTGTTTATCGAGTAAGGTGAACTCGTAATAGCTCGAGCATATCAAATTTGTATTATTAGCACAATCGAATATCGGTCAAAAGATTGATTTAAAAGGATTGGTATTATCAAAGGGACGATACACAGGAAAACTATAAAACAAGCCAAAGGGGTGAATTTACAAAGATTATATGAAAACATTTATTGAAAAGAATAGTTTGCTATAAGAATCTCTGTGACACAACCAGGTGTATTTCGAAATATGTGGTTAGTGCATTTATAGACAGTGGCAGATATTATGTTATACAACATATTTTCGGAGAACTTGTTACGTAAAAGAATGTTACTCAAGTAAATAGGAACAACTTTCATATAAAATAAAATACAAAATCAGGTTATTTCAGTAAGTGATGAGAGTTATTCGAAGTAAAAGTAGAATCTAGGAGAGCACTTGTTTCAGCATTAGACTTAAGTAAATCTAACCTCAAATAAAGCAATACTTGACGATTTAGCTAAATAGTATTAAAGATTTTCTTTTTAAATTGAATAAGATTGCAAGAAGACCATAGAACAAAAGAATAAGAAAATGCAATTCGAATTTCACGAATGAAACGTGTTTACTAGAAATAAATTCCACCTTATGCATAAAAGCAAATTTTACACAAAAATGCAGTGAGCGATTCGCAAATAATCAGTTAGATTTTTCAAATACTTCACTTTGTATTAATCCAATAACGATTACCCAAAGGATGATCTTTAAAATAATATGAACCGTATTCTTCATACATCTGTTTAGTTGTATAGTATTCTTCGGTATGTGATGAGTTTGCGAAATGACGGGCTCCGTGCCAGGCATCCAAATGAGGATTAGCTAATAGACGGTATTTAGAAAATAAAGTATGCAATCAGAATTCTACCGAATTAAGTACTAAATTCCAATAATAAAACGTTTTAATTAAAATATTAATGTTTCAAACTGTATAAATTTGTGTTCAGAGGTCAGCCGTAAAACACATTATAAATTAAATATATTGGGTTTGTATGGCGTCCACGCTGCTGAAGAGTATCAAATATAAACAATTTAGGGTTGTATTTATTAAAATTATCAAAGAAGTAGGAAATTCAAAAAATTGAGGTTCCAGACTAACACATAAGCCTCTTAATCACCAATAATACACAGTCACGAACCTACTACAACAGTCTTAGATATGAAACCCTGAAAGGTGTAAACTATGAGGGTTCCACGTGGTACCTCATTCATTTACTGCGCAAGGGTTTTATACATTTTAATGAACAAGAAAGTGAATACTCTCCAAAGCAGTACATATAGTATACAATTTATAAACATTTAACAAGTCTAAACTGATGACCTAAAAATTGCCAAACATTTAAAGCTATGTAAATCATACTACATTCAGACTAATGATTATATTGCCGCTTCAGTTTTTAGGAAAAAATGAATATGGGGAGGAATTTCAACTTTTGTTATCACGGCTTCGAATATATATCAAAAGTACAATTATTCAACTTGCTTACCAGCTATTACGTAGACTTCTCATAAGCAAGTGTTTCGACTCGTTTGTCAGATAAAGCTTGTACGTTTGAGCATGTTAATTAACCCACGTGTCATTATCAATTACTTATCTTGTATAAGTGAGGATTTTCGTTTTGATATCTATGTGTTAGTGGGACATAGATGGAATAAAGCATGACTGCGCCAGCTGCGCGCTGATTGGCTAATTTCCTATCCAGTCAGCGCCTGATCGATTCTTGGAGAACAGGATAGAAGATTTTCGTATTGTTAGCTGCATGCTGATTGGCTAAATCTAATCCAGTCGATCACGTGAATTTCTATCCAGAAGCTTCTCATGTAAATGCTATAAATAGACTAACGTTGTATCTATTTTTGCCTTCGCCATCACCTTTGGCTTCTTATTCCTATTTAACCTTGCTATTTGGAATATAATCTTTCTTGTTAAACCGTGTTTTTGATTCTTTGGAACTTGTCCAGTGTATTGTGGTCAGAGAATACTAAGCAATAGGATTTAGCTGGAAATTATTCAAGCAAGCGTTACAATACTATGAAAAACCTTTATGTATGCTCTGAATCTTGCTGATTTTATTAGTGATATTACAATAAGCTAAGATTATACACACCTTAAGTAAATGATGCACACTCCCTATTTTTTGATTAAAAAAAACTGAACTTCCAACTTACCGGCTACTATGACCTCAATATTATCCCATTTCGATCCAACAGGTAACAAAGGCCTAATATCACATCGAATTCGGTCAGGAAGACCAGGTAGAGCAGCAACACCACCGGTTAAATATATTCTTTGAGGAAAACTTGGCTCAGATGAATTGTCAATTAAGCGTGATGTATCTCGTAATACAAACTCTAAACAGTCGGAGAGTCCGGCTTCTGAACTACCCATAAAACTCGGTTGAAATAGAACTTCATGAGATCTAATATAAAACAGAAAGAAGATAACTTAAAATATGTCTCTTACTAAAAGAGGACTTTCAGACATCTCAGTCAAACGATGTGGGGATTTGTCGATTAGTTCATATAAACGTCTTAATCTATTCGATTTACAGTCAAACATTTTGTGTAGTGGGATCGCACTTTTATTAACAATATTACTGAACGTTAAAATAACACTTATTGGTGTCTCATAAAGTCAGTCAGATGCAACGTAGTAACTGATAAATGCGTACATAAGTTCACGTTGCCATACCACAATAGTACACAGAAGAAATCGGCAGTTCAAATCCCAAAGCAGTAGATGTTGTAGCAGTATTAGCGCTAATCGAAAACCTTGGGTTCGAAGATAAAATTCGGGGAGAATAATCCGGTGAAACAAGTTCATAAAGAGAAAGAACGTCATGAGAATTCAGAAAAGTGTAATTTGAGAGAAGACAAAAATGGTTAGATCTGAGCCGTGGCACGCGATTTTGAGCCATGCTATTCGAAGTCTGAGATCACCAGTCGGTTTGGCCACCTGTAGTTTTCTTTCAGCTTATCCTTCCATCAAACAACATCACCCTTGAAGGTAGCCGGTGGTCAAGCATTCGTAACACATGCCCCAACTGCCTCATCTGATTCATCACTTCATTATAGTTGTTTTACCATCCTTTTTCTAACCCCAACAACTTAATCCATGGTCCCAGGATACACGAGCGATGCTTCGTAAACACGTATGATCGAAAACTAGTAGCCTGCGAGTATCCTCTCTTAGCAGCAATGTTTCGCAGACGTATAGTGGGACTGAGCGAACTGCCGCGCAACAGACTTGTCCTTTCGTTAGCAAATGGATATCTCACATATGCAACAAGTGGCGCAAGTTGCGAAAAGCCAGTCGAGCCTTCTGTATCCGTGCTGAGTTTCGCCATACACCAGGTCATCAGCACTGATAAGACTCCAAAACTCCTCCTGTAGACTATTCAAGGCTATTGCTGGTCCAAAGTCCGGATAAAAGAGGAGAGTTGAGATGTGAGTTGGCAACCACATTCCGGAAAAAACTTACTTGGCAAAAAACGCTAAAATGAAATAATAATTCAAACCATATAAACTCTGTTCTGGGAGTATGTCTTCATTTAGAAGAGTTATGACGTCTCAAGATGGAAGCCGAGTTCCGTCGGAAGTCATGAGGCCGACGCCCCTTCTAACAACCAGAACCCTTCCATGGTGTGGGCAGCCTGGAATCAACATCCTCTCTCATACCCATAAACACAGACGAGACAATCACAATCAAATCCTTCCTACACCTAATAGCTCTCTTATCTCCTGGAACAACACTTCGATCGTTTATCACCTCGCGTCGCTGAAGCGAACGGCTTGAGCTCACGAAACGTTATTCCTGGTCTCCTGAAACCTCGTACTAAGTTACATATTGGAGCTTTTATTGTTTGAACCAAGTGTCTAATAGGGAACAGGCTTCATTAACCAGAACTCTGGAATCCCGGGCGATCGAAACTCTTATACAAGATCCGAGTAAAATCATCAATTTGATCTAAACTAGTGCAGATAGAGACGCGACACGGTTCACACTTCGTGTCTCTGGAAGCCCGTATGCTACTTCCAGGGGTCTTGCTGGCGTAGGCATAGCATTGAGTCGTAGAGCTGAACATTCTCTCCTTGACTGGATCACAGTAGATAGTCGCTTGTGCGCTGTCCGACTAAAAGGGACAGAACGGACTCGGAAAGATACAGACACTCGCCATTGCCTCCTCGTCGTATCTGCCTACGCCCCCACTGACTGCAGTTCAGACGACATGAAAGATGAGATTTACAGAAAGCTTTCGGACCTCCTCCAGAAAGCTAGGCGCTCTGATATAGTAATAATGGCTGGTGACTTTAATGCTCAAGTAGGTAGACTAAGTGAAAATGAAAGACACCTAGGTGGATGTTATGGTGTCGCGGCTCAGAGAACAGATAATGGTGACCGTCTGTTGCAAGTATGCTCAGACAACCGCCTATTCTTAGCAAACACTAACTTTAGGCATAAGGAAAAGCATCTGGCGACCTGGCAACCTCCAAAGTCGTCTCAACGTTGGACGCAACTAGATCACATTGCCATCAGCCACCGATGGAGGGGTTGGATAGAAGACTGTCGCTCGTTTTGGGGCACATGTTTAGATTCAGATCAAGGAAAATTCAAGATGCCTATTTCAGATGATCAGCTTAACCGAATACTACAACAACAGCAAGCACAATCAGATGCACAAATGCGGTTGTTGGAAGCCCCAACTCAACAGCTCAACACCCAGTGTTCGAGTCCACATGCTATTCTAAATACGTCTTGTGAAGCAGAGGCAAACAGCATACCAGAATTCATCTATGATCCTGAATGTGGAAATACTTTTCTGACGTGGTTCAAACGTTGGGAAGATACATTTAGAATTGAATACAGTAAACAAGACGATGCTTGGAGGACTCGATTGTTGGTGCGTAAGTTAATAAGTAATGGGTATGCATGTTACGCTGACCACATACTACCGAAGTTACCTCGAGAGCTCAGATTCGAGATACAGTAATTCAGCTGTCAGAGATTTTCGGCGAATCATCGTCATTCTTTAGTATTAGATATCAGTGTCTAAATCTGGTGAAACACAAAGATGATGAATATGCGGCCCTTGCAGACATCGTCAACAGTGAATGTGAACGGTTCAAGTTACGCTCGTTGACAGAAGACCAGTTTAAATGCTTAATATTCATCAAAGCTCTTCATTCACCGCAAGACGCTGAGATCGGAACTAGACTTTTGGTTCGACTGGATCAAGACCCGAACGTCACACTCAGAACGTTGACAAATGAGTGTAAACGTCTACAAAGTATCAGAAACGACAACATGTTGATTGAACAGGTAAATCCTTATTTAACCAGCAGTAGTATCAATGCTATTACTAGGTTAAAAGTCCGGAAGCCGAAAACATCTTGTGACAAACCGATGACGGCATGTTGGTTATGTGGTGATTGGCACCACGTACGATGCTGTCCATTCAAAAAACATAAATGTCAGATGTGCAACAAACGTGGACATAAAGAATGCCATTGTCAACCAAATCGTACGTCTCAGCCCAGAAAGAAGCATAAACGTACTCGACATGTGGTGAAATTAGCCGAGTCTAAATCACTTTCTCTGGTAGCTGCTTTTCAAACAGACTATGACGTTCGGAGAAAGTATGTTATTATCCAGATGAACGGTGCATCAGCTCGCTTTTAAATCGACACGGCATCTGATGTAACCTTAATGTCTAGAGAAACGTATAACCTGCTGGGAAAACCGCCAATGAAGCCATCTAAGAAAACAGCTAAAAGCACTTCATGTGGTGTGTTAAAACTGGTTGGTGAGATACAGTGTGAATTTTCCTTCAACGGAACAAAATGTACAGGAATATGCTATTTGACAGAACGGCCAAACCTTGATCTTCCTGGTCTAGATATGCTAGAAAAACTGGGAATAATGGATGTACCCATTAACAGTGCCTGCAACATATCGTTTTCATCATTGAACACCCCGTTACTTGCAAAGAAGACCGGTGGAAGATTACATGAAAAACTGAAGGAAAAGTTTGCCTCTGTTTTTCAGAATAACCTTGGCCTCTGTATCAAGATGAAAGCTCACTTACCATTGAAATCAGATACGAAACCTATTTTTCGTCCGAGACGTCCTGTACCGTATGCCACTCTTGAGTTAGTCTATCAGGAGCTTAATCGCTTACAACAGGCTGGGGTAATCCAACCAGTCAACTACTCTTCATGGGCCGCACCGATCGTAGTGATTAAGAAAGCTAATGGAACTATACGCATTTGTGCCGATTTCTCAACCGGTTTAAATGTTGCATTGGATGTGTATCAGTATCCGTTACCAGTTCCCGAAGATCTGTTTGCCAAGCTTAATGGTGGGACATGTTTCGCGAAAATAGACTTCGCCGATGCCTATCTAAAAGTAGTAGATGAAGATAGTAGAGAGCTCCTGACTATTAACACCCATCGAGGGCTATTTCAATACACTCGTCTAGCATTCGGCATCAAGACCGAACCGGCTATCTTTCAGCAAATAATGGATACGATGCTAAAAGGTATACCTGGAACAGCAGCTTATTTAGATGATATTATAGTTATGGGTTCAAGTGACAGTGAACTGTCAGATCGACTACACCAAGTCCTTAACCGAGTGTTGGAGTATGGTTTCCAACAACATGAAGAAAAGTGTATCTTCTTCATGCATTCGATCAAATACCTTGGTTTCATCTTAGATAAGAACGGTTAGCGACCAGACCCAGCCAACATCGAAGCCATTCAGAAGATGCCTGCACCAACTGATGTCTCTTCATTAAGACCCTTCTTGGGGTTAATCAGTCATTATAGCGCATTCCTGCCTGAAATGCATCCAGTGAGAGGTCCCTTGAATGAATTTCTATCGAAAGATAAACGTTGGCAGTGGTCATCAGAATGTCAAGCATCTTTCGATAAAGTCAAGTAGATGCAAAGCTCAAAGCTTCTTTTGACACAATTCGATCCCAGCTTGGGAATCGTTGTTGCCGACGCCTCTAGTTATGAAGTTGGAGCAGCAATATCTCATGTGTTTCCGAATAAATCAGAATAAACAATTGCCCATGCTGCCAGATCATTGACCCCAGCCGAGCGAAATTACAGTCAAATTGAGAAAGAAGCTCTTGCAATTATTTTCGCTGTCGAAAGATTTCATAAAATGCTCTATGGTCGTAAGTTTACGCTACTGACACATCACAAACCTTTGGTTGCAATCTTTGGTTCTAAGAAAGGAATCCCTGTCTATACGGCTAATAGATTACAGCGCTGGGCAACGATGCTCCTGAATTATAATTTCAATATCAAGTATCAGTCGACAAATACTATCGGTCAAGCGGACTCTCTCTCTCGATTAATTGGAGTTCAGAATCCTGAACCAGAGGACATAATCATTGCCTCAACAGCAGTAGACACAGAAATACGGAGTGTAGTAGTTGATGTCATTCGAAACACTCCAGTGTCGTCAGAGAAGAAATTCTTCGAGACCCACTTCTACAAGAAGTTAGAAAGTTTCACCTGGAAGGGTGGCCCTCGAAGATCAACTCTACAGAGCTTCAATAGTTTTACCAGCGTAGACTCTCTTTTTCAATCATTGACGACTTCCTGTTGTTTGCCGAACGAGTCATAATTCCAGCGAAACTACAACCAGCAGTGCTAAAACAGTTGCACACGGGACATCCTGGAATAAATCGCATAAAAACACTAGCACGAAGTTATGTATACTAGCCGCACTTAGACACCCAGCTGGAGCAGCTATCCCGTTCGTGTACCAAATGTGCATTAGCAACAAAAGCACCGCGCAAAGCAGAGTTGCAATCAAGGCCAATACCACAGTCACCGTGGCAGCGTATACATTTGGACTTTGCTGGCCCACTTCATGGACAAACTTACCTTCTGGTAGTTGATGCATACAGTAAGTGGCCAGAAATTTTCTTCATGAAACACCCAACTGCAAGCTGCACAGTCCCGGAATCGATAGTTAGTGACAACGGGACATAGTTTACGTCCGCAGTCTTCTCGCAATTTTGCCGGCAGAACGGAATCTATCACGTCTGAACACTTCCATTCCATCCGCAATCAAATGGTCAAGTAGAACGCTTTGTGAGCACATTTAAAAATGCTCTAAAAAAGTCTAAAGAGGAGGGAACCATCAAAGAGATCTTAGAGAGGTTTCTGCTTATTTATCGCTCTACAATGAACCCTCAGACGATTAACGGAGTCTCACCTGCGGAAGCTCTACTTGGTAGAAAAATACGAACACATTTTGATGTCATCCGTCCTACACCAGCTCTTGAGTCTCAACGAAACCTGTCGATGGAGAAGCAGTTCAATCGACACCATGGGGCGAAAAGACGATCGTTCACAGTGGGTCAAAAAGTACTTACTATGGACTATCGTGGAAAACATCCTGCATGGACAGCTGGTCGGATATTGAAAAAGAAAGGGAATGTGATTTATGAGGTGTCAGTTGGCTCAGAAGTTTGGGTACGTAATGCTAACCAACTGAAAGCAACTTCGATAGCCAGCAACGGGACTCGGCATCAAATAACCCTTGACGTTCTGCTGGACACCTTCGAGATCAAAACGCCTGGAACACACAAGTCAGTTTCTGTTCAAGCAAAGAGTGACACAACTTCCTTACTGTCGAGAAGATGGACTAATCGAAAAAAAAGCCAGTCACTCGGTTGCAGTTGGACCCTAGCACCAGATCCTACGAATCTGCTCAAAGGGGAGATGTTAGGGGGACAAAGATGGAATAAAGCATGACTGCGCCAGCTGCGCGCTGATTGGCTAATTTCCTATCCAGTCAGCGCCTGATCGATTCTTGGAGAACAGGATAGAAGATTTTCGTATTGTTAGCTGCATGCTGATTGGCTAAATCTAATCCAGTCGATCACGTGAATTTCTATCCAGAAGCTTCTCATGTAAATGCTATAAATAGACTAACGTTGTATCTATTTTTGCCTTCGCCATCACCTTTGGCTTCTTATTCCTATTTAACCTTGCTATTTGGAATATAATCTTTCTTGTTAAACCGTGTTTTTATTCTTTGGAACTTGTCCAGTGTATTGTGGTCAGAGAATACTAAGCAATAGGATTTGGCTGGGAATTATCTAAGCAAGCGTTACAACAAACTAGAAAAACAGTTAGGCGGCCACGTAGAAAGTGATGTCCACCATGAAGCAGCTTTTAATGATAACAAAAAAGGCGTAATCCCATCTGACTGGTCTCAATCACTGACTGTCCCAATTTACAAGAAAGGACAAAAGTACTCTTATGACAATCACAGAGGAATCAGTTTAACTAATATAGTATCTAAAATATTGGCCTCAGTAATACTCCGACACCTAACTAGAGATCGTGAAGAGCAGACTAGAGAAAACCAGTCTGGTTTCAGACCTGGATGCGAATGTATAGACCAAATATTCACACTACGTCAGGTCCTTGAAAAAAGACACACGTTCTAATGCCTCACACTGGTAGTATTTCTCGACTTTAAAGCGGCATTCGACTCCGTTGATTGTGAGGTTCTGTAGCAGTGTCTGTCATTAAAAGATGTACCAAACAAGTACATCAACCTTATACAAGCTTTCTACTCGAACACCACTGGTCGAGTGAGAGCCTATGGAGAACTGTCATTGGAATTCTTTACTTCAAGTGGTGTCAGTCAGGGTTGTCAACTCTCTCTATTCCTGTTTACTTTGTCGTGGACATGCTTCTAGAGCTAACATTATCTTCGTCCGAATTGTCAGGAATGAGCCTTCTACCAGGAGACACGCTTGTCCAGTTACAGTATGCTGATGACATAGTTCTACTTGGTGAAGACGCTAAACAAAAATAGTGTCTTCTGAACCCCCTAAGCAATAATGCAAGCATGTTCGGGATGCGATTCTCCTCCTCTAAATGCAAAATGTTGCTTCAGGATTGGGTTGCATCAGCAACTGAACCAGTAATAGGGAGTGAATTAGTTGAGCGTGTTGACCGCTTCACTTATTTCGGAAGTCTCATCAGTTCTGATGGTCTGGTGACTGACGAAATCTCAGCACGGATACAGAAGGATCTATTGGCTTTTGCCAACTCGCGTCACTTGTCACGTAGGCGAGATATCCGTTTACTAACCAAAGGTTGGGTCTACTGCACAGTAGTCTGCTCAGTCCTGCTATATGGATGCGAAACATGGCCAGTCATAGTAGATATTCGTAAGTTACGAGTATTCGATCATAGATGTCTTCAAAGCATTGCTCGTGTATCGTAGGACCACCGATGATGACCACCGCCGATGACATAGTTCTACTTGGTGAAGACGCTGACAAAATGCAGTCTTTTGACTAGCCTAAGCAACAGTGCAAGAATGTTCGGCATGCGGTTTTTCCCCTCAAAATAAAGCTACGAGTGACCAGACAAAAACATGGCACAAATTCATAAAATCACTGACAAGTGGACTGAGTCATGTCGGTAGGTTTCGACTGCCTGGTTGGGGTCCGCGAGATGTTAGTAATCGACGGTTCAAGACCGTGAATGACATGGCTCAAAATCGTTTGCAATGGCGCAGGTGCATCCATTCTTTGTGTTCTATCAAAAACTAAACTATTTAATTCTCCACCAATTTATCGTTTTTTTTCAGTTTATTTCAATAAATTTTACTTCTCGAATAATATCTTCGAAACCTAATCTCTCCGATTACTGCTAATACTGCTTCTACCTCGACTACTGTGGGATTGGAATTGACAATTACATCTTTGTGCTAATGTGGTATGGCAACAACAACTGATGCACCTACGTACGTACGACGTTCTACGTTGCTGTTGGTTGATTGATTGATAAGATTCTCAAGATAAGTGAAGCAGTCAGCACGCTCAATTACTTCACTTCCTAACACTAGTTCACGTGCCGATGAAACCCAATCTTGAAGCAACATTTCGCATTTCGTCAGCGTCTTCACAAAATAGAATCATGTCATCCGCATATTCTAAGTCAGTAAGCGAGTCTCCTGGTAGGTCAATTCCTGAAAAGTCAGACGACAAACACTCTAAATTTAGAAATTATTCCAGGTGGGTAACTGAAGTATGGATCAAGGCCAGCTGAACTGTTCCTAAAGTGCTTCGTCCATCTATCATATCTTGTGGATTGAGAAAAAATAATAGTTAATTGTTCTTCCGAGAGACTCGACAACAATCGGATTTCTACTGCACATACATATTCCAAGTTTTTACCCACTGCTTCCAATTATTGAGTTCTGAATATCTTTTGAAAAAAATACATGCAGTATTTTATTTTAAGAATGACTAACTTACCGCATCAATTCTGTATCAACGTGAATCTGATAAAATTGATCTAAGTCAACTTTTAAATCTGTAACTCCCAAGTCCCTATAATAAATTAATAATAAAAAGTTATGAATTTTACCGGTGGATATACGCCTGCTTAATAATTAGTTAAACGTTCACATACAAATCAAACGTGTAGAGATATTTTACTATATTCAAAATAATTTTACGAAAGTATACCCTAATCTTCTACATAAACGCTAATCTTTCTACTATCTCTACCACTATGAGTTTTGAACTGACAATCGCCTGTTTGTGCTAATGTGGTATGGCAATCTGAACCGATATACTTACGGACGAAGTTCCGCGTTGTAACTGACTGATAGTGCAATTCAAAGAAGAGTGCATAATTATGTATATTGTAAGCGAGTTAATTTATTTCAAAACTAGATGAGTTCCATACTACGATCTTAAAGCTTGTCAGTGCCCTAAAATTTATTCACATTAAATATTGCACAATATTTACGATTTCCAGGGATACAGGTTTGTAAATAACTACGAACATTAGTACAAGAACACAGCACGAAATTAAATGAACTTACTTTGAAGCTTCTGGGTCATAAAGTGCTAAAAGACTGTCGATAACTGCTAATTGATCTCGTTCATTTTCACTTTCATCACCTGTAGTATCTGTACGATAATCAGATATGTTAGTCTTTTTTATAACATTAGATAGATTGGAATCTTCATTTGTATTTTCGTCAGCATCAGGATCCCATAGGCGATTTAATGTATTTAAAGAATTAATCTGTTCCGTTTCTATGGAATCATCAAAACCCAGTAATTCAGAATTCTCATCCTCTAATGTGTCGTTTTCATCAATAACAGAATTTATTTCCAGAGTAGAAACACGATTGTCATTCTAATGAAAGTTGATTTATTTCATTTGAAAAAGTGTTAATCAAATAAATAAATTATATTACTGTAAATATTGACAGTGCAATAATAAAAATGATGATGATAATGATAATGAATACGTACAAAGTAATGATGAAAGTACTCAATAAGCAAGTTCATTCACCAGGTACTTGGACATGACACTACCCTGTTGTCTAAACCAAAGGTGAAGCAAGGTTCGAACTTGGGACTTAGTGGCTCAAAGTCGTACATCTTAATCACTAAACCATCGCTCCAGAACAGTAATACTACTTAAAGTAATGGGAGTGTTTCCTCTGAAGGTTTCGAATTTAAGCAAAGTTATGAATAGCACATATCTGTTAGAAAAAACACAGAACTTGAATATCTTAGTGAAATTGGTTTCCTACTTTTTACGGATTATCAATCCTAAATTTTCTGGTATTTTTCCATTGTCTTAATCGTAAATTTGCTTTTGACTCGTTAATAATTCTTAAGTCTCTTACCAAACAAAAATCGCTACTAGTTAGCCATATATAGTGTTCAACTCAGTATATACTTATTGAGATTTACGAAGAATTTCATCTTTCTGTGCTAATTGTGGTATGGCAACTTGAAATAATGTATATACTTACCAAGTTTTACGTTGTAGCTGATTGACTGACAGATTTACAAAGTGTAGTACGTTTTAGTAGCCTCGTATTTCACTGATATGATTATATGGGTTATTAAGAGTGTTATTAAAAGTACACGAGGTCACTTATCTAATCTGCTGAAGGTTTGGCTGAGAAGCTCCATATGAAAACACAATTAATTTATTGGGCTATAGCTATTATTATTACTATTGGTGTCGATAGACATCACATAACCAGTAAAAGTAACAAACCTCAGCACGTAAACCTCGACCACGACCACGTGATTTAAAAGATCCACGGGATACTGCACCCGGTCGAATACCACGTCCATTTCCTCGAGAACGACCTCTTGATGGTTTCAATTCAGCTGCCATGGCATGTATTTTTTCCAGTTGCATACGACGACGTTCTGTTAAGACTTTCTTGGAGTCATTATACTTATTTTCATTGGGTCTATGTATTTTATGAATAATAAAGGTGGAAAAATCTGTTATAAATTAAATAGAATGTAACAGCACTCACAAAACATACGTAAGTAATATTAATTAGTGTAAATAAATGAGTAAAAATGCTTACGAAAAAAACTGAATAGTGCATAATGATACTTCAGAAACTAATACCTACCTAATAGACCCTTAGATCTGCAGTTAAGTTGTTCAGATTTCAACCACCAAGTATTCGGTTCGAGCCTCAGTCCACTTCGGTTTGCCTTATAACGGAACGAATATTGGGAAAGCTATTTTTGGATTATCATTGTCGATATCTTATTACGTAATTAGCAGATAACTTCAGTGTTGCATCCTATGTTTCTCTTATCATAAACTTTCAGTATACTTTTATTACTTTCTAATTATTGCTAATCGCGTACTGTTTGTTACTCCACTTACCACTTACAGTATGATTGTGCTTAAAATCTGATTTCTTAGTTGGTGTGTTGTGTGGTCAAGTGTATTATTGCATGGATTTTGAGTTATAATCGAATTGAGTAAACGAGAAAACCAATATGTTTCCTATCTGCATCTTATGATTGGTTACTAAGTTATAAGTGGCACAAGGATCAATGTGCGTTAAGACTACGATTGTTGTTCACTGGCCAGGGTGTAAATTTATTGTAACAGTAGCAAAACGCAACATTTTTGATAACTAGGTATTTTCACTAGCTAGCACACTACCATTACAGTCTGAAAGTAAGTACACAAATCTGTACTTGGTAAGTGAGCTAATATGACAAAACTGTTTGGAGAACTAACTTTTAACTATTATAATGTATGTTAGAAATCTGCTTTAGCTTCCATCGTTTGTATATCAAGTATAGCAATTGCTTCCGGAAAGGTGTTAAGGACCTTAGTTTACACACTTGGAGTGTTATGCAACTGCACTAACAAATTGGCCAATAGTCATATATTTACATGCTGATTTATGCTGATTGGAATTATAATCTATCAGTAAGACAAGATAAATTTGTAAGCTCATGTCTATATATGAAGTAACTGATATTCAAACATCGAAGTGTATTTCACTACATTGCATCTAGTCACTTTTCAACATGAAGTTAAAGGCAATATGAACGTATAATTTTATCAACGACCTATATCTTAAGAGTAAAAAGAAGATTAATGAAGTTTTCGATGGTGACGATTGAATTCAAAATTAAATGCAAACAAAACTATAGAAACTTCTGAAATTGTATGTACTCTTTTTTGAAAGTTTTGTTTTGAGCCTTCCTTTCCAGTTGTTTGCATCTGATACTCATTATTTTCATGTCTGTCTCCAATCCTCGGTGCAGTGTATTGCTGGGTCTATCTCTTTTTAGCATTGAGGGTTACAAGTTAGGACTTGTCTCGTGATGTAGGTGTGTAGTTTACGTAATGTGTCCTATCCATCTTTAGCGCTTTTTCCTAATTTCTTCATCTATCGGTATCTGGCTAGCTCTCCCTCACAATAGGTTGTTGCCGATGGTGTCTGGTCAACGGATCCTCCATATCTTGCGGAGAAACGTGTTTGTGATGAGCTGATTCTTTTGAATGATGGCCTTTGTAGTTCTCCGAGTTTCCGTTCCATATAACGGAACAGTTTTGACGATCGTCGTGAAAATTCTGATTTTGGTGTTGGATGAGTTGTTTGGAATTGTAGATAAACTTCAGTTGTAGAAATGCTGTTTTTGCTTTGCCGATCCATGCCTTCACATCTTGGTAAGATTCACATTGCTTATCAATGATGCTGCCCAGATACGCAAAGGTCTCCACTTCCCGTAGAGCTTCTCCATCAAGTGTGATTTTTTTAGTGGTGGATAACGTGTTGTATCAGAGGATCTTGTTTTTTCCCTTGTATATGTTGAGACCTACTGAGGCAAAGGCGGCAGTTACATTGGCTGTCTTCTCCATCATTTGTTATGCTATGTGTGAGAAAGAGCTAAAACATCTGGAAAGTCTAAGTTGCCTAGCTGTATCCCATGCCTACCCTCATATGTTGACGCATTCAAAATCCAATCGACCATCGAAAGAGAAAGGGTGAGTGCGCAACCTTATCTCGTAGTCAATGAAGTCGATGTACAGTGGTGAATTCCATTCAACTGATTGTTCCACGGTGATCCGTAGAGTCGCGTGCGATTCACTTGCTTGTCTTAGCTGTCCCTACTCTTGTTCGGCCGTTATTGACTGTTGTATTTCTGTTCTTTCTCTCTACAATCTTATCTAGACTATCAACAGACATCTATTCCTTGGGGTGATGGTTCTTGTGGCCCAAGACCTCATGACATGTAGAATTTATTGCTTCCCTGATCTATTCCTAGTTGTTCAAAATGGTAGCTTTTTTTTATCAAATAGATCGTGAAAGGCTTGGAAATTATCGCAGAGGGCTATCTCGAATATGTTGGGTTTTCCGGTATCCCGAAGAGTGGACTTACTCAACTTTTGTAGCGTTGTTCGACCAGTTGTCCAGGGCTTCTTGAGTTTCAGTTTCATCTTGCTCATTACCAAGTGATGATGTGAAAGCTATGTCAGCTACTTTCTTGGTTCTTTCGTCCTCTATGGTCCTTCTGAACTTTTTGTTGATGCAGATATAGTCAATTTGGTTGTGAGTAGTGTGATCCGGTGAAATCCATGTAGCTTTGTGTATGCGCTTGTGTGTGCCGCCGATGACCAGTTTTTTGAAGGCACATACGTTTGCAAATCTCTCACCATGTTCGCTCCTTTCTCCTAGTCCATGTCGTCCCATGATGTCTTCATATCTGGTGTTGTCAATGCTAACCTTGGCATTTAGGTCTCCCATAGGAATGGTCGAATCCTTTGATGGGCATCTATTGACGATTGGCTGCAGCCTTTCGTAAAACTGATGTTTAACGTCTTCATGGTAGTTGTTGTTAGGTGCATATCATTGGATGATGTTCATTATAATGCCCTCTTTCTTCGTATTGAAGGATATTTTGATGATCCTGGGTCCATGAAATTCGCTTCTTTGGACAGCATCAGTACAACTCCTTGAGTATGTGAGGAATTCCTTCTTCATGGCTGGAATATAACTGCATCTTTCCTGAATTTAGTATTTTTTGTCCCATCTGCGTCCAATGTGTTGCACTTATCCCACGTACCACCAGGTTGTACTTTTTCATTTCCGCAGCAATTTGAATGGTCATCTCGGATTCACATATTGTATGAATATTCCATGTACCTACTACTGATTGCTCCGGGTATCAGAAGGAATATCCACCTCGTAAATTCCCAAGAAACGTGGATTTCAGCAAGAGACGGCATAACTGTTGTTAAAGAAGAATTTCCAACTCCCAGGACAGACTTAAAATGGTTTGAATTATTTTTTCTGGTTACCGTTGTTTTAGCGAATTACATTTCTACGGGATATGGTCGCTATGCCCAACCCTCCTCCTTTATCCGGGTTTGGGACCGGCCGTAACCCTAGAAGAGCTTTAACAGAACTTGACAGTTTTCTTAGTCAAATAATATACATATTAACATAAACACATTTTAGTGTAGCTACAGATTACATCGATAAAGGTATGCGTTTCGAGTCCTATAATCTAACTACCATTTGAATGAGCGATTAAATACGGCATAATAATAAATCCTTCATCTAATTCTGTATACTACAATTTGGCTAATCTCGTTTGTGCAACGGCGTTAACAAGAAGTCAAATACAGATCCAGTCGGATGAGTATATTTCATGCAATTGTTTACGCAGGAAGACATTAAAAGTGAGAAGCAGGAAAACGAAGCGAAGTCGAGTGACAGGCATATCAACCCCTCCACACTACTGATTATAAGCGTTAATGTAGCCGAAAGTAATTGGTGAATAGTGTGACATAGAGACGCATCGGATAAAATAATGAGTGACGCACAAGAGGTGCATACAGTCAGAATTTCAAGTGCGTCTACACAAGACACATGTGTGCTGAAGGTGACGATTTCTCATGAAAAGAATAGAGTTGATAAGATGGTCGAAATGATCCAGTGGTCACGTGCTGTTATTAAAGTCTGTTCTTAAGATAGAATGAACCACACAAATATATCATGGTACTAAACGCATCTAATCGGTAAATATATAGAATCAAATATCAGATACTGAAGAAAAAGCCAACTAATCCTGACCAAGTCCAACTGAACAGACAAAAAATGGCCTAATTCTTTTCGTAGCTTGTGTTAATGAGGTTGTCTAGAAAGACAATAACTTCTAAAATGCAAAAATAGGCAAATAGTCTTTATGGTGCACATCCTTTCGAAAAGAAAACAGCAAAATTCAGGCGCTTCAATCACAATGAGACCTATAAAAGTAAAATACAGTAACTTACCCAGTATTTGTAGGATCACTACTTATTCCATTACGTCCAGAATTATTAGCGGAAATATTTGGTGTAGTAAGTGTAGATTTGGACTGAACAGTAAAATCATCCGGATCCGATCCAATATCAAACTGGTCATTTGTATGAAGGCCTATTTGTGTTGCTAAGTCTACACGATTTTGACGTTGACCCCGTTTTTTCGATATATACACTCGACGATCTCTTAGTGAGTTTAACCACAGCTATTAATCGGAAAGCAAGGTATAATAAAATGAAAAAGTTTTTATTAGAAGAGAATTACTGCTACTTAATACTTTACATACATCACATTGGGAAATGAGAATCGAGATTTTTTTCTACAAATAAATGTGTGTAGAACGAAACCATTTAGTCCATAAAACGTTTTATTTACCTAGGGGCATTAGAATGACATAGAACTTATAGTAATTAACTGTCAACTGTTGACTCAGTTAACTTAAGTTTCGGTAACCGAACAACGTCATTAACCCTTAGACGAAGATGTATAGTACGCGAACCTGACTATGAATACTGATTTGAGTCTATTTATTCACAAGTATCGAAAAGCTTATTTAGCATTTTGCAAAGATGTCTATATTTTGCTACACTAATGTCGACATCGCGAGCAATAATTGAAATAGGTCTCAATTTTATTGGCGATCGAGTGACTTACGTAACTCATAACACCGAATCACTCGTTCTAATTAGCATTGAATTCTGTTTAGTATTTTGTGTATAAACACGCTATTTTGGAAACAGAAAAACAGATTCTTCTGGCTATTTGGGTTATTTGTTGACATCAGCTTATCAACGGGTTCGCATCAATAATTCATTTTTGTTAGGAAATATTAACTTGCCACAATGTACTACTATACATAATTTATTCATCAATTTACTCACGCAAAACATGCTTACTACCACGAATCTTTAAAACAATATCCTCTATAACACGAGTATAAATTGAGTAAGAATAAGTATCGTCAAATCTAAACGATAACTGAAATAATCAAGTTGAAAAATATGAAGTTAAGTAAACTTCTGATGTTTTACTGATACATTTATTTGGTTCTTTATTGTTCACCCAGTGTTTGTATTCTTCTTTCACAAAGTGTTTTGAGTGTTAAGTTCAGCATAACGATCGCTTGCTGTGTTTTAACCAAGAAGACTAGATTCTGTATTACGACAAAAGGGTAGTGATAGTTGCATAATAAATGTAAGCTTACGATTTATAATCATCAGACTGTAACGCACTAATAATTTACAATCAACCTTAAGGCGGCAAATACTGAGTTCTGAGCTTTGTGGAATGTGAAAACTTTTAACACATCACATCCAATAACAATACATCACAAAGTCTATGTACTGGCAGGTCGATGCAACCTAATTACCAAGAAATAAAAACCTGATACATTGCAAATAATGTTACCCAGGAAAACTATGAATCAATGCATGTGAGATGAAACGAATGATCACTAAGTGACAAGAAAAATATTTTATATTATCAACCAATTACCACCCAGTAACTTAGTACATACTATCCAATGGATACACACGGTGTATTGAATGATTAATCTAATGAATTGCATGATCTATTCCAGTTTCTTTGTCATAAATTTAAGGTAAATTACATAGAGGAGTTAACTCACGTAGAAAACGTGAAAAGCTCGATCGGAAGTTAAACTTATAATGCCGAAAAGAATAATATTTTAGTCCTGTTTAGAAAACTATTTAAAATGGGACATTAAACGTCAAGAAAGCGAAAAAAAGCTGGTATTTTAGTAGTCACTCACAGCAAAATCATCACCGTTTACAAATTCAATATCTCGTGCCATTTCGATACGCTGAAACAAGTTACAAAAATTTACAAACTAATGAATAATGAATAATGATAGACATTAGAAGTTAATAAAACTTTTCATCACTTTGAATGCTATTATAAGTTATCAGATAACTGAGTTGCAATATATATATATATATATATATATATATATATATATATATATATATATATATATATATATATGCGAGCTATTAAACTGATGCCCACTCCCACTAATGTCTCAGAATTACGACCTTTTCTAGGATTAATCAGTTATTATTCAGCGTTTGTTCCTTCGATGCATGATATTCGCGCTCCATTGAATTGTCTATTGCAGAAGAACAGCACTTGGAATCGGACTAAAGAGTGTGACGCAGCGTTTTGTAAACTGAAGTCTATAATTAGCTCGGAATTTTTATTAACACACTACGATCCAACCATGCCAATCATCGTAGCAGCAGACGCTCCAGCGTATGGCCTGGGTGCTGTTATTTCACATCAGTTTCCAGACGCGTCAGAAAAGGCCGTTATGTATGCATCCCGTACACTAACCCCAGCAGAAAAGAAGTACAGCCAGATAGAGAAAGAAGCTCTTGCCCTTGTGTTTGCTGTTCTCCGTTTCCGCAAGCTTCTGTACGGTCGGAAATTCACGCTCCTCACAGATCACAAGCCTCTGTTAGTAGTATTCGGTTCAAAGTCTGGCAATCCAGCCCATTCTGCAAATCGTCTTCAGCGATGGGCCTTGGTGCTTTTGGAGTATGATTTCGAAATCCAATATCGACACACTCTACAATTCGGTCAAGCAGACGCTTTGTCACGACTCATTAATGATCAAGTGGCGGCTGAGGAAAACATGGTAATCGCATCTCTGTCAGTGGAAGACCATGTAGAATGTTATCTGACACCGCATTACCGGTGTCTGCAACAGACATACAAAACGACCTCGTCATCAAGATGACGATGAAATATATCACAAACGGTTGGCCGTCGAAGAAGTTTGAGGGTGACATGGAGCAACTGTATCAGCGGCGGGATTCACTATGCATCGTGAACAACTTTTTGATGTTTGGTGGAAAAGTGATGGTGCCAGAATACCTTCGTGCAAAAGTGCTGAGACACTTCCATCTCGATCATCCTGGGATTAAACGAATGAAGTCCACAGCCAGGAGTTGTGCATACTGGCCTCTCATGGATCAACATGTCACAGCGTTAGTTGAAAAATGTATGCGGTGTCAGCAAGCGTCAAAGATGAATGACAAAGTTCCGCCGGTTTTAAGGCCCAAAACTGATCATCCATGGTCCAGGATACACGTTGACTTAGCTGGTCCAATCAATTGAACTATGTCTTTAGTTGTGGTCGACGCCTCCTCAAAATGGCCAGAAATCAGCCCTGCAATGCCGCCCACGACAACTAAGACTATACAGCTCCCCACCGAAATTTCCTCTCGAAATGATATACCAGATGTGATCGTATCTGACAATGGGTCTCAATTTACCTCCACACAATTCCAAACTTTCTGCCAACGGCTAGCCAGTAAGCACTTACGCTTGCCACCATACCAACCGCAATCGAATGGGTAGGCGGAAAGGTTTGTGGATACGTTCAAAAGAGCATTGGTTAAGTCAAAATGGGAGGGGACACTAGCCGACGCCTTACAAAATTTCTTGTACGTCTATCGAACAACACCAAATGAGTGGTTACCATAGCAAAAGTCCCCAGCAGAAATCCTGATGGGAAGAAGACTGGAAACGATCCACAGCCTGATGCATCCGACTGATGCACCAACATCAGTAGAGATAAAGCAGTAAAGGCAGAACAAATCAAGGTCCCTGGGTAGAAGCACGAGTGATCAGAAGAGTTGGGAGAGTTATGTACGAAGTAGAAGTCGGAGGCGAAAGGTGGTCACACCATCGAAACCAGATACGCAAACGGCTAGCCCCAGATCGTCCATCAAGAGCAGAAAATGTTCCCTCTGACATCCTGCTTGATACCTTCAACCTACCAGCAGCCCCCCCCCCCACAAGAAGAAACTCAGTCACAAGCTGATCTCCGTTCCCAAAGGTATCCTCTCAGACAGCGGCGGACAACAGTTAGGATGCAAGCCGACCGCAGGGGCGCACGCTATTAAAAAGGGGAGGAGTGTTGGGGATCTTGGATCCCCAGAACTCGCTAGATAGATATCCTTATTTTGGATTTATTTCATGGACCGATCAGTTGACTTTGAGACCACATTTCCCACCAGGAAAATCCTTGGCTGTGATTGGTTACTGTGTTATTTTAGTGTGCTATTTTTGTGGCTGTCCCAAGGACGTCTCTATAGAGTATAAATAAACGCAGTTTGAGTGCTTCGATTCGTTGTGTGCTGGCTGGGCGTTTGTATAATACACTTTCTACGTTATATCAAGACTTCTTGCTGATTCAATCTGGCCAAGGGATCACAGTAGCCTACCTGGACGCTGGTTCATTGTTTTGTTCTCGTTATTCGACTAAGGTGAACTCGTAATAGTTTAAGCATACCTAGAGACGAGCGTATATATATATATATATATATATATATATATATATATATATATATAATTACTACGCAACTAGGATTAATTACTGTCAGTGGTAAACCAATTAGCCGATGGAAACTGGATGGTTGGGTAAGGAGTAAAACACTGAACAAATTATATCTGGCTTTGCTAATCACCTAGAGATATTTCTTTAACCATGAACCTAAATCAACTGATCAGATCACTGGAATATAAACTAAAGATAACTAAGTAGTGACAAGATGATAATTTTAGATATATGCAGTAAACGGAACCGTAGTTGTGCTTCGATGAATTCAAATACTTTCGACTTATCTTTAACTTATAAGCCAGAAATTATTATTCATGAGTATGAGCGATCACTGAGATAGATTATTTATTCCAAAGACGACACTTTTGGATATTAGGAAAGATACTAGTTACCTTTATTTAGTTCGACAAATCAACTTACATGACGTAGTTTAGCTTCAGTGAACTTCCAATCACTTGAACTCGTATTCAGACACATTTGTGTTTGTACAGCAGAAGGTAATGATTGTGATATTAATAATTCGGCGGCACGTTTATATCGACCAGTTAATTCGTTAGATACTGTGCTAAGTGAATTTGTGTAGACAGTATTAAGCATTTCTAGTAAATATGAATAAGACGACTTAAATTTTTCATCTTGCTGAGTCTCATCAACAGAAATAAAACCCACTGGTTCTTTTTTTCCATTATTGACACTATCATTTTGATAATTATCATTTAAATAGCTAGTCGTTTCAATCTTTTCTGTTGACGATATGGATTCGATCTTACTAGGATTAAGTTGACTTTGTAGTTTTTCAATAATTCTATGACATGCATCAATTTCATGACTTAAATCCGTTGTATTGAATAAACCTAAGTTGGAAAGAATTTGCTAAAGAGGAGAAGATGATTGATATTCAAAAAAATAAATGAAAATATATACTATAATACATTTTTAAAAGTTTTTGTAATAAAATAACTAGCACAAAACAATAACATTTTTCGAAAAATTTAGCAATAACTTGAATATTTTAATCCATTGAAACGTGAAGTAAATATAAAATTATATCATAAAATGATAGTATATCATTAAGAGTAAAAATATCACTGAGACCTCATGATAATACTATATAACTCAGTCAGTCAGTTGCAACGTAGAACTTTGTACGAAAGTACATCAGTTCAAGTTGACAAACGACAATAGCAAACAGAGGCAATTGTCAGTTGAAATCTCATAGAGGTTTAGATAGTAGAAGTATTCCTAGTAATGGAGATTACGGTTCCAATATATTTCCCAAAAAATATCATTCGGTGAGATAAGTTTAGCGAAGAAAAGTAGAGATTATGACGAATTCAGATCAGAATTTCATAGAACACAAGGAATGGATGTACCTACGCCATTGCAAACGATTCTGAGCCATGTCGCAGCGGGGGCATAGGCAGATACGACGAAGAGGCAACGGCGAGTGTCCCTATATTTCCGAGTCCTTTCTGTCCCTTTTAGTCGGACAGCACACAAGCGACTATCTACTGGGATCCAGTCAAGGAGAGATCGTTCGGCTCTACGACTCAATGCTATGCCTACGCCAGCAAGACCCCGGGAAGCAGCATCAGGGCTTTCAGATACGCGAAGATTGAATCGAGCTGCTTCTTTATTTTGACAAGGTGAAATCAGATTAATAATTGTACTAGGATCCTGTATACGCGCTTCCGAGACGCAGCATACATCGATGGCACGAGATTCTAAAGTCCTAGCTAATGATGCCTGTTGCCCTATTTGACACAATGTCTGTACATTAAATGCTCCAACATATAGTCTAGAGCGAGGTTTCAAGGGACCAGGAATGACGCTTCGTGAACTCGCATCGTCTGCATTAGCTGTGCAATGTGATAAATGAATGTGAGAAGAGTTAGTCATGGAGAGAAGAGAGGTATGTGTGGGTGTAGGAAGGATTTGATTTTGACCAATTTGGTCTCTCGTACTGTTACGGGTATGAGGGCGGTTATCACTTCCCGCCTGCCCACACCGTGGAAGGTTGTTTCTTGAGGGACCTGGAAGGGAAGATAGATTAGTGTTGGTGCGTGACCGCAGAGTCCAAGGGACAACTGCTTGAGGCCGGTCACGCACGGCCTTTTTATGAAAGGTATTTAGAGGATTAGCTCCGTTCTTAAAGGCCCTTAGTGGGCACCCTTACCCAAGGAGACGGAAATCCGTCAGGCAGGGCGAGGTGTGACATTTGTAGGGTCGACCTTTTCTAACCCTTCCTTCCTTGTGAGGAGGCAGCATCGCTGCAGATGCTGGTTGTCCGAAGGAAACACCTTACTGCTGTCACACCCCTCTGCAATCAGCAGTACGACTTCGCCCTCAGAGCTTGAGTAGCTGCTTTTAGTCTCATCGTTCTCCAATCGACCTGCCTGGCATGGTAGGACCTGCAGGAACATATGTCCCAGCCAGTATAGCTCGGTCGGGTCATGACGATAGGCAAGCCCGACCACCACGTCAAGGTAGCAGCTGTAGTGAATGAGAACACAGGTGGGGCAACCGAATTGTAGTTAACAAAAATTACAGAGTTACTCAGTAAAATCGGAAAACCGTATCGTAAATCGTTCATTTGCTAAAGATCAGTTCATCCTATGGAACTGGACTGTTCCTGTTGCCAAACATCAATCCATTGTCACTATTCATGCGTTTCATACAAATTCCATTGTTTTCTAACTCTTCCTTTCTTGATCTTCCCCCCATATTATGCTACCAGACTTTACGTTGACACTCACGTTATATACTACTTATAAGTAGTTCGCACCACAGCACCACACAGCTACGGTCGGGAATTTTAGTTACTCCTGTAACTAAAATTCCTTTACTAATGTGTCAGAATAAATCAACTTTCGTCAATACTTCCGAAGGTTTTTATTAACTAAAGAAGATTACTAAAAGAAGAGGATGAAAGGTTTATGGAAGTGCGTTAATTGTGAAGATAACTACGGTAGCAAGCCGATGCATTTGTATGACATGAAAAGCCGAGTACCGAATGAGACAAGGGAATATTGAGGAAGCATGATACCACGTGGCCATTGAATATGAATCCACAGGTTATTTATTTTTTTAATACCACCAATTAGCGAACCGTTTACATCTTATAATAATCAAACGACTACACATAACAAACTAGTCATACATGATTTTCAAAATCAAAGAATCCTAATTTTTTAAGAATTTTAAGTCGATAGATCAGTACACTTCTCCCTAAATACAACGCTTACTATTATATTAAAAGGAAAATGACAAACTTTTAAAACGACTGAATTTTTTCATGAAAGATTTAGCCCACTGATCTATGCGGATTCAAACAAAGCACTTACACTATCTCGAAGAGTTACTCAAAATAGTCTACTCATCTCTCCATAAAGTCTTTATTGTTTACATATAGTATAGAGTCAGAAACTTCATTCTATCACTTCCTTTAACCAGTCACCAGTATCATTAAAGCCAGATATTTGGTACGGATACACGTAACATAGGTTCATAAACTTTACGCGAAACAAACTTATCACTATGGTATAGTAGACACATTTTTTGGTCTCAATATTTGACACGTTCGTGCGCTGTGATAAGATTTCAGTTCCAACTCCGATACAGTAAATAAAACTATTTTTATCCTCTGCTTCTCCGTCCTTCTAAATATAGTAAGACAACCGATGTAGTAATGAAAATGTTTCACTGATAAACCAATATACCAACTGTTGAAAATACGTTCAAGTCAGCTGATTGTATACCAATTAGAATGATTAGGATTTTTGAACTAAGTATTTTTCACCCAACACAAATCATGGTCATAATAAACTGAAAGTCCCTGACCGGACTTCGAACTGAGTAATTTAGTGCAATAGAAACCCATCTTAATCGACATTGATTTTTCTTCTCCTAAGTTGTATTTGGTGATTGTATATCCGCATAAATATTCCAGGCTAAATGCTACAATCATCCACTGTAGATTGCTTTATAAATAATCTCATTATAAGGACTTCCATACTCCACTCGTTATGCGATACATTTAATCAGTTATTATTTTTATCATTCGCAAACATTTCGGATCGAAAACACTTTAAATAAGTACTTTGAAAAATAACTAGTCTCAATAAAATTGGGATGATAGTGGTGGATAAAGACTGACAATCCATGGTATCACAATCAAAATAAAGGAGATGATTCGAAGGCAACATCTAGGTCGATAACAGATTCAATGCTTACAATGAGCCAAGTCAAAAAATAGTCAATCTTAAAGAAATTACACTTATTTTCTATTAATTGAACAAACTATACGAGATACACCGATTCAAGGAAAGAAAATATAAAATATAATGCTCTATAAACAAGCTGTCTTGAATACTGTTTAGCCATTGTTCACGGAAATTTAATGAAAGTATTATAAATGCATGACAAAAATCTGCTTTGTGATTAAATCAAACAATATACGTGAAATTGTGAGAAATAAAAAAGAACAAGCTGACAGATACCTTTACAATTGGAGAGTCGCCCTGTTTCATTAAATTCTCCACCATATTAAGGCTGTCTAAGCGTTTTTGAGTTGATTCGAACTTTAAATGAAAAACGAATAGCATATTACAAAGCGCTTTTAAATATTCTTGAGTAAGATAATACTTAATTTGTACAAGACTAAAATAAAGAGGATATTCAATACCTTTGTCCTGTGAATTTCATTTTGATCAAAAATATAATTTATGAATGAGTGTTTTAAAATTTGAGTAATGGTTAGCAGCAGAAAGCTTATTTTTTACCATTCATGACTCGTCAGTTTCGTGAACCTGAGTCCAAGTGTTGGTATTCACACTAAAAGTCGAACCTAGTACCCTTCATTACAAACAGCCAATACGTTACGCAGTTACCTACTGAGCCGAAATAACTACTAACTTATGCACAATGTATGCATTAGGTTTTTAAGAGTTGAAGTTTTTAACACCAACAACCAAAAAGTACAATCATTTACAAACAAAACCCACACTTGTTGCACAAGATAGCGGCTCGGCGGATAGCCTGTTGGGCATTTTGAGTGAAAGGTACTCGGTTTCAGTCTCAAAATGAACATCAAAAATGCGATGTAAGTATACCCACACTAGAAGTCCTCGGTCAGAAAAAACATGCGTCTCAGACTTCACTGCTACTTATGAAAACGCACTACGATAACTGAGACGTCAGTTTTATTAAATGAATAGAAGTTTTTTATTCGTATGTAGAGGGAACTTTTGTATTACTTTGTATCTTAAACAATAATTACTGTCAATAAGTATCATAACAAATTTCATTTGACCGCAAACATGCTACATGAGGTGACCTTTTCTTGATTAGTTAGTTACACAATATGCATTTATTATTTGGTCTTCATTCGATTCAAAATTTTAGCTACTTTTTGAGTTTCTAAAATATAACTATAAAACCTTTCGAAAACTCAATGAGAAATTTAGAGGGAAAAAAATCAAGCAAATATTTTTAAGCTTCATCATAAGTTGTTAGAGACATTGGATTGATTAGCCTACTTGTTTTTGTTGACGTTTTCGATGTACACTGAGCAAGCGTTCAGTTTGAGCACGTTTACGATCAGCCAGTGCTTTCATGTCTTCAGTCGATGGCTAATATAATAGAGCAGAGAAATTTAAAATAAAATTTTGATAACCAATTAAATTGAAGTTGTTTTTATACATTAATAATTAGATAGACAATAATGTGATGACTTGCTTGGCCAGTAAACTGATTTAAGTAACGAGACTTGTAGGTCAGACATTTACATCTTAAACGAGAAAAATACCTAATGATGGACACAAAATTGAGACTTTGTTACCCGATGTCTTGTAGCTACGTCGGTAAAACTATACACTGATACACATGAAGTTTTAAATCGTGATGTGATCGAGGATTTTTACCATCAACTATTATCTCGTACTGATAAACGAACGCTTTAGAACATCAAATGTTAAACCTCCATGCAACAGAATATCATACTAAGGACGTGATAAGATGTTTTTCAAAATGTTCAGCTTATATAATTGTCATAGAAAGTATGAAGGGAAAACACTAACAAACAGTAAGTTCTCTTGTTTGTTATACACAGTATCAAACAAAATTGAAATAAACGTTTTTAACATTACAATGAATATACTTCGCTTTTTTGTAGCACTCCAAACACGTAAACACCAATTTTCGGTATTAAGCACTTTTACTATCCTCCTATTATTTTAGAAATCGAAATTTTTATCTATGGGTATTCGAAGCACTTACTACTGTACGAACAATAATTAGAAAAAATGGGATTGAAGTTTGGTTGCGCTGATTGAATTTTGTTACTAGTCTAGCTAGAACCACTGGTGCAGATTCAAGTCTTGTAGAAACCGAAAATAAACGGAAATTTACCCCGTTTCAACTTTGCTTGTGCGTCTGAATTTAATTGTTAACGGTTTGAAAATTAAAGGCAAATATATAAAATGCAAACCTTAGTAAATGGAAGCTGCACTTTGACTGTATGACTTCGACGAAATTCATCACACTTCCATTTAACCATTTCTTGTCTATAATTGGAAGCCAACCAACAGTGAGAATGAGCCAATTGCTATAATATTAGATAAATAAATAAAAGGTGACTAAAGTGATGGTTAAGGGATGCTATATAATTCAAAATCTACTTTCTAAAATCATAACGGTTATCGAACGACCAGTGAAAATCTAACTGAAACTTAATGGATCTCTCATAGACAATAAACAACAAAATATATCGCTAGACCGTCTTTAATTCAACTGTTTTTTTCCCTGACTGAATTTAGGATGAGTTTCAGTCAGTCAGTTGCAACGTAGAACTTCGTACGTAAGTACATCAGTTCATGTCGCCATACCACATCAGCACAGAGATATAATTGTCAATTCAAATCCAATAGTAGAAGAGGTAGTAAAGGTATTAGAAGTAATCGTAGACGTTAGAATTAGAAGATATTATTCACGAAGTGTGATTCAATGAGATAAGTTTAGAAAGTAAAAGCTAGAGGTGTTGAAGAACTCAGAAGATTAGGATTTGAGAGAACACAAAGAATAAATGCACTGGCGCCATTGCGAACGATTTTGAGCCATGTCATTCAAGGTCTCTAGCCATCGATTATTATCATCTCGCGGACCCCAACCAGGTAGTCGACAATTACCGACATGGCTAAGTCCACTCGTCAATGACTTCATGGATTTATGCCATGTTTTGGTTTGACCGCCCCTAGCTTTCTTCCAACCTATTCCTACACCACAAAACAAAGCTCGACGAGGCAGTCGGTGGTTAGGCATACGCAACACGTGTCCCAACCACCTCAACCGATGAAGTTTCACCACTTCATCGATTGATCTGCCATTCTTACCTAGTACCCGTTTCCTAATAACAGCGTTGCTAACTCGGGTGTCCCACGATATACGAGCAATGCTTCGAAGACACCTATGATCGAAAACCAATAACCGTCGAGTATCTTCTACTCTCATTGGCCATGTTTCACAGCCATAAAGTAAGACAGAGCGAACCACTGCGCAGTACACTCGTCCTTTAGTCAGCAAACGGATATCTCGCCTACGCCATAAGTGACGCAGGTTGGCAAAAGCCAATCGAGCCTTCTGTATCCGTGCCGAGATTTCGTCAGTCACCAGGCCATCAGCACTGATGAGACTCCCAAGATAGGTGAAGCGGTCTACACGTTCGACCACTTCACTCCCTATCACTAGTTCAGGTGCCGATGACACCCAGTCTTGAAGCAACATTTTGCATTTCGAGGGGGAAAACCGCATCCCGAACATGCTTGCATTGTTGCTTAGGGTAGTCAGAAGACTCTGCATTTTGTCAGCGTCTTCACCAAGTAGGACAATGTCATCGGCATATTCTAAGTCAATAAGCGAGCCACCTGGTAAAAGGTCTACTCCTGAAAATTCGGACGAGGATAAGGTAAGTTCTAGGAGCATGTCTATGATAAAATTGAACAAGAATGGAGAAAGTGGACATCCCTGATGGACACCACTTGATGTAGAGAATTCCGGTGACAGTTCGCCATAAGCCCTCACTCGACCAGTGGTGTTCGAGTATAGGGCTTGTATAAGGTTAATGTACTTCTGTGGTACACCTTTCAATGACAGACACTGCCAGAGAACCTCACGATCCACTGAGTCAAGTGCCGCCTTAAGGTCCAGGAAAACAACTATTGTAGGACGCCTAAATGTGTGTCTGTGTTCCAGGACCTGTCGTAGTGTGAAAATGTGGTCTATACAGCCACGTCCAGGTCGAAAACCAGACTGGTTTTCCCGAGTTTGCTCTTCACGAGCTTTCGTTAAGCGTCGAAGTATTATTGAGGCCAATATTTTAGATACTATGTTAGTTAGGCTTATTCCCCTGTGATTGTCACAAGACTTCTGTCCTTTCTTATAGATTGGGACAATCAAGGATTGAGACCAGTCGGATGGGATTGCGTCCAGTTCCCAGATTCTACCTAAGATCTCAGTCAACCTAGCTGATAAAACTGGACCTCCATCCTTAAATATCTCAGGGGTCAGTCTATCAGGACCTGCAGCTCGTCCTCGTTTCAGATTTCCTAACGCTTTCTCAACTTCATTAAGACTAGGGGGACTTAGGTCGATTTGCCATTCAGGATGACTGGAGATCGTGGGTAACCGAAGAGTGGCTCGTGGCCAGTTGAACTGATCCCTAAAGTGTTCTGCCCATCGATCCAGTCTCCTGGATTGAGAATGGATAATAAGACCATCCTTTTCCGAGATAGTCTCACTCACATTCGGGTTCTTAATACCAGTTTCTTTAATAAGGAGGAAAAGTTGTCTACTGTTGCCGATCGCCGCTGCCTTTTCCATCGCTTTTGCTTTCGCCACCCACCACTGCTCGCGATCGTTACGTAGGCTTTTCATAAGTCTGCGCCTAAGTTGACTTCGTTCTTCATCATGCTCAGAGCCAGGTGGGATGAGTTTTCGGGCATCCATCAGATCGGTGGATGCTACTGAGATCCACGGTTTCATTCTAGCCTTATGGTCAACCTCACTAGCAGATATCACTGCTGTTTCCACAGCCTTTTTGATATCATTCCATCCTGCTTCCGGATGGGAATCGCTTAAATGGTCGCCTAACTGTCTTTCTAGTTGTTCCTGAAATATATTTTTCGCCTTATTATCATTAAGCGAAACCCTAAGAGGCTTTCTTACGGTGTCTTTCCTACGTCCAGTAAGCTTCAAACAAATACGCGCTCGCACTAGGGCATGATCTGAATCCAAACATGTGCCCCAGAACGAGCGACAGTCCTCTATCGAACCCCTCCATCGGTGGCTGATGGCGATGTGATCTAGTTGAGTCCAACGTTGAGACGACTTTGGAGGTCGCCAGGTCAACAGGTGCTTTTCCTTATGCCTAAAGTTAGTGTTTGCTAAGAATAGGCGGTTGTCTGAGCATGTTTGCAACAGACGGTCACCATTGTCTGTTCTCTGAGCCGCGACACCATAACATCCACCTAGGTGTCTCTCCTGCTCACTTAGTCTACCTACTTGAGCATTAAAGTCACCAGCCATTATTACTATATCAGAGCGCCTAGCTTTTTGGAGGAGGTCCGAAAGCTTTCTGTAAAACTCATCCTTAACCTCGTCTGAACTGCATTCAGTGGGGGCATAGGCAGATACGATGAAGAGGCAACGGCGATTGTCCCTATCTTTCCGAGTCCTTACTGACCCGTTTAGTCGGACAGCGCACAATCGACTATCTATTGGGATCCAGTCAAGGAGAGATTGTTCTGCCCTACGACTCAATGCTATGCCTACGCCAGCAAGACCCCGGGAAGCAGCATCAGGGCTACCGGATACACGAAGAGTAAATCGAGCTGCTTCTTTATTTTGACATGGTGTGGTCAAGTGTATGACGTGACTCGGATCCTGTATGCGCGTTTCCGAGACGCAGCATACATCGATGGCACGAGATTCTAAAGTCATAGCTAAGGAAGCCTGTTGCCCTATTTGACACAATGTCCGTACATTAAATGCTCCAACATGTAGTCTAGAGCGAGGTTTAAGGAGACCAGGAACGACCTTTCGCGAACTCGTATCGTCTGCATTAGCTGTGCAATGTGATGAATGAATGTAAGAAGAGTTAGTCGTGGAGATGAGAGAGACATTAGGGGGTGTAGGAAGGATTTGATTTTGACCAATTTGGTCTCGCGTGCTGTTATGGGTATGAGGGCGGTTGTCACTTCCCGGCTGCCCACACCGTGGAAGGTTGTTTCTTGAGGAACCTGAAAAGGAAAATAGATTAGTGTTGGTGCGTGACCGCAGAGTCCAAGGGACAACTGCTTGAGGCCGGTCACGCACGGCCTTTTTATGAAAGGTATTTAGAGGATTAGCTCCGTTCTTAAAGGCCCTTAGTGGGCACCCTTACCGACGGAGACGGAAATCCGTGAGTTAGGGGAGGTGTGACATTTTTAGGGCCGACCTTTTCTAACCCTTCCTTCCTTGTGAGAAGGCAGCATCGCTGCAGATGCTGGTTGTCCAAGGGAAACACCTTACTGCTGTCACACCCCTCTGCAGTCAGCAGTACGACTTCGCCCTCAGACCTTGGGTAGCTGCTTTTAGTCTCATCGTTCTCCAATCGACCTGTCTGGCATGGTAGGACCTGCAGGAACATATGTCCCAGCCAGTATAGCTCGGTTGGATCATCACGATAGGCAAGCCCGACCACCACGTCAAGGTAGCAGCCACGGTCGGGTTAGGATGAGTTTAACTGGAACCTATCACAGTAACACCAAAATCTTAATGACACGTGAATATGCTAGTTAAAAAGCACACTTAAGGATGACTTCCTAATTTGAATTGCTTTCTGAGTCCATCTTCGGACTATGGGTTAAATGAAAGGAAAATGGTGATCGTTTACCTGTTATTCTAATCTAAAACATATTCGTCTATGCCAGATGGTTTCAAAAACAAGAATATACTGGTTAAGTTTCACACTCCAATGTGGTGATAAATGTCCAATACCGTTATATATTTAGTTTTCTGTGGAAAATATACGGCCACACATCAACATACCTAATAATGATCACTTTGACTTCGATAAATGAACTATCATGAAAAATTTTCTTAAGATGGAATTAGTTACTTGCGGTTTTACTATCTTATGATCTTAACAAACAGTTCAATTAGTAGAACTCAGACGAACCTACTGTAACCCAACAAAAAAGCACCTGCCCAAAATTACAAGGGGATCACATTGTGAGACTATAGATTTAGCTTTATAAATTGGGTTTCGCCACACACGACTTATTGTTGGGAAGAAAATTGCGGAAGTTGGCATGGTAAAAAAAATGATAAATAATCACATCAGACAACCTACAATATTACATACCTCAGCTAGTCCTGTAGTAATGCGTTCCGAATGAGAAGGATATTTCAACTGAAGTAAACGCTGGATCATCCAGCTAGCATGAGCACCTCCTGTGTGGAGACGACGAGCGGCTTGTATCAAAGGTTTAACAACTAACGGTGTCTCTGTATTACGAAATGAGATAATCGGGATGATGTGGGTTCTCTGATACCCAAAGGATATAAGGAGACAGTTAGCATTCTGATCTGAATAAGTGCATAAAAAACGAAATTGTTTAAATCGCAAATATTTAGTTAAGGATGATAAATGTACACTGGACTAGTGAATACTAGGAAAGTCCCGCAATCATTAAATAAAGTTAAAATAGTAAACAAGAGTCAAGGAAATACCACTTTTAATTTTTGTGTATGTTTAAAAGAAACAAAATAATGATGCCGGCTAAAAGTCTCAACATCGAATGTGATTGCGTAGTCTAAGTTATGCAACTTAAATAACTGTTAAATCAGTAATGAAGTACCAAGATATTTTGCACATACACTAATCCTAAATATAGTAGATAAGGTAGTGATATACATCTATTGCCTTACACATATGGACTGCATTAAATCTAATCAGCCGATAATCCGCAAAAACCAGTGTGGATACAAATACCGTACTCAACACTCAATCCCTACGAATAAAAGGTAAGAGTGACCGAATCTCCACAAAAGGAAGAGCATAGTGTTCAATTTTGTGGTTTTCAAGTAATAACTGGGTGGGGGTATAAGCAATACAGGTACTTTATTGAAGATGTTTGCAAACAATTGAATGAATTGTCCTTAAATTTTATTCTAGGCAGACGGAGAGCACTATTTGTCAGCAGACTTAAGATACAAGATTTCACAGTATGTATGGATTATTAAGTCACAATTTATTGGGCACACGCTGCAGTATGCACTACTTATGTGAGAAGTTATAATCAGCATTCAGAAAAATATCTAATATCTTAATCTTATTAAGGTTCGTATGGGGAATTTTAAAAAATAAACAAAGGTAATTAGTAATGATATGAATCTATAAGATATCGAAAGTATATTTGTTACGCAAAAATGAAGCAGTAACTGACCAAAACGCAGTTTCAGAACAAATAGATAGACTTTTAGTTCTTCTAAACTACTAAATAAGAAAACTTAAGAGTGGGGACAAGTAAGGTTACAATCAGCTTACCAATATTTCTCAGACGTTGAAAGTTATAGTAGGAGGCCAGAGAATCGACGTAAAACAACAGCTTTGGAACGTGGTAGGTTTCAAACAGTAGTTCAGTTAGTTCTGCAGGGATTAAGAAGTGAACAACAACTTGCGAGATCTACATACACCGGGATTGCATAATGCTTCACTAATTATGACGGGATTAGAAGTTGGCTCTTGAACATTGAGTTTGTCGAAGACATGTCCCATCACCTGTTCCTGTACATCTAGATTAATGACAAGATTGTCTATGAACGGAGACTTCAGGTTATGACGTACGAACTCCAGGTCCTGAATGTCATTCCCAACAACAACATCCTGTCAGTTTTTTGTTAAAAAATTGGAAGCTACTTTTGACATTCGTGGACGGTACACTACGTTTGGGAAAGTTAAATAGGGTTCCTCAAAATGTGAAAAACCTGCACGACATTCATAATTTCCTAAGTTGGAAGTGTACGTTTAATATAAAATTGCGCTTGTATACTAACCATTGTCAATAATTATAGGCGAACTTGTAAAATCCCCTGTTATTTTAATTTTCTTGGCTGGAACACGGTTTAAATGCTCGTAAAAGACACACGCCATCGGGACCCCTACACATAGATGAAGGCACATAAACCCAAGGCCATGCTTTAAAAGTTAGTAACAAATCCAAGAATCAATACCTTTGTAGTAACGCAGAGCAAACAGATTGATTTCTTCAATCTCGCTTCTTGAAGTCTCAATAGAGTTTCAGGTATTTTCTAATCTTCAGTAAGTGATAGTCTTGTCACTCAATTGTACTCATTTTTATCATTTTTGCAGTTATCAATGAATTTACATCTTTTGTAATTTTAGTGAATGCTTTTGATAAGGTCAGTAGTATTCCTAAAAACCAACTGCCGTACTGTCAATAGGCTGCAGATCAATCTGATTCATTTTGGGAATTAAGAACGATATGGTCTTAATGCCATGGAGAAGATGAATAATTCAGTAACTAAATAAACAAATCATTTAATTAATCGGTAGTGCAGATAAAGGGGGACCGAAATGTAATGATAAAAGAGGGAGCAGAAATGATGATAATCAAGAGAGATTGGGTTAATGATACGACAATTATAACAACAAATGAGTCACGAGACTTTCATCAGGCACGGCTAGTCCAAGCGGGAGACCATAGCCCACAGGTGGGTATGTATTTGTTAAGTCTCTTCTGGAAGCCATCCACTGAGAATGTTGTGGCCATTTCGGTTATGACAGCATTCCAAGCGCAAAAAACTCCTAATTAAAAAGTGGGAACACTTATAAGTGTTTACATTTCGATGTTAGATTTCTAGGGGGTTGACTCGACTATCATGGTGGTGATGTACTGACAGGATGCTCGCATTGGAATTACTTGAAGAAGTTACGGTTTAATGTGTTGTTATAAAGTCTCTTCTCATTCTCCTATGACTCAGCGAGAATATTTCTGAATATCGGAGTCTGTTTTCATAAAGTTCATCTTTTACTCTTTCACTCATTTAGACACTGGATTCTACACTCAACCCTGGATAATTATGTTTCCTTTGAGGAGAGGAGGTGCGACGACATTATGGACTCCAAGATGAGGCCATTCGTTTGTCTTAAAAGGTTTGAGAACAGTGCTACGGTTACTGCTACGATCTTTCTCAGCACAAAGTGAGGAGTTGGATTTGCTTGGACAGCGTCATGTATATAGTTTAAACTGGTTTCCAAGCACTCTGTCGCTGCTGGCCCTAAATCGCTCTCTGAGGTGTTTGGAAGCGAACGTTCATGGAGGACGTAAGTTGGTTGCGTAATAAGGTGAATAATGTTCATCACATAGTATTTCGTGTAGTAAGTTATTAATTAATTGCCTGTTGGGGCTTTTCAGTGGCTTCTCAATTCAGGAGAACAGTGGAAGAAGTTAGATACGCGCCTTTCCCAGTTATCCCAAGAAGACACAAATTTATCTGGGTAATAAACCGTTCTATTGTTATTTAATTAATATAAATAATTACCTTAACTATATTACACTGTTCTTTAACACAATTTAACACAATGTGCTTCCAATTCTGGAGCAATGCTTCCGTATAATCCCAAAATTGCACCCTTCCAGTCCAGATTCAAAGTTCACCACACAGGGTGTCAAATCCGATATGGCTGACGCCATAATTAAGTATCAATTCAAACAACATATTGCAGTTCAGTGGAAAACGTATAGACTCCAAATAGTAGGAACTATAACAAAATACAAATAATAACATCACAAAATGGGACTAAACAGAGTACCAAAATGTAGCACAGAAAGAGTTAGTAACAACTCATTACAAACATGTACATGGAGGGACTTTGCCAAAACAAAGCCTTCAAATTGGATTCTACATTGCCTACGGCCCACTTATTTGCTGCTGTAAGGTCCGTCTGAGGGTCAGACTGATTTACGTCGCTTTTTATTCACCTCCAGATTTCTGTGTCATCTCCATAGATGAATGTTACTAAGCTAGTTTTTATTTAACATTTCATTAAAGAATATCAGGAAGAGTAATCAGCTTACTTTACTACTAAGTAACCTGTTTGCTAGTTATTTTCCCAACATGTTACATTCCAGTGAAGTGATGTATGTTGTGCTCTCTTTCAGGTTTATACTGGGATTTTATTACTTCCTAGTGACTTTCTTGGGTACTGGAAATACTTTTGCAATAATCGAATAGTGGGTCGATATCCGCTAGGCAATAAGCCGGCAGATTATTAATAAGTACTCAGATCTTAGAGGTACCTGGTATCTGATTAAAGATCTCAGCCATCGGTAACTTCGTAGGATCTTCGCCATTCGGAGCCTAAGCCTACGTCGCGTAGCTATAAGTTGGCCAAATGAATCATTTTAGGGTTAAAACATTGTATCAAATGTAGGTTTTCACATTCCTTTAAGCGCTGTATTTCATATAATCGTATTCTGAACGGGGAAAAATTTTCTTTATCATAACCCTGATCCACTGTGCTACTGGACATAATCTTAATAAATATATACCTTAACCAAGTAGTTGGTTGTTGGTATATATATAATACGTTAAACTTAATGATATTTAGCCAACAAGCACTTTTATGAACACAGAAATTTCTGTTTAAATTATTTCTGTCATTAAGGAAGATCCGAACGAGTTTAATTATTACACCTGATGGTCCATTTCGTCAATAGTACTTCATGAAATACAACATTTTGTATCCTCCCAGACCACAAATTTGTTATATTGAAGGAAGATCACCGTCTAAATCGTTTTTGATATAAAACCTATTTAGTGGTCTTAAACGACAACTTACCGCCCCGAAACTGTGCGTTGTTTTGATCGAAGCACACTAGATTCAGAGTAACTCAACACCTTAAATTTGCTTTGGTGTTGATTAATTCACATTTATGAACGTCATGAATTGAATTAACGAACATTATTAATGATAATATTTTTTCTCAAGTAACAATACTTTACAAGAGGCATGCCAGTGCACAGGCTAGATCAAACTGCTTAAAATTATTACACTACAAAACTCATCGCAGTTAAATTATATATAAGTGTAAGTTTCTGATAGCACATTTACACCATGTCATTGACAGAAACAGTTTCACACGGCCACATTTTCAGTAGGGAATTTCAAATAGGGAAGGTGCATAGAATGTTTCATGGGCGGTTTGCTTAGATCGATGGTGAATTTGTTGGGAAAGGTAAATTAGAACGCGCTTGATACAAGCTGTGATCTTGACGTGCATGTGCATAGGGTGTATGTCATCCAGAGGCGCCATACATTTTCCACTGTGGATAGGGTTCTGACAAAGTAGAGAAGAGAGAGAAACAAGGCAGTAACGAGGCAAGTGTAAACATACAACCAAAGCACCACTTCACCTGTCATGCTGAAGTAGTCAATACGGTGGTAATTCAAGATAAAATTCATACTGACCACTAAAATTAAAGTTAGTCGTAGTAATGTAACCCCCAAATGGAGAAGGGCAATGAAGAAAGAAGAGTTGTGGACTGGAGAGAAGAGAAGTTGGTAATATAACCAACCAATCACTAAACATGGAAGTAATCCGAGACATTACAATCATCGAGCATCTAAAACTAATCTATTTTTTCTACCATAGCAACCGAAAATATAGATAGTTATTCATGATAGCTTCTCGACATCACCAAAAAATATTTCTGCGACTCTGAAATGTCATAATGCGTCAGACATAGGTTGTAAAATTAATAATGATATCAGTTGATAAACCGAATGACAGTTGTCTTCATAAATAGTATCTCTTGCCCGCAATTATATTCACTAACTTGATCGATTATGGAAAACGTCTCAGCTGGTTGCTTTCTCATTAAGTAACTTAGAACTTTACCAGTCATATTAGTGGTTTATTGATAAGCATATGTGCGAACTAATAATGTAATCAGTCGAAAATATCTCTTGAAGACTGAAAACTTATTGTATTATTTACCGAAACTATATAATCATAATCACAGACAAGGTCTTGAAGTTATGGTCACCTCAGCTGCGACCTAAACTCTTCCTGATAATCATATAAGCAGCACTCATTCTATGTAGGTGAAAGCATAGTAAAGTATGTTGCCCACAATGATAGTAGGTTGGTAGCTTGATTTCCAAACTCAATCTTTGGTAGACTGCTTCATAGTTTTTGCTTTGAAACCCGATATGATGATCAGGAGTATTTGTATTCCGCATGCGAACTAAACTTAGTCAGAAATGTCTGATTCGCTCACCAGTAGTCACGTATCGGCCAGTACTGAACTTAGGAGATATTTATTTGCTATCCTAAACCTGGATTTTAAGGTAACGTGATTAGATCGTTGAAAGTTGGTGAAAAAATTGTTGCTTCACTTCTTCCATCTTTTTTTAAGTCTATCGATTTCTTCCTCTTTTGTGTACAAGAGTGTAGCTGCATGAATCGTGAAAATTTCTTAAGGTTGGTTAGATTTAATTACTTATAACGTATGACTTATGCTATTTTGGTGACCTCGTTATTCTTGTGGTTAACATCTGAAAGTGACATCTTAAATATCATAATGAATATTTTAACTGTCTTAGTATTTTGAATGTCTTTGCAATTTCTTATACTTCAACCAAAGGCACTTAGTCTTACTGTTTAAAATTTCTAGTTTATTTTCTTTTGTTTGCTGGCTCATTCAAACAATTTGAAGTGTTCGTTTATTTCGTTAGTTTTATTTAGAAAGCAGTAACAACCATAATAATTGACATAACTATATTCTGACACATTTCTTTTAAGATTTACATAAAAATGTTGGACTCATTGTTGACCGTCTGTACATATAATTTGCTAGAAAGCCTGACCAAACTACGTAAAAATAAGTAGAAGTTACAAATGGTGAATATGCCGAAGCACCAGCAAATATTATGCCTATTACGATTCACTGTGTAAAGATCCTTTGATTCCCGTCGTTAATCTTACAAAGATATGTCAGAACGTTCGTCCGAATTTCAGTTAAATTAAATGTATTGAATCACTAAAATATTTGTAGAGAATTGTGCGAGTTTGGGCAAGTATACTGCCATCAAAAAAGGAACATTTTACCTTTCAATTAGATTAA